ACTCTGACACAACGAGAGCCTTGCACTCTCGTGTTGCGGCGCGAGTGGGCAAGTCCTGGCCCTCTTCTGTGTGGACCAGAGGCCACTTAAAATGATTCCAGAGCTTCTCTGCACCCATGCCGGTTTTTTGTTTTTGTTTTACCGAGGCACAAAACTTTACGTATCACTGCGATATATCCGTTTCCTTAGGCCCCGTCTCCAACGTGAAGGGCTTGCACTGCTATTGGAGAGATCCGAGTGGGATACACGACACGTGTTTGGTGAATGTAACTTAGATGCAAAACAACAGAAATGTATCCTCGGCTATCGTCTCGTCGATCTATAGTTTTACCCAGAGAAATATTTTTTTCCCCCGCGCGGTATGTGTCCGTGTGTTTTTTTTTTTTTACAAATGGGTTCTGATTGCTTTCGTATCCCATCTTGAGCCTTCGTAATTCTCCACTCGGCGAGCTGAAAGCTTTTTTGGTTTGTGCGTGGGAACGGTGTTCTCTGAAAGCATCGAGGAGGTGGGTGATTAACCCTCTCGTTCATGAATGATTTAAATAAAATGTAAAAAAAAATTGTATTTATTATTATTTTAAGTTAAAAAAATTAGGAATCAAAGGAAACTTCTCCTCTAAAATGTTGAAATGAAAATCATATAATTCCACAGCAATCCTTTATATTTTATATCTGTATATAAAAAACACGTTTTTTGTTTTAGTTCATCAGTATTATTATCAAGCAGCATTTGTTTAAGTAAGCAAGCAACCCCTAAACCGGTTTTGACTTTCTGGGCCTCATAAGCAGAGTCAGGCTCATTAAACAAACGCTTCTTGACTTAACAGATGTCATTGGCAAGAGCATCCCGTTCACGTACACAAACTGATTATGCGCTGCCGTGGGTAAAGCGCGTAAAAGCAGAGATTAGTTATGTGCCCACACATAAACAAGCCATACATTTTAGCCGATCAGCCCATTGGCTTTTCAGACATATAAATATCAGAGCAGTCCACCGCAGCGGTTGACACACTGCACGAGTGTCAATAAATCACAGCGGGGGGAGGAGGGGAGGTGGCTGAGTGAATACTGCGCTGTGTCTGAGCCCCCCTGAGTCAGCTCCACCGAGTCGGCACCGCTCGGCTAATTTCTGGCTCGCGTTAGACACGGAATCAGGTTTCACTTTGTATTCTGCCACAACGCTCCCGATCGCTAAATGACCGCACAACAATAACAACAGCGACAACAGCAGCAACATAAAAAACGACAAAAAGCATCATTGTCCACGCGTGTAAATTGACAGCAAATACACATTAAAAAGGTCCCTTTAAAGCACGTTGGAAGTGGGCACCTAATTGCTGGGGGAGCCGGCCTGGCAATCGGATGACGGCGATGATGATGATGATGGTGGTGATCACGATAATAGCCGGGCGTGTGTGGGTGGGCACCAGGAGCACGCGGAGTTGCCGGCCGTGATTCCGTGACGCGCCGCGATTCCCAGCGTCGTCGTCGTGGTGGCATCGGTAGCGTCTGTCGGGCACCGGTGAAAGGAGACCTCCATATCTCATCGGATTCCTCCAGTCTCATTTAAAGATTCCGATTCTGTTGCGGCGGCATCGTGGCGAGAGAGGGGTCAGGAGTGGACCCCCTGGCACGCGGCAGCATAGAGGCGTTTCTGTCCAAACGAGCGGTTCGACCATGAGGCACAGATCAAGGGTCGGCAAACAAAAATAACACGGAGAGATACAAAAAAAAAATCCGAATTCTGTAAAAATACTCAAAATGAAACTCGATGTTGCAAGAGCCGCTATGCACGTGAATGACGCCACGAGGCGGTGCTTAAAGAGCCGCAGGTTGCTGACCCCTGGGCCCAGACCATATCGTTTCGTTGGTCAGTACTACCTGGGCATTGGGAAACTAAAGTTGTATCGACATCTTTAAGTCGCCAATAAAAGCGAATGATGATTTGTGATTGAATTTTTGGGTTAGGCCACGTCAACGATCGGGCCCTGAAAATCACTTGTGAATCATCGCAATATTGGCCGCGAATCCATACATGTGAAGTGAATGAAATCAACAACGTTATTACAATATATTCTTAGGTTTTTTCGGTAAAGTCACGTAGGTAAAATGTTTAAATTAATATTAATAAAAGTAAAATAAAATAAAAATAAAATAAAAATCACGACGTTTCGGAGGCAACACAAGTCTCCGTCATCAGGTGGGACCGTCACAGTCAGATTTGCTGCAAATCTGGCTGTGACCTTGGTATTTTATTTTACTTTTATTAATTTTAATGTTTTACCTACGTGACTTTACCGAAAAAACCTAAGAATATGAATCCTTGCAGTCACGAAAGCTTCAAATCTAGAAGTTATTACAATATGCTTTATTTAACCAAGGAGATTAAATTATATAGACCCATCGAGATCATGGAAACATTGCCTCTGTTGCAATGGCAGCCTTGATTTGCATCGTTATTTTATGCATACCGAATGATTAAAAAAAAATATTTTTACGTAACATCTAACGATAATTTAATACACAATACATGTGCGTTTTATCACGTCATCCACTTTTTGTGTCGATGCCCATCGTGACGTCCGACATTCCGCTGCACGTACCGGGATCTCCTCTGGGATCCGGATTGAACAACTGAAGTGGCTCCCAGGATGTACACTGGAGGAACGCCAAGCAACACGCAACACAACTAGAAAACAAACCGAGCAGCTGTCCGGCACAATCGTGAAAAAACGAACGCAGTAGCGTCATTTTTTTCTTCCAATATTCGGAAGTCACTAGAGCTATGCACGTTTGAAAAAACGAATTTCTTTAGAACTGCTCTTTGTGTTTAGGTTGTTGTCCTTCCACCGTACCAGTTGGCTACGTACGGTGCGAAAGAAGTTCAACACACATCCATAATGCTCAACAGTAGAAGGCTGGCGATTAGGCTCATGGCAAGCTGTAGCTGCCATTCATGATGACGTCTGTCCGCGCCCGGGCAAACGTTCCGCCTATGCTCAGATTAATCCGCGATTAGACTTTAAACAATGCCCAGGCAAGGCCAGGGGCTTAATTTCTCATTGAACATTTTCTGTGTCACCGGTAGACTGGAATGGAGTGGCACGTGACTGGTAGTAGCCACAGCCCTAGTGAGAGCTATACGTACGTATGCTTTGTGTATATGAACATCTAAAATGGGATTTCTTTTTTTACACTGTTTTAGATTGTTTTTTGAGCACTGGTGTTTTTTTGTATCCTATTTGCAGTGAGTTCTGACGTGGATTGCATGTCAATAATTTGTGGATTATTTGCTCTGGTTAGTTTGCACATTCCCTCCACCCTGCATTGTGCTGTAACTGCTGCCACTGTCTTGGGCTGTGAACTATGAATCTCTGTGTAACTTTATGGATCTCTATGTAACTATATGGATCTTTTTTTTAAATATAAGGATCTCTATTAACCTCTGGATCCCTATATAACTCAATGTAACTCAATTGATCTCTATGTAACTCTATGTAACTCTGCAGATCACTATGAAACTCAATGGATGTCTATGTACCTCTATAGATCTTTCTGTAGCGTAATAGATGTCTACGGAACTTTATGGATCTCTATGCAACTCTCTGTAGCTCAATGGATTAATATGCAACTCTATGTATCTCTCTGTAACTCAATGAATTTCTATGCAACTCTGTGGATCTTTATGCCACCCTACGTCACTGCAATGTCCTGTAACTGCCACCACGGCCGACGGCCTTGGGTTGAGTTCGTCCGTGTAACAGAGCTGCTTAAACTCAATGGGGCCTCGCCAGCTGAAATAATAATAAGGCCGGAGTCTTGACAAAACAGCGCACGGTCGCTTTCAGTCGCTGCACGGTATTTTCATTTGCTAAGCCGCGTCGTCCGCTGGAAGCAAATGCGATTTCTCACTTGAATGTGGCGGGAATAGGCTCGCGTGTCTTAAGACGTAAATGTGATTGAGGCTGGAACAATGGGGCTATTGTTGCTGCATTCAACAGTGGCTGGGCGGTGCACTGAAGCGTTTGGGTCGGTGAAAAGCATCCCGTGTGGCCATTCTCGCCGTGCACTTCAGTGCCACACAGAGCCACCCTTTAAATCATTCATCCTCTGATTTTATTTTTACGAAACATCGCCAGCATCAGCAGCAGCAGAAAAATGACAGTGCCAGGATGTTATGTTAAGTTTAGAGTGCATGATTAAAACACGTTCTTTATTCAATGTATGTATGTTGAACATCTTTCGCACCGTACACAGCCGACCGCGCTATGGATATATAATAAATAACACAAACATGTTATTATTATTATAAATCACGAGCATGTTATTTATTATAAATTACAAATAAATAACATGTCCGCGATGTGGGTGGGTGGCTCAGGAGTCAGAAGCACCAAGCCGGCTCCTGCTGTGATGCTGGTGATGTGGTTCAGCGGGGTTCTCAAGTGCAGCGGAGTTGATGGTCCCAGTCCGGTCACCAAAAAGCAAAAACAAAATAAATAAAAAATGCCCGTAAATGTCGTCGCATTCAATGTGGGTGTGCGTGTAATTTGGAGAAAAATGTATTACAGCTCTGAGAGATGAAATTCACAATTTTTGGGGAAGGCCTCATCCAGCAGTGGATCGACAGAATTGGCCCCAACTGAGCAACTGTTTATCGTGCTCCACTGCAGTGTTCGTTGAGGCGTTGCCCCCCATCGTGCGTGCGGGTTTTTCTTCGGGAGCTCCAGTTTCCCCCCACGCGTAAACACGATTGGCCAATTAACACCTTCACATATCGAGGACTGCAGAGCTTGGGCAACTGTTGTCGCCGGCTGGGCACGTGACTGCCTTCCCACCTGCCTGTGGTTCCGCGTGCCTCCGATTAATTCCCGGTCGTGGGAGAGCGAGTGAACCACTGTGCGGGCTACAAGTCGAAATTATTATAATAATACACCATGTAGGACATCAGGGTTTCATCACTGCTGACACGTTGTTGTCGTCTGGGCTGTGACCTCCAGACGTATCGGTGGACGGCGCGGTGGCCAACGTGGAGGAGGAAGAGGAGGTGGTGCAGTGCACCGTCGCGGTGCCGGTGTCCCTGGAGGTGACCGTCAGGAACCACAGCGGCGGCGCCGTGGGGCCCCTGTCGCTGTCCATGGTGCTGGGTGACGGCACGCGGCACCCCGAGGAGGAGGAGGAGGCGGCGATGATCGCCCGGCTTGGCGCCAGCGTGGCGCTCGTACCGCAGGTGGAGTGGGGGGGGGGGCACCGCAACGCCGCCCGCACCGGTATCGTCCTGCCCGACTCACCGGCCGCTCGTCAAGCCAACACGCGGACGAGGGCCTCACCCCACGCCGTGTCGTTGGTCACGTGGGGTGTTTTTGGCCGTACTTGACCGTGCTGCCCATTGCCCGTTTGTGTGAATGAACCAGCGCCAGAGCCGGTTCAGATGGCTCCGATGTTGCCAGTGGGCGAGAATCGAGCCCGGGTCACTGGGTTCAGAGTACGGTGCGCTAACCACTGCGCCAGCACTCAACCTCCGGGTAGATTATAACAACAACGATGATTATAATGATCGTGAAGTATTAATCCAGGAAAGACTCAAAGAGCGTTTCGAGAGGGCCCTACAATGGAAAGTTTGGGAAAACCTACACGTGCGAAGGGGTAACAATATCCCCGTTCAGATGGAAACAGATGGAGATTAGTCGACTTGCCGTATCTTGGCTCCTGACGAGTCAGGATACGGCACCTTGACGCCCACGGGAAAGTATGTATGTTGAACTTCTGTCACACCGTACGTAGCTAACCGTGCTAATCGGAGGTGCGGCGAAGGACAACAACCTAAACTCAAAAAGCAGTTCTGAGGAAATGAGTTTTCAGTCTCGAAAGGGAGTTGTCCATGTCCACGTGATCCGCCAACCCTGGCCTCGGGAGTGGCGGTACCTCCGGCGTGCGCCGTCGCGCCCACCTCTAGAGGAATCGATGGGGGCGCGACGACTCCGATGGTGACGGCGACGACAACACGACCCAGAAAAGTGGCCGTCCATCGCTGCCGTTTTTTGTGTTTTTTGCTGCACAAAGGCGACGCGATGGGCCCCAGCACTCCGTGTCCCGCCACGTGGCACCGGCTCAATGTGTCCCCAATCACCGGGGGCCAGCAACTGTCTTGCTGGCCTGATTGGCCGCCTTGTCCTTTCAAGATTGAAGAGCGAAGCGAGATGAGTCGAGGTGCCGCGTGTGTCAATGGGGCACCGGGGGAGAGTGGAGGGGCACGGGGCTTAGAGAGTTCAAGCCGCGGTCACGAGGTGCCTCTGTGCTTGCACTCCCACGGCTTTGCTCTTGCAAGCGAGTTTTTTTTGCACGAGCATTTTATACGTTACGCATTTTGTGTACGCATCGTTTTAATTGCACTGTGGGTGTCGTCAAGTCACGAAACAAAGGAAGCGTTTGGAAGTGTCGCAAAGCGGCGCAGACTTCCGTGTGTGAGTGGCCCGCAGACGTGGATATCGGAGAACTACCGCCGAGATCGATTCAAGTGAACTCTGGTGCACCCACACACTCTGCCACCAAGAGTAATGTTTAATATGTTTAAATTTCCGAGGTGGAAATTACCCCCATTAAGTGCAGAATCCAATTTCACGTGATGGGTTTTGTGAGTGTGTGTGTGTGTGTGCAGCGTGAGACCATGAACCATAACTATACTTGAAATCCTGGCTTTAAAAGATGACGTAACCCAGAGAGCCCTTGCAAAGGAGGAAATGTTGTTCCATGTGTCTCAGTGACTGCGTTTGATCCCAGGATTGTCAGCAGTGCCGGCTCAGCGTTCGGACATTTGCTCCACCCAGTTACCTCCCCTACACCACCCAGTTACCTCCCCTACACCACCCAGTTACCTCCGCTGCACCACCAAAGCAGCGAAAGTTGCGCGTGTGACCGGCATTGACGCAGCTCTCGTTGGGAAGCCCCTGATTTTGTTTTCGTCGCTTTTGCAGGTGGAGGCGTGGGGCTCGGCGTCGTTCTTCTTCGCGATCATGCCGCTGGAGCCCTGCGACCGCCGCGTGGCCTTCAGATTCAGCGAGAGCCGCGAAGCCGGGGCCGCCCCCCGATGCGTCTGGCATCGCCTGTGCTCCCTTGGCCTCCGGGCGAAGGTCGCGGGCGAACTTCTCGGGCTCCCGGGAACGGGATGAGCGGGAGGCGACGCCCTCGTACCCTCGGCTCGAGCGCCGCCGACGATCGTCGACGTCGCCGCCCTAGCGACGATGGCGGTGACGATGGCGATGGCGGTGACGGCGACGATGAAGACGAAGTCTTCGCCCCCCACCGCTCGTTTTGGTGCGGAGGGCCGCGCACGAAGACGCGTGCGGACTTTGCGCTGCGGAAAAAGCAATCGAGAGGAACGATTTCGCAGGCCGTCAATGTTTAAAAAAAATATATATTTTTTTTAAGTACCATATATTTTTTTAATTTCTGTGTTGGATGTTTTTTTTTTACGCTCTCAATTGAAGTGCGCTTTTTTTGCTGGGTCGGCTGCAGGAGTCGAGAAATGACTTATTATTATTATTATGATTGAGCTCGTGAAGATGCCCCGTGGAGTAGAGCGTGGCGAACGCTGTCGAGACGAAACTTTCTCGACACGTGGTGGCCCTACCTGGCGACAAACGCGCTCGGATGACAAACGTCGCTGCGACATTTTTCATCAAACAAACAAACAAACGCACTGCGACATTTATTGCACAAATATGAAATGTCTGATCGAGTGCAGGTGTTGATAACTCGGTGCTATTTAAATGCTTTAAAGTTGTATGATCGATAAGATAACTTGTGTTGTTGTTGTTGCGTCACTGCCGGTGCGGGCTTACACTGCTAACAGATGCGCGTACTTATCGGGATTGTTTAATGTCTTTTAATTATATTTTTCCAACGATCAATGACCAGGTGACTGCTAATAGAAGGCCGTGTTATTGATCGTAACGCTGTTGATTAAACAAATTAAAACTCCCCCCGCCAAAAAAAACACACAAACGATGCTGGCTGGGGAAAAAAAACGTAAATTAAAAAAATACACAAAACTAAAGTCAACGATGCTCGCTCGATTATTTTATTTTGCCATCGTCGGCACGCGAGAGAAAGGGGCCACCGCCTCTATGAGCAATGGCTGGTCGAAGAACCAGAGCTCTCTCTCCTCGCTCGTGAAGTCGACCTGCCCAGTGGCCAGAGGTCGCAACCGGGTACCCGATACCCGTACCCTACCTGATACCCGGCTACCCGTACCCGGCTGGGTACGGGTACGGGTAGCCGTTTTCGACCCTGGTGCGTCCGGGTACGGGTAGGCCGTGAGTCACTGGTGAGTAACCGTTTGTCACTCATTTCGGGTAGGGTACGGGTAGGGAACGGGTACCCGTACCCGGCCGGGTACGGGTACTCATTTGCGACCCTGGTGCGGCCGGGTACGGGTAAGGAATCAAAACCCGTTTGCGACCTCTGCCAGTGGCCCATGCAACACACGGATAACAAAAACACACCGGTGCCTCGTCAAAACCAGACGCAGAGAGGGCGTTGTGCTCTCACGCAAAGATTCGAAGGATCGTGCGGACGGAGACCAGTGGTGTCTTTGAGAAGAGTAGAGTCTTGGGTTACAAACAGGGTGCAGCTGCACTGTCGTCGTAAACAGCTTGGTTGAAGTGTGGGGAAGGGGGTGTGTGGATGTCTCATGTAATAATTCCCCTTCATATTTGCTTTAAAAAAAAAACATTGGGCGACGACCGCGGGTGCCGGTCCAGGACACGCTGGTGGGACTACGTCGCTCGGCTGGCCTGGGGAATCCTGGGAAATCCCCAGGAAGAGCTGGAGTCTGTCGCCAGGGAAAGGGAGGTGTGGACCGCCTCTACTCAATAAGCTGTCACCGAGACCCTCACCAGGACAAGCGTTTTGAGAAACGAACGAACATTCCCAAAGGAATCCCGACCGGCGCTATCGTCACCGTGTCATCGGTGCGCGTCTCCCGCAGGGCAAGAACTCGTCGTGCCGTGGGTGTTCCAGAGCTACCGCATGAGACGTTTTCAATCGACCCCTGCCTCCCCCACCATCGGGGGGGGGAGGTGGACAGCACTTTGCCGCTCCCTCTGCGTACGAGTGGAACCGTTCGTCGAACGACAGTTTAACTGATATTTATAATTCGCAGAACTCGAATTTAGACAATTTAAGTGCAGAACTAAATGTAATGTGGTGTGTGTGTGTACACACACACCAACTTATATGTCTGTCTATATGTCTCTGGTTCTATGTTTTATCTCTCTCTCAAATTTAGCGTTCTCAGAAAGAACGTAATCAACCAGGTAGGGTGTTGACTGTTATGTTATCTCTGCTGTATTACATTACATTTCTAAGTATACTAGATTTGTGTTTCTATTTCATTTATACCTGATGATGATTGCTTGTGTTGCAATCGAAACGTCGTATGCTAGTATTTAATTTATTACTTTCTCTTTATACGTGACTTTACCGAAAGAACCAAAGAGTAATTCCTGCAGTCACGAAAGCTCAAAATTAAGTATGTGTGTGTACAGTCATAATTGTTGAGAACCACCGGTTCAATCACAAGGTTGGCAACAGCCTGCAGTCGAACCCACGATCTCTGTGTTTGCCAGCTCAGCGCCCTAACCTCCAAGCCACCCGGCCTCCTCAGCGTTCAGTAATGCCGATTGCGCGTATAGCCGCAACCACCTCTGCGATAACCGCGCCACCGACTCGTTTGACCCTCCCCATTTTGCCGAGTAAGCTCATTCTAGTATATGTCACCCTGCACCACGACGCTGCCCGTGCTTGACTGCACAAATGGCTTTTATCGGCGTGTACTGGACTCCCAAGCCGAGAGGGAGACGCGGCCTTGACAAGGAGACAATGTCACCCACGGAACGCGAGTGGATATTGTGATGTGGTGGGCGGGGGAGGGGTTGTGGTACACCTGTGGGTCTGTGCAGAGCGATTTCACGCGCGCCGTAGGTTCGTTACCCAGTCCCCATGAATTCGGGCAGAATGAACTCGCAGTAAATCAAGTGGCACTCGAGCACCGCTAGAAATAACGATGCTCCAGGCGGTCTCGTCGGTCCTCCTTCGCCTTGCGGAGATGACGCAGCACTTCGCGCAGGTGACACGATCGGAGGGCAGCAGTTTGTGCCATCCCCATACAGCGGTGTTCTTCACTCATTTTCAGAAAGGTGGGGGGGGGGGGATTTTCGCTGATGAGACATCATCAGCGTGTGAGGGCCGCCACACGTTTGAAACCATTGGGGGAGTTTATACTTTTTGTTTTTTTCGGTAAAGTCACGTAGGTAAAAAATAAAATAAATTCTAAATGAAAACAACTAAATTAAATCACGACGTTTCGGGCGCAACACAAGCGTCCGTCTCCAGGTGGGGACAACGTAGCGAAAGCACATCCGCTTAAGTGTGTCTAAGAGAAGGCTGTGACGAGGAGTTATATAGTTGCGGGGGAAGGAGGGGTGGAGGGGGCATGGTGAGTGTGGGGGCGGGGTGTGGGCTGGGAGGTAACCTGGAGTTCAAACTGAAGCTTTGTGATGCAGGGGGCGGAAGTAGATAAGAAAGCTAAGTTAAGCCGATTAAAGACATTGGGGTTTTGACATCAGCACGACGATGATGATGATGATGATTGGGGGGGGGGGGTTGTCACATTGTCAGAGACCGCACATCAGGGGCCTCACTAAATGCCACCAGGGACCGCCAGTGGCCACCTTGCAATGAAGAACCCTCCGCTACACGAAGAGAGGGCAGCAGTATTTACATATATACACCAGCAGTACACAGTCGGTGAATCTCATTGAGCACACGGGGAGGACGCTTTATTTGAGAGTCGCCCTGCCACAGAGTTGTTGTATCACACCGGTCCGTTGCGCACAGTCAGCACATCGAAGAAGAGAGTGGAAACTCAGCCGAGACGAGAGACTGCGTCCCGTGGGCTCTCACCTCCACATTGGCTCTCTCGCCGATCGCTCCCACGGGTGTCGCCTGGTCCACGCCTTGGCAGATCGTGTCCAGCAGACGCAGATCCGTGTCGGCGTCTTGTCCTAGGACTCCCGAAAGGCTCGAATGAAGCGTATCCCGCACCTCCGATTAGCACGGTTGCCTATGTACGGTGCGAAAGAAGTGCAACGTTCTGTATACTGTGTGTGTGTCATTCTTCTGTGTATTGCAAATCAGTGTGGTTCTATCCTACCCTGGGTGTAAGTGTACTGCAGCGAGGTGGCGTGCAGTCTAACTAAAGCCTTTTCAGCCATCTTCTTGGCAAATTGCCTCTGGGAATCTGTGCCCTCGTCTTGAATCAAAACGTGAATCCCGTTCCATTCAGTGGACCACGTGGCGACCATTCAGGAGGCCACGTGTCCTCCAATCAGTAGGTCACGTGGCTTCCATTCAGTGGGCCACGTGGCGTTCCCTAATATTTCAAGCCTCGCTCTCCTTGTCTAAGCGCCTCCCTTGTGGTAAGTACTCTCCCCGCATAGGATGAACTCTCTCCGCTTAACGCTCCCCAAGACACAGCAAAATACAATGATACTTCTACTCCCACTCACCCAAACCCAACCAGTCAAATTCTACACGCCGTTCGGGGAAGAAACGTCTCACCTTTGTTCCCACGTGTGCCACTGGACGGGAGGTGAAATGCATCATCATCATCAGGCACGTCACACTGGGTGTTTTTTTTGTAGTCGAGAGAGGCGAGAGGGGGGGGGGTCCCACCTTCAGGAGGTAGGATGTGGGGGCGGCTTTCGTTGTAAATCGACCATGAAAAAGTAGTCGATTGCAATTATCAGTTAATCAATCAGCCCAATCGACCCATTGCCCCAGCACTACTTTGTTGCATATCCCCTTGGCTCGAGGGATCTCTGTTTTTAACCCCAACTTGAGCCCCCTATCAATTGCTTTGTGGATACAAGCGAGCATCCCATAAAATGTGCGCGCGCGCGCGCGTGTGTGTGTGTGCACATGTAAAATAACCCGTGCAAACGCCAGTCTTTACCCACGCGTTAATTTCTTTTTATTGTCATTGTTCAAAGTCGTTAATACAGCTGTGCTCACAATGACAGGGATCAGGTGCCCACTGCAGCTTTACGCAAATGTTGTTGTTGTTGTTCTCGGTCTGTAACTTCATCCCACACTGCCGTGTGCAAGACCTCCCTCAATTTTCTTCCGATCCTTTCATTAAAAACTCAACATTCGTCCATAACACCGCCTCTAAAAGAAGGAAAATTTTTTTTTTTTAAAACGTCAGCGCTAACAATGTCTACAACTCTTCCGATTATATACTGGTTTTCTTTTTGAAGGCCACTGTTATTCACGCATGTTTTGAGGTTGTGGTTTTTAGTTGTTGTTGTACTTGGGCACCGCTGCCAACGCAGCAACAGCAGCAACATCGGAGCATTCCCTTTCCTGAGCTGCTCCATAACCAGTCGTGGCCTCCACTCCTGCCGTCTCCTCCGCTTCTCTTCCCTTCTCCGGGTCTCCACAAATACTCTGTGGGTACACTTGTGCGCGACTCTAACCGCACGTGCGCCCCACTCAGCGATACGACGAACAACAGTGCCCGGGGCACAAGGCGAAAGGCTGTAATTTGATGAGTGCCGAGAGCTCTCATTATTAGATCGTTGCCGTGACCGTTTTTACAATGTGATGCTGAATGGCCGGGTGTGCGTTGGCGTTAGATTTTGACGGCGGTGTTCGAATCTCCACTCCGAGCGTTTGCTTTTGTATTTGATGACTCCCATCGGCGACGCATGCACCCTTCTCTGTTAACTCACCCAGGGCTCCCGTGTTCAACCCATAGTCGCCTAACTCGCGTTCTACTCGGGCCACTGTCGAATGAAAGATAGGTCATCGCTGCCCGACAGGCAAGGTTGCAGCGAACACACACACACAAAAAACCTTCGAATTGTACGGTTGGCTATGTACGGTGCGGAAGAAGTTCAACATACATACGACACACATTAATCCGTTACTGCCAGAGGGGCGGGTGGCGGAAATATGAGAGAGAGAAACACACAAGGTCGCGTCTTTTTTAATTGACACACACGGCGCGATTGAGAGTGTGATAGAGAGAGAGAGGGAGCATAGCAAATAAAAGGACGATGCCAATAACAAATCATGAGCAGGTGTTGTGTGTCTCTTGAGCGGTTGGGGTCTGGGTACTAGACAAGTTTTTTTTATCTTGGCGGCGCTATTGGAAGCAACGCGCCCCCCGCTGCTGCCGCATCAGCTGCTGCCGTTAGCACCGCGGACAGCTCCAAACTGCCCGTCCCGCCTTAAGCTCGCCCAGCAGCGAGTAGCAGCAGCATCCGCGTCGGCGGTGGTGGTGGTGGTGGTGGCGGTAGTGGTGGTGGTGGTGGCGGTGGTGGTGGTGGGGGCGGTAGTGGTGGTGGTGGTGGCGGTGGTGGTGGTGGGGGCGGTGGTGGTGGTGGCGGTGGTGGTGGCGGCGGTGGTGGCGGCGGCGGTGGTGGCGGCGGTGGCGGTGGCGGCGGCGGCGGCGGTGGCGGTGGTGGTGGCGGTGGCGGTGGTGGCGGTGGTGGCGGCGGTGGTGGTGGTGGCGGTGGCGGTGGCGGTGGCGGTGGCGGCGGCTGGCAGGCGGGGGGAGAGAGCGGGGGAGGAGGCAGTCATTTTGTTTCATCCAACTTTCCTTCCTTCTCCACCACTCGTTCTTCATGATTTTAATATTCTCTTTCAGAATCCTAGTTTTTTCTTTTCTTTCAAAAGCCACTGCGCCTCTCGAACGCGTCGAGGTTAATAATAGCTCGTTCGCTGTGTACGTCCCAGCGCAATTACATACAGCACGCTGCGCGTCTATTTTTAAACATCGCGCCGAGCCTAGGAGCGTTCGCCAGATTTTTTTTATTGTTGCTGTTGCCGAGTGCTGCCGAGCCCAGAGCCTCCACACCCACCTCGCCCCCTTCACGCGCCCCCCCCCCCCCCCTCGCCGCCGCTGCCGCACCACCACCACAAGTTGACGGTTCTCCCCGCGCCGATGCCGCCGAGTCGCGCCGGCGACGGCGGCGCCAGGCGCTCGCAACGATGGTGACGAGCCGACTTCGCCCATGGCTCTAAACCGGGAGAACTGCCTCGATCGCATTCTGCGATATCTCGGCTTGCGGCTACCGGGCTCGCGTCGCTCCAGCAGCCTCCTGTGCCTCTCGAACCGCTCCGACGACCGCCTCGACCAGGGAGGACACCAACACCACCAACACCACCACTACCACCGCCGCCAGCAGCAGCAGCAGCACCGCCACCATGAAGCGCACCGAGTCTCGCAGCCAGGACACGGCTGCGGCGGCGAGGGTCGGGACGCGCACCCCTGGGCGATCCGCTTGCGGGACGCGCTGAGCGGAGATGCGATGTGGATGCGGCACGTCGCGGAGGCGATGCAGAGTCAGAACGCGCGCACCGTCACTCTGATCGCGGTCACGTTCGCCTATCTGCTGCTCGGCGCCCTGGTGTTCGAGGCGTTCGAGTCCAAGAACGAGGTGGAGGAGAGCGGCAAGCTGCAGAGCAGGGAGGACGCGCTGAGAACCAAGTACAACATCAGCAAAGACGACTACCGCGACATGGAGAGACTCGTGATCGAGTCCAAGCCGCACAAGGCTGGGGAGCAGTGGAGATTCTCGGGCTCGTTTTACTTTGCCATCACGGTCATCACGACCATCGGTGAGCGCGCCCCGGGTTCCTCCTGCGCGCGGCACCCCTTCCCAGTCGCGTGTGATCTTTGGGGAGAGAGGTTGTTCGTGGGTGTTGGTGTTGGTGTGTGTGCGTATGGAGTGGGGAGCGATAGTGTAGCGGTTAGCGCGCTGCGCTATGAACCCGGCGACACGGGTTCGATTCCCGCTCACTGCCAACATCAGTGACAATTATCTTAACCGGTCCCGGGCCTCCTCTAGGTCGACTCAGCCTCAAATGAGTATCTGGTGCGATGTGTAAACATTGCCACTAGGGAGACAAAGGCGGTCGGGCGTGGTGCTGGCCACCCACCCCCTCGTGTACCGTTCTGGCCTTCATAGGTGCTCGCTAACAGCACTTGTCCCTACAGTCTGTTAAGGCTATACAGGGGATCTTTATCTTTGTGCGTATGGAGTGGAGGAGTTAGCGCGCTACGCTACAAAGTCGGCGACCCAAGTTCGATTCCCGCTCATGATCGACACCAGCGACGATGTGCTGAACCGGTCCTGGGCCTCCCCTAAGTTGATTCAGCCTCAAATGTTTACACACCACGCCAGAGTACCTGGTGTGGGGTGTAAACATTGCCACTGAGGAGACAAAGGCGGCCGGGCGATGTGCTGGCCACCCACCCCCTCGTTTACCGCGCCGGCCTTCGTAGGTGCTCGCTAACAGCACTTGCCCCAACAGTATGTTACGGCTATACGGGGGATCTTAGTCTTTGTGTGTGTGTGTGTGCGTGCGTGGCTTATTTGTGGGGAGCGGTTAGTCATCGCGTTTCCCTACGAATCCGGCCACCCGAGGTGTGTAAACTTCAACACTGGGGAGACAAAGGCGGCCGGCCGCGGTGCTGGTCACACACACACCCTGGTGTGTCTGTGCCGGCCTTCATACGTGTTTGCGCACTGCACTTTCCCCAACAGTTTGCTAAGCCTATCCGGATGATCTTTGTCTGTGTACATCATAGTTTTGTGCTGCGTGTGTTAAAGTATCTGCAATCGTTATCATGCCCGTCGGCGTTGTTGTTTAGAAGTAGGTGTGTGTTGGTTTTCTTAATTCAGCAACAATCTATGTACATTTTTACATTATTAATGATATTCTAGATTTGAAGTTTTCGTGACTGCAAGGATACTGGTTTTTTTTCTTCGGTAAAGTAACGTAGGTAAAGTTTTTAAATAAATTAAATCACGACGTTTCGGGCGCAACACAAGCGTCCTTCTTCAGGTGGGGACAACTATTTCTCCAGGTAAACCTCGCCGTGTCTCAAGAACCCCTTTTCTGGAGCTCTCTGTGTTTGGATGTTTGACCAGAGCATTTTTCAATTATTCGTAACGAGAGTAAGATGTGTCATTCATTCATCCATCCAGGAAGCCTCGCTGAGACTCAAGACTTATTGTTTTTTATTCTTTCACGAGTATGCTGTGGTGGGATGTTTGGTCATTCCCATTAAACGAGAGTTGCTTTTTGGACGTGTGGAGCAAGCTGTTGGGTGCCCGGAGAAAGTCCCTCCATAGCGAGTGGGTAACGCTCTCGACTGCTCAACGGCAGAGTGCGGTCAACGTGGGGTCTGAATGCGGCAATTGGTGGTGGTCTCATGGCGTTCCAGAGTTTTCTCGTGAGTTCATTCGCCCGGCCTTGAGGGATTTGATTAAGCGTGGTCGGGGTGGGAGGGGGGGGGGCTGATCAGAAGACTTACCGTTCAGACACGTGTGCTCATGGAGCAATGTCCAGGCATGCAGCGTTAGAAAGCCTCGTGAACGCTGGACGTTTACATTTTGCGTTCGTCTTAATGCAACTTTTCAGATCACGGTTCACTCACCACGTTGGATGATCTAACAACAACAAAGACGTAATGTAGGCGATGATCTTTAGAGGAGATTGAGTATTTTAGCGTCGTCTATGCATTGCGGTTAAACGATTTAATATCAACCGTTAGGGGGAAAAAGTTACCTGGGCTACGAACGATGATGATCGATTGATGATCGATGGTTAAAATAAATGACAGAGAGCCAAGGAATGGATCCGAGCAGATGGAGCGATGGTCAAGTCCGCTGATGTGCAGGTGCTGGGTGAATTATAAACATCGCAGATCGTGGAAGGTAAAAGCAGTGGACTGATCGTGGCCGATTATAAATACTGGAAACATTCATAATGCAGGTTTTTTGGGGGGTTAAATCGCGTAAATATAAATGTGTCGTTAAACCCGCCACCACCCGACACAACCAATTTAGTAAGGTTTGTCACGTAAACAGAACGTGCCAATTCGTTACTCGTACAGCACACCGGTGTGTTGGAGAGCCACTACAAATCTGGTTGCCGCCTGATGATGCCGGTTGTAATTACTGGCGAAACGTCGTACTCAGATTATAAATGTCGTGGATATGATATTGGTTGCGAAAGCCTCCTACGTGTTGTTGAACTGACTGTAAACATTCTATCGGCGATATCGTTATTTGACATCACGGCATTCGTGACAATTGCATCCCACGACGCTGTACGTCAATTATATACAATGGCCAAATCCTATTTATTATAGCTTACTAACGAGCAAATGGGGACGAAAATAAACCGCCCCCCCCCCCCTTCGAAAGTAAGACGTGAATAATAAACAAATACATTTGCGTCAACAGCACAGAACAACGAAAAATATGATCACAGCGGGGGGGGGGGGGGGCAATTTTAGTCGATCAAAGTCAAATCACGGACCGTGCCGTTTTTCGTTCCATCCGCGGGTCATCTCACGAGGGGGGGACGAGGCAGGCGCCAGGGTCGAGAGGTCACGGGGGTCACGATCGCCTCTCGGCGGTCAACAGGACCCTCGGTCCGTGAGCAAGGGGACGACTTGGAAGGTGTCATCCAAATTGAATCGTTTAACGGGAATTTGACAAACTGTGGACCCCCCCCCCCCCCCCCACCACCGATCTCCCTTCTCCCCTGGCGCCGACACACAACTGGTCTACCCCTGACGTCCACGTGAATCACGACGGTTAATAATACAGAGCGCCCCGTGAATTTTGCACGCGTGCGTGTCTGCATGTTGAACTTCTTTCGCGCGCCGTACGCAGCCGACCGTGGCAATCGGAGGCGCGGGGAAAGGACAACGAACTGAAGACAAACCGCAGTTCCGCAGACATTAGTTGCCAATGTATAAGCGTGATTGCGGTGTGCTAACCACTGCGCCACGGCTCCTCCCACCACACGGTGATTTGTCGCCGACAAAATGTATGAAATAAAGAGTTATTATTTTAATCTGTTTTCATCAGCTATGCTTAGATATGGCGCTTCAGAAAGTGTATCTGTGTATTATGAAGAAAGCAATCGTACTGCGTATAAGTGGAGCGGTGGCGCAGTGGTTAGCGCACTTCCATTACAACTCGGGCACCCGAGATTGATTCCGGGCCATCAGTTGGCGAGTGATACCCGAACCGGTCCTGGGCTCCACCCGTTCAACAAACCCACACTAACCAGCGTGGGGAAGTATGGCCCAAATAACCCCCCCCCCCCGTGATGGAGACGGCATTGGGATGACTGCGTACAGCTGTGTGCTGTATTGACATCGAATTATTTGACGATGCTGCCACTGCTGCTCCTGCGTTGCGTCGGCAGTTGTGCAACGAGCACGATCAACAACAACAACAACTCAACACATGTATCAATGACAATGCGGGCCTTCAAAGGTAAGATATACAATAGGCGACGTTTCGGCGAATGGCCCTTCCTCATAGTACATCGATCATAAGTGTCCTCCCACACGTGAACACGCATGCATTGGCCGAGAACACCTTCACGCCTAGAGGAGCGCCAGAACTTGAGCAATTGTTGGTAGTTTCAACGTTGCTGCGTTCCCCTCCTCGCCCCCCCCACCACCTCCCCGTGTCACGGCGGGTTACGATGTGACATTATTACGTACAATTAACTTTAAAATAACGCCGAAGTGTACGCTCCACATTTCACACGCGGTAACGCGATACGGGGGGTGATTGTATCGGTTACAGCAGAGGCGGCGCAGGAGCGCAATTGCGCATTGAGTCCGGTTAACCGAGTTGGCTTCCCGCCCACGGCTAACATCAGTGGTGAGCGAGGTCTGAATTGGCTCTGGTGCTGTGGCTTTCGCCCAACTGAGCAGCGTTGGTGAAGTATGGTCAAATCACCCACCCACCCCCCTGGCCGACGCGAGCTTGGAGAGGCCTTCATCCAGCAGTGGATTGACAACGTTGCTGTAGATTCTTATTATTACGACTGTCACAATGGTGATGGGTCCGTTGCATCGCGGGTTTGCCGACAACTTCGCGGGTATGGGTGTGGGACAGGATAGAGCGCCGACATTACACACGCAAAAATAATGATGATTTTAATTTTTCGTGACTGCAGGAATCCATCCTATCTGGTTCTTCCGTTAAAGTCACGTAGTTAGAAGAAAACATAATAAAATAAAACACGACGTTTCGGCCGCTTGTGTTGCGACCCAAACGTCGTGTTTTCTTTTATTCATGTTTTCTATCTACGTGACTTTACCGAAAGAACCAGAGAGTACAAAAACAATAACATCGAATAAGGTGCGGCGATGAATCGGACAAGAAATCCGCACAAAAGCAATCGCGCCGCACCTGCTGGCAAGTGGAGAACACTGCACAAACACAACATCGGTGCCAATCAATAGAACTTCCCCGCGGGCGTCATCGGCTGGGACAGGTTTATCATCCCTCGATTTGATCGCAGAGCAATTGACAAGTCGCAGAAACGCCAAGCGACTATCAGGTAACCGTAGTTGTGAACGTGTAAACCAGACGAGGATATCTGTGCAGTGTGTGATGCGTGGTTGGTGGCAGAAGGTCGCAACCGGGTACCCGATACCCGTACCCTACCCCAGGCCGGGTACGGGTAGACCGTGAGTCACAAGTGAGTAACTGTTTGTCACTCATTTCTCAACGTCTTGTCTCGTCTCACAATTCAAGTTCCTAGAATCAACCCACCCGCGCCTGCAACATGGCATCATCCCAGAGGTCGCAATCAGGTACCCGATACCCGTACCCTACCCGTACCCGGCCGGGTACGGGTAGGGTACGGGTAGGGTACGGGTACGGTTAGGGAACGGGTACCCGTACCCGGCCGGGTACGGGTACCCGTTTGCGACCCTGGTGCGGCCGGGTACGGGTAAGGAGTCAAAACCCGTTTGCGACTTCTGATTGGTGGTCTGCGTCGACGACATGCCAAGTGGCGGTTGTATACGCTGAGTGCGGGGAACACATCGACCGTGTTGAGTGAGCTCACGTGTGTCTCTGTGTTGCCAGAGTGTCTGGCGTGTGTGTGTCTGTGTGGTTTGTGTCTATTTGGGGTGTCGCTGTGGTACGTGACTGCGGGTCATGTGGCCGTGATATGCAGCTGACAGGAACGTGTTGGTGGTGTGTATATCTGGGGTGATGTGTGACACTGTCGTGTTGTGTGCCTGTGTGTCTCCATGTGATGCGTACCTGTGTGTGGTGTGTGTGTGTGACATGTGCCTGTGGCATGTTCCTGCGTGGTTGTGTGTGCCATGTGACTGTCTGTGATGTGGCTGTGTTGGTGTCTTGCTCTGTTGGCGCACCGCTGCGCTACGTGGCTCTGAGTTGGCAGTGTGCCGGCCTGTTGTGAATTCACAGTGCCACTCCCAGGACCGGCCCGGCACTGCATCTCGGCCCGAGTGCAATGGGCAACCAATAGTGGACTTGCAACCCAACAGACACTCTCCCTCGAACCCTCGTATTCACAGAGGGACATCACCCAAATTTCCAGCTGCTTTTAGGGTGGCCGCTGCTCCCCGTTCTGGCTTCTTTTTGTGTTTGTTTGTTTGTTGTTCTGGCGATAATCCCTCTTGTCCGAGGCATCATCCGTCCTGGCCTGCGGATGCTGACATCCGCCAACGCGTGTCCGCGTCTCTCCCCCCCCCCCCCCCTCTATTGTTTTGTTTTCCCCCCACCCCCGAGGCTACGGACACTCGGCGCCCAACACGAACAAGGGCAAGGTGTTCTGCATGTGCTACGCGCTCCTGGGCATCCCGCTCACGCTCGTCATGTTCCAGAGCCTGGGCGAGCGCATGAACACCTACGTGAAGCGTCTGTTGCGGAGGCTCAAGAAGTGCGCGGGCCTCAAGAACACCGAGGTGTCTACGCGCAACATGGTGACCGTGGGGCTGCTGTCGTGCGCCGGCACCCTCTGCATCGGCGCCGCCGCCTTCTGCCACCTGGAGAACTGGCTCTTCTTCGACGCCTTCTACTTCTGCTTCATCACGCTCACCACCATTGGCCTGGGCGATTTCGTGGCGCTGCAGAAGGACAACGCCCTGCAGGACGACCACCTGTACGTGGCCTTCAGCTTCATGTACATCCTCGTGGGGCTCACGGTCATCGGCGCCTTCCTCAACCTCGTGGTGCTGCGCTATCTGACAGGTGAGTGGCGAGGACGAGGAGGTGGCGGTCTCGGGCGGCGAGGAGAGGGAGTCTCTGCGGCCGGGCAAGGGAGGCGTCCTCCTGCGCCTGCACGGAGGGTCCACGGATAGCCCCGACCTGCAGTCCGTGTGCTCGTGCATCTGCTACGGACACCGCGAACGACAACAACATCAGCAGCAGCAGGAGCAGCAGCACGAGCAGCAGCAGCAGCCTCGGCCGCGCTTTCTAGACGGCTGTCGCTCCAAGGTAGACGCGAGCCGCGGCCTCGTGTGCGGCTCGCTGTCCTACCAGCTGGAGGAGATCTCCCCGAGCAAGCTGACCGGCAGGCTGCACTCATCGGGACTCAGCTCCGCGTCGGGACTACACAGCTCGTGGCGGGATAGTGGGAGGTTCTCCCGCAGGAGTTCCATGTAGGACCCACCCCCACCCCACACACACACCTCTTACACGTGCCATCGACGACGAGCAATGGTTGTGCCTCCCTCTGATCTCGTCTGGACTGGACGGAAGGAAGGTGGACACCGCTCACTGGTCGGCGAGCGACGTTTCGCCGATCACTCGTGCCGAGGGAAGGCGCGCGTTGCGCCAGGAAGCTTTCGTGAAACGCGACCGGGGCGGTCTCTTTCGGTGCTTGGACCCGCGAGGAGGAATAATGCGCGGCCCAGCGGGAGGTCGCGTCGAGGCCGTTCAGGCAGATGCGAGGTCGCGATCGGCATTGGGGATACGCAACATCAAGGCAACGCGCCTACCGTGAACAGGGGGACGCGCCCGCGGTGCTAATGGTGAGGCCACCCGAACCGGCGATCCCAGAGATCGACCGGGTGGATCTCCCCGGGTAGAAACAACGGCGCAGGTTGAGCAAACCTCCTCCACCTCTGTCGCACGTGCACGTTATTTAAACAATGGGAGTGCCGGCAAGCGAGTCAATGGTTCAGGGCGCGCGTGGTGTGGTAAAGTGTGGGCAACTCCCACGTCCTCCCAAACACCTTCTGGCCGGCAATGAAGGGCAGGTCGGGTGGGGGGGGGGGGGGTACCTTCCGCCAGCAACGGCAGTGAACGAGGAATTGCAGGGCTGCGCTTTTGCCTTCACACCTCCCATTAGAGACACTGCAGAGAGCGGTTCGAGTGTTAGCGACATCTCCAGCCGAAGCTTCACTGTTAGAAGTCGAAGTCATCATTTTTTTTTGGCTTGAAAAAAAACGTGGCACCATTCTGGCACGAAAATTTGCCACTCAAAGCGCCATCGCATTAATACTCAGCTATAAAAAATATATTATATCGACCTACTGCCAGATGAAGGCCTACCCACGCCGTGTCGGTCACGGGAATTGTTGACCATACTTCACCACGTTTGTCAGTGCGGGTGAGTCAAATGAGAGGGAGGCTGCAGGTGCAGTTCAGATGTCACAGGCCAACTGATGTTAGCCGTGCCCGGGAATGGAACTCAAGTGGGCCGGGGGGCGGGTAGGTTCTTAGCGCACTGCGCCAACCATTACACCATCGCTCCACCCCCACCACATTGTTCTAAAGGGATGGGTGCTGTGAGGGGGGGGGGGGGTGAATGGAATTTGCTGACATTTGTGTGGTGGCGAAGCAGGCGTCTCAAACCACAATGTTCTTGCTTCCCCATTCTGCAGCTCAACCGTTCCGTGCTTACCAATAATTTCCGCTCTAATGTCAAATACAATTCATCTTCAGTGGAGGAGGTGGGGACTGGACGATTTTTCTGAATATTTTGGGGGGCAATGGGGGTGGTTGGAGGGGGATTGTGACGCACAGGGCAGGTCCAGGTGTATGCGCGTGCACGTGGACTGATGCTGCCCCACGTGCACGCGCGGTGCTCCCCAGTGCTCGGGTAAAACTCCTCGTTCCTGCCTTGAAACCAGCCCCATCGCCTCTACCTGGCCCGCCCCCAACTACCATCAGGAGTACCTCTTTCACTACCACAACCCCTATCACTACTACCACTATCACTACCCCTATCACTACCCCTACCCCTACCCCTTTCACTACCCCAACCCCTATCACTACCCCTACCCCTTCCACTACCCTTATCACTACCCCTATCACTACTACCCCTATCACTACCCCTACCCCTATCACTACCCTACTCCTTCTACTACCCCAACCCCTATCACTACCCCTACCCCTATCACTACCCTACCCCTTCTACTACCCCAACCCCTATCACTACCCCTAACACTACTACCACTTTCACTTCCCCAACCCCTATCACGACTACCCCTATCACTACCCCTTTCACTACCCAACCCCTATCACTACCACCCCTATCACTACTACTACCCCAACCCCTATCACTACCCCTAACCAAACCCCTATCACGACCCCTAACCCAACCCCTATCACTACGCTTAACCCAACCCCTGTCACTTCTACCCTATCACTACCCCTACCCCAACCCCTATCACTACTACCCCTATCACTACCCCTACCCCAACCCCTATCACTACGCTTAACCCAACCCCTGTCACTACTACCCTATCACTACCCCAACCCCTATCACTACCCCTAACCAAACCCCTATCACGACCCCTAACCCAACCCCTATCACTACGCTTAACCCAACCCCTGTCACTTCTACCCTATCACTACCCCTACCCCAATCCCTATCACTACGCTTAACCCAACCCCTGTCACTATTACCCTATCACTACCCCAACCCCTATCACTACTACCCCTATCACGACCCCTAACCAAACCCCTATCACTACTACCCCTAACACTACCTTTACCCCAACCCCTATCACGACCCCTAACCCAACCCCTATCACTACCCCTACCCCTATCACTACCCCAACCCCTATCACTACTACCGCTGTCACTACCCCTATCACTACATTCACCGCTTCCCCCTACCCCAACCTCTCAATTCTGTTCCTGCATGTGCCGCTGGACGGGAGGTGAGCGACGGGGCTTGGTGACGTCTTCGGCGTCGTCAGCCGCGTTACGCTGGGCGTGGCCTATGGGGGGGGGGGGTTCCCGCCTTCGGGCTACAAGATGTGGGAGCGGCCGTCCGTTTATTTTTTATTTGCCCACTAAAAATTGTCAATTACAATCTTCTATCGATTAATCGACGTAACCCAGTAAAGGTCCCAGCGCCGGTGAGCTCTGTCCCCGTCATCATTACCGTCTCGTGCAGAGTGCGCACGGTGCATTCGCGTTACCGTCACCCGCAAAACTTATCAAAGCTTCTTTTAATAATTAAGGTTTTTTTGGGTTAGTTCGCGTAAGTATAAATGCGTCGTAACCCTCCACCACCCGACACAGCCAATCAGCAACGGTGCATTGGAGAGTGAATCCACAACATTTACAATCTAGACTTGAAGTTTTCGTTACTGCAGGAATCCATACTCTTTGGTTCTTTCGGTAAAGTCACGTAGGTAGAAAATAAACTAAATTACGTTTATAATAAACAATTGCTTATTGCTGTGGTTGTTTCCACCTGCTGACGGGCACTTGTGTTGCGCCCGAAACGTCGTAATTTTGAATTTATTTTGCACCGACGTGACTTTACCGAAAGAACCAAAGAGTAACATTTACAATTCGCCTTAACGCGGGTGCTGCCACGGCATTGCAAATGACGCACCTAACCACGATCCAATGGATACGTAAATACACGGAACGTTGGGCTGACGTTGCATCAACGTTCGTCCGACGGTTCCAACCACGTGCCAACCAACGTTGGCCCAACGATAAACGTTTACAGGAGTATACAGCCCATACTTTGGAAGCTGGGGGCGGGGGTTGGGGTGTCTGTCCCACGAGCGAATATTTCTCAGCGATCATTAGTTCTGACACAAACTCACGGTGTGTGGTGCAAGGTCTTTGTTGTTGTGTTTGTGTAGTGTAGCGGTGAGCACTACGCTGCACTACACGAAACCGGCGACCCGAGTTTGATTGCCGCTCACGATCAGCACCAGTGACGATTATCAGAATCGGTCCTGGGCCTCCACCTAGGTAGACTCAGCCTCGAATGAGTACCTCGTGCTGCGCGTAAACATCGCCACGAGGGAGACGTGGTGCTAGCCACCCACCCCCTCGTGTGCCATGCCGGCCTTCATAGGTGCTCGCTAACAGCACTTGTCCCAACATTCTGTTAAGGCTATACGGGGGATATTTGTGTGTTTTTTTGCTTGTTTGCGTTGCCGTGGGGGATCCCCAGAGCGTTATATGGAGTGCTCCTGCCAACACCCATATGGTAATCCAGCAACATTTGTTCACAATCCTGACTCTGGACCGGCTTCGACATCCCGCGTCTCATCAGCAGTGTCAGGGTTGTCAAACAAATTCCGCTCAATGCTATTGGCCTGAAACGCCCGCAGGTTGGAGCACAGACAGGATCCATGTCGTCATGGATTAGAGGAGTTCAATTTGAACCACAATGAGGCTGCATCTACACAGCTACTGGCTACCGACTCGCTAACCGAACCTACTGTTTGCCCACGCTACTGTGTATTCAAAGTAAACAAAAACTCAACACAATCCTCTATATCACTGTGTTGCCTGACAATGACTACATTTCTATATCATAGATGACGATTCGGGGAATGGTTCTTCTTCATGGCACATCAATCATCACGTGTGCTCTGAAGAAGGGGCATTGCTTGAAACGTCGCCTATTATATATTTTAAGGACAAATCGTTATTTGACGAATGTATTGCGTAGTCATTTACACTATGAGATATCTTTTAGCAGTGGCAAAATATAGTAGTAGGTTTTTACCCTTTTAAACTGGTACAAAACTGACACCTTTATTCAAGGCATCATGTTTGCAATAACCACAATACAAGTAGTCAAAAAAGCAAAAAATAGAAGCAACTCTGATAATATTATTATCATTATCAGAGTTGCTTCTTTTTGTTTGCTTTTTTGACTACTTGTGTTGTGGTTATTGCAAACATGATGCCTTGAATAAAGGTGTCAGTTTTGTACCAGTTTAAAAGGGCAAAAACCTACTACTATGTGATGCGTTGTCGTCGTTAATTGTGCTTGTGTGCCAACGCAACAGCCGCAGCATCAGCAGATAATCCGTTCGTTCCGTCATCAGCTTCTTCAGCATCACGAATCTCGTTTCCAAACATTTTGGATAGGTGTCCGGACCCCCCCCCCCCCTACCACGACACCCCCAGTTGCTTGCCCCCCCCCCCCCTCCTTGAAGGAAACAAATACGACGGAGAAAGAGAATCAAGAAGTTTCACCCAACCAGCGCTCGTTCCACGTGTCTGTTGAGAAAGAGAGCCAGCCGTGTCATCACCGCCCTCTGGTGGTGGCGACGGTGGTGGTGGTGGTGGTGCCGGTGAACTGAAATTGATTACAGCTAGAAGGCCGAAATGTTGAGTTACCCAGTAAACTTGCCAGCCAACGTTGGCTCAACGTTGAGCTAACGTTGGCATGTTTACTGGGAAGGCTAATATAAAAACAAACTAAAAGTAATAATTATCGTCGTTGTAGAGAATACAAATAACGACGTAAATAACCAATGTCTCTTTCAATATAGCCGTTTCTCCACAGTAAAAAGTAAACGCAAGTTGCATTGCGGCTGATGGTTTTAAGAAATGCTCGCATTCTTTGACGTGATTAGACGGATTATTTTTCTCCTTATTTATTTGATCATTTAAAAACCGGTCATCAGAAATCGTCGTTTTGAAATTCAATTCTCATCAGTGCCAGACTAATATGGTCACGCACATACCCGAATATAAGACGCAGCCCCCCCCCCCACCCCTCTCCCCACTCCCTCCCTCTCCAATGTTCTCTATAAAATACAAAGGAAACAAACGTGCGTCTTATAATCCGGCGAACGCGGTGTTAGCACCGCGGCGCAGTGAAGGCCGCGGCCGTGGAGCCCTCTGGCGGGCGGGGAGCGGTGGCGCAGTGGTTAGCGCACTGCGCCACGATCTCGAAGATGCGATTTCACATTCCCGTGCACTGCCAATGTCAGTGGCGATCGCTGAACCGGATCCTGCGCCTCACTTAGGAATTGACTCGTGCTCGAATGAGGTGCAGTATGTAGCACTGGGGAAACAAAGGCGGCCGGGCGTGTTTCAAGCCACACCCACCCTCTCGTGTGCCGTGCCGGCCTTAAAAGGTGATCGCAAACAGCACTTTGCCCCAAGAGTCTTGTAAAGGCTATACGGGGGATCTTTGTCTTTGTATCCGCCCAAAGGTCTGACTACCAAGTTTGATCTTCTTGGTTCTTTCGGTAAAGTCACGAAGAAGGGAAATAATAAAATAATAATAAAACATGATAAAATACAATTCTCACGACGTTTATTTTATCATTTTATTATTTCCCTTCTACGTGACTTTACCGAAAGAACCAAGAAGATGAATCCCTGCAGTCACGAAAGCTTTAAATCGAAAAATAACAAGTTTGAGTTAACAATCCATAAATACTTGTCAGTGGAGAGTCGTCGCTTCATTTGTAACATGGGCCTCCACTACGTCGACTCAGCCTTAAATGAGCACCAGCACGGTGCAGTGTGGCAACATCGTCAACGGAGAGACGACGCGAAGCATTCTGCATCTTATTTATTTAAAACAAATATTGCCAAATGAAGTGAAAATTGGATTTCACGTGAATCTTTTTCGTTTAGTCTTTGTTCGAGCCCGTCAATTCTCTACGCCCGAGTAGCCGCTTTGACAATGCGTGGCTGAAAAACCTGGATTCCATCCCAGATGTTCAGCAGCTTTGGTGGAATTGAGTGATCGGGCAATTGCTCTCCCAATGTTAGCTGAAACAATAGAAATCCGTATCCGCCCTTCTCTTTGGCGGCTTCTTTTCCCCGATGTCTGCTTCCCCCAATAATAACTCTTGCGGTGCTGTCGGTTGCTGGCCGCTTGGTCGCGTCGGTCCTTTGAGGCTTGTGCTCAGCCTCAACCCTTGCCCCGTCGAGCCCTCCCCCTCTCTCTCTCTCGATGGCGAGAGACACCGCAAGTGCTTCACGCCCTTGACGATCGCGCCCACACTTGTGCAACAGAGTGAACACGTTAGGCCAATTCGCATGGGATCACCCGTAATGCCGGTGTTGTAATAACGGAGATGATAATTGTTGTAATGATAATAATCATGGTAATGACGATGTCACGTCATTTTCTTAGGAAAGTCTCATTGAGATTCAGGTCAATTTTATTTGCCCACGAGGGGATATATTTGCATATATGGCCAATTCCATATATGGGGATGTATGGCCAGTTCAATTGGAATTCTTGCTTTGCATGTAAAATTTGATTTTTTTTTACGAGTACCCGGAGAAAACCCACGCATGCGAGTGGACAATAAAAACAATAATACTCATCAACGGTCCACATCCGAGAGGTTCACGAACCCAAACTCGCTCTTCTCGCCGTCCCTTGGCCGTCCCATTGAGGGATTTGGGAGTTTCGCAGATCTCTGCATGACCCACCAACCCTTGCCTCCAAAGTGCTCGAACGCAGGCGTCGGGGTCGCCGCGAACCAGGTTCGACTCCGGGTCGAGTCTTCGTTATCTCCTGCCCGAGGGCTTCAATTTATTCACGGAATAATTACCGCGTGGCTCGTTAGACCGGAGCAGGGGACACATTGATGAAGGACACACACAAAAAGCTGTTCTAAAAGAAACGAGCTTTCAATCAGCATGATTGAAAAGTGCATAACCCCGGCGGCTTCCTTATATCGGAGGGAAGAGCGTTCCAGACGGCACACGGAAAGCGCATTCGAAATCGTGCGATTCAGTGGCCGTCTCTGTTCGATGGTTGTCCTGGCTCCGGGTGAAATGAAGCATGAAGCCCTGTCGTGTTACCCCCCTCACCGAACCCCCTACTGCGGTTGCTGTGTCCCCTATGTTCGCCACTTGGAGCCCCGAGAGCTCTCGCCGTTCACGTCAAGTCCCTGCGCCGATGGTCGTAGAGCCCCAAGCCGTAGGCACCGCCGGGTTTCCGATTCGTTGACGACGAGAAGATGCTGCTGCGTGGGGGTTGTTCGCGGTTTGTGGAGCTGTCACGGCTCGCCGTCGTATTCTCTGGCTGGTGCACGCACGATGTCCCGACGTTTCGGCTCCTATTGTTGCCACCTGACCTAGGTTTTTTTTATCTCTCTCTCTCCATGATTCGTCCTCCGTTTGCGGTAGCAAATTCTGTGAAATCTGTCAGTCTTCCCGGGACATTACAAATCCCGGTTGTTGTCAGTTGTGTGTTAGTAATAATATTGACGTACCACGTGCACTTAGTTCTACTCTCTTCTTCCCGTATTGTGAGATATTCTACTTTGCCGCACGATATTCGCTGGTTTTTTTGTATCTCAGAGGTGGCAACCCCGTGCCCTTAACGCGTTGAGAGCTTCTGAAGGAACGAAATTGAGCAGTTTACTTTCTCCCCTGGATTATAAATCTGCTCCGTTTCGTTTGCGGAAGACGCTCCCGGCACGTAGAGCGAAACGTCGGACATTGTCGCGAGCAAAACGCGGTACGTCCCGAACACACATCGTAGAGAGGAGAAAACTACAACTTTTTAGTTTTTTTGTTTGTAAACTTGACTAATTTTCCTTGAAATTGGAGAAGCATATATAATGCATGTGTAAATGCCTTTCTTGTCTTGCGTGGAATATAAATTAGTGACTCAAAAGACAAAAAGCTGTTTCATTACGTAAACATTAAATTGCATTTTAGTCGTTCGGCCTCGTTGAGCAGTGCTTTCCAGCAAACGAATGTTGCTGCGAATCTTAACATGATTTTGATTCGATTAAGTATTTTGTTTAGTTCACTGCCAATAGCAGTCTTTTGCTCAATCTCCTTCCATGTCCGTGTGATCGTGAGCCTCTTTCTTGATTTCTGTGTGTGCCCCCTACCCAGCCCACACACGACATGTTCACTCACAGCAGCACCACCCACAGCATCAACACACAACATCAACACACATCATCACACACACACGCATCAACACACAACATCACCACACACACAACATCTTCACACACAGCATCAACACACAACATCAACACACATCATCACACACACACACGCATCAACACACACACACCATCACCACACACACGCATCAACACACACACCATCACCACACACACACATCATCTCACACACACGCATCAACACACAGCATCAACACACACGCATCTTCACACACAGCATCAACACACAACATCAACACACATCATCACACACACACACGCATCAACACATCATCACACATACACGCGTCAACACACACAGCATCAACATCATCATCTTTCCTTCCAGAGCTTCCTTCATCAATGCTCTCACCTCCACCATTGCGCCCGATCTCCATTTGCTCCATTTACCGATTCGTCCCACCCTGCTCGCCACCACCTGGGCCTTCCCGAGATGCTCCTCCCCACGCTTTCTCTCCAGGTGTATATATTTGTTTTATGTGTTCGACCTACTTTTCCCCAAAACCACCTTTTCCTCGGATACCCAGCACTTGATTATTCGACCAAAAAGAACTGAAAAAAACATAATTCGTTAAAATCGGAAACCCAGTGTCTGTCAAAGTTAGTGTTCAATGTATGAAAACATAACAATAGGGTTTACCCTTTCTTGCAATACAACAGCTTTAAAGATGTTCAAACACCAAATGACACCTTTTGCAAGAACCCAGTCTGCGTTAACCACACGTACTTGTGTTGAACATGCACACACACCTGCTCTGATAATCCACGCATTGTCTTTGAAACTCATGGGCCTACACCAGAGACAGCCTTCATCATGGCCCAGACCAGAAAACGCCAAAAGGCGACCAATACAAAGACAACGCCACACGCATCAGAACATTTATTGCTCTGGGTGCTCCTTCTTTGCGCCGTCGTTTAAACGCCTGAATGAACCTGTGTCGGAAAACGTATACGGTACCATTTCTACACGGTTACACGCAACGTCTTAAAACCGCATGCATGGTGTTCATGAAACTATATTACCCACGTGTATGTTTTATGTTTCTTGTTTGGGATATGTTGGTAGTGTGTGTGTGTATGCGCGTGCGCGTGTTGAGTGTGTTGCAAATTGCACATTAGTGCCAGTGGCATCGTGTTAAAGAAGCCTGGCTTTGTGATTTTCCGAGGAGCTGCTTTGGAACTTCTGATATGCGGAGGAGTCAAATCTTAAGAATGTATTGGGCAGCACCGCTTGAGCGTGAGTTCTGCGACAGCCGTAGGAGCGGGGACTGCACAAAGCAAACAGCAGTGTACCGCTCCCTGCTCTATTTTGTACAATGGGATTTGCTTGGGATTGAGGTTTGAATCGGGGGGGGAGGGCGGTTGAGACTCCTGTGTATGTAACTTTACTGCCACAAGGAGAACGAAGCATCAACTCCTCCTCCTCCTCGGCTGCCGTCGAGGAATGCAGAATGTATGATATTGTACAGCTTTTTTTCTAATTTTTTGCATTAAAGAGCTAAACTTGCGTGATTCGAAAAAAATACCGACGTTGTCATTCTGTGTCTCTTGCGCGTTTGCCTCGCTCGTTCATCCGGCAGGCGCACGGCGTGGACACGCACGGCCCCATCTCGATTGACAACTCAATTCTTTAGCGCTGCTTTTTTTGGTGCTGAGTTTCGGTGTCCTTCCCCCGCACCTGCGATAAGCACGGCTGGCTACGTACGGTGCGAGAGAAGTTCAACGTGCCGTGCGTACACAGCGGGGGCCGTCACCGTCGTCACGGTGGCTTCCCACACAAGAGCTCTACAGCCCCCCCCTCCAACTCCCCCCCCCTGACCCCCCCCCCACCTCAGACAGCCCCCCCCCCGACCCCGCCTCCGAACATCCCCCCCCGACCCCGCCCTCCAACCCCCCGACCCCGCCCCCCAACCCCCCCGACCCCCTCGACCCCCCCGACATCCCCCTCCGACCCCTCCCCAACCCACCCCCCCGAACCCCCCCGAACCCCCCCGACCCCCCCCCCTCCAACCCCCCGACCCCGCCCCCCAACCCCCCCGACCCCCTCGACCCCCCCGACATCCCCCTCCGACCCCCCCCAACCCACCCCCCGAACCCCCCCGACCCCCCCCCCCCTCCAACCCCCCACCCCCCCGCCCGACCCTCCATGTGAGTGGGCGAAGGAGCCCCGGGGGCCTGTTGTGCCGCGACGTGAAATTTCGTGAGCACCAGACAATTGGCCAAGAGGTATAACCACTTTTATTGCTTTAAACTTTCCACGCGTACATATATATATGCATCATCTCTATGTGTGCGTGTCGCGTGGTCTATCTCGTGGTATTGCTGGACGATACGCGATTCATGCAGGCAGGCTGTGTGCGGAGAGGGCTGCGCGCTTGTCCGTGCGCGCGTTTCGCCCGGGGCACGCGGAACGTCGAGACGACGCCAACTCGTCAAGTTTCGTTGCAGACAGCGGGTGGAGCGAGCGGGGAAATCGCAGGGCCACGTGCATCCCCCCCGCCCCCGTGCCGTTACATTTTTTTTGTCTTGCACTTTAAAGAGCAACGCGTGCGGGGATGCCGTGCGGGGCGCAATCGCGAACCGATGGGGGGGGGACGGGCGGCTCGACTCCACGCGGTCGATCCACCGCTCGCCTATTGAGAAATACGTACGCGTCTCGACCCATCGTTAGATCAAACATCTTCCAAATAGATTTCGATTCATATTCGAAAGAACAGCACTCATTCGAATCGAAAAATGTATTTGGAGTCCCGGGATGGTGTTTGTCTAAATTTAGAGTGTTTATCCCGTAAATCGATCGGGTTTAACATAAGGAAAACAGGCGCCACGTGCCGAATGGGAACAGACATGGATTTCTTTAAAACTTGCTGTTGTGAGAATCTATGAAATACACAAGTCCTTAGCACAGCTTGGAAACTTCCTATTCGCTACCTACAGCAAGTCGGTAGCGTCATACGCGCATACATTTAATTGAATCAAGTTTCTGCGCCTAAAACCAGACGTGTAATGTTTAGTAAATGTTTATTTGACGTGCATAACATCTACTTCGCTCACCTATGGTGATGGCAACACGGGGAGTGAAAGTACGCCACTCACGACAAGCGGCGTGGTGTGGTGGTTGCTACGGGGCCTGGTGCAAGGGATGGATTTCCCACCTCTTCGTAGTCTGACGACTGAACTTCCTTGTGGGGGGGGGCATGGGGCTCTGGTGCAGTTGCACTACCTGCACACTCCATAACCACACCCAGGGATTCATTTCGGCGGGGAGTGTGTAGGCTGGCGGGCCCAAAAATATATTCGCACTCTGCACATCGCGTCCAGGAGAGCTCTCGCCATGGCCGCAGCTACCGCTGCACACGTGCCACCTTCTGCCCAGTCTAAGCGGTGACCTGCAAGTCATTCGGTGAGATATTAAGCCGTGCAGCTTCGGACGTGGCGAGATCGGACGTGGTGGGAGGGCGAGTCACCTCGCTCCGGACCTGCCTCCTCACCATCCGCGACCTCGCTCGCCCGCCCGCTCGCCCGCTCGCTCGCCCGCTCGCTCGCCCGCTCGCCCGCGCTCAGTCGACGTGCAGTTGCTTGCTGCCCATGACGATCATGCCAGCCAGCCAGGGTGGCAGGAAGAGCCCCAGGGTGCCCATCATGCACACGATGATGAAGGTCCACAGGAAGATCCTGTCCACCACCATCGCCACGTACTTCCAGTCTTGCTTAACCTGCACGGGGTGGGATGGGACGGTGGAGAGAGCGTCACAACAGCAAGGACACGAGTTCAATTCCCGACTCGGGCATCTTCCAGTGTGAAGTTTGTATGCTCCTCGCCCTGTTCTGTATGGGGCTTCCTCGGGGTTTACGTGTTCTGCTTCCTCCCATCGCTACCACAAACAGAATGTAAAATGGTATTGGCCGAAACATGCCAAGGCAGAAAAACGACCTTGCATATTACTCAATTGGGAGTACACAAAGGAACGTCGGCTCCTATTGGGGAAAAAAACGTGGCAGGATCCTCCTGAAAAGGAGCATTGAGACTCAGTGAGGCTTTCCTTGGTAAACAAGCAGAACAATCGTAGGGATCTGGAGATTACAAAGGCGCGCATTTCCCCCCCCTGTATTTTAAATCAATAGTTGGGGAGTTCGTCTTGTATCCCAGTAGCATGGTTGGCTACGTAGGGTGCGAAAGAAGTGCAACATACAGCTGTGTGTGCGGATTAACAGATTTATAAAAAAAAATATTGACAGCAGGCACAGGTTTTGGGGTGCGTCTTACTTTTCCCCTGGTCTGCAGAAAACGATAATACGTATGGACCATTGGCAGGGAGGCTACGATCCATGGGCTAAACATTGCCCGTGACTTCATTTCACACAACAACGAGAGACCTAACGCTTCGAAACGGACCACAAATGTGATTCATCCGTCACCAGAGACATCTTAGCCACACTCGGGCTTTAACGTCAGCCACAGCCCTCCAGGGCTGAGGTCCAAGGGTCTGGGGGAGGTGGGGGGAGGGGGGGGGCGGTTTGGGTTGCCCAGGAAAATATTCCATGAAAATTAAGTCCTGGCCGCACCAATCGGGTCCTAGAGGGGAATACATTTTTTTTGCTAAGTTTAGTATGCTCAGCTACATCTGTCTCTGAAAGTCCCGCGCGCAGTGGCAGGTGACGAGGTGACGAGGTGAAACGTGATGGTTAGCGCGCTGCGCTACGAACCCAGCGGCCCGAGTTCGATTCCCGCGCATGGCCAACACCAGTTACGATTATCTGAACCGGTCCTGGGCTTCCCTAGATCGACTCAGCCTCAAATGAGTACCTGGTGTGGTGCGTAAACATCGCCACTGGGGAGACAAAGGCGGCCGGCCGATGTGCTGGCCACCCACCCCCTCGTGTGCTGTGCCGACCTTCATAGGTGCTGCTTGCTAACAACCCTTGTCCCAACAGTCTCTGATCTTTGTCTTTGTTTGGCCCTTTCACGGGTGATTAAAAGTCCTACTCTGCCTTCAGACACAAGCCGGTCGCATCGCGACTCCTTGGGCCATTTTCAACGTTCTCGTTCTCAAGTTTGCTTCAGGCCGAGCGAGCCGGTCGGTTGGTAGGGGCCCCCAACTTTGGGCGGATAGATAATTTGCACGGCGGCTTCTTGAGCCACACACAACACACAGAACACACACACACAACACACACACAACACACAGACACAACACATACACAACACACACAACACACAGACACAACATACACACAACACACAAACAACACACAGACACAACACACAGACACAACACATAGACACACACAACACACACAACACACACAACACACAGACACAACACACACAACACACAACAACACACAGACACACACACACAACACATACAACACACACAGCACACAGACACAACACAGACACCACACATAACACACACAACACACACAACACAGACACAACACACACAACACACACACACAACACACAGACACAACACACACACACAACACACACACACAACACACAGACACAACACATACAACACACACAACACACACACAACACGCACACAACACACAGACACAACACACACACAACACACACACACACCACACACACAGACACAACACACAACACACAGACACAACACACAGACGCACACAACACGCCCGAGAGCATTTTCCGCGTTCTCACGATTTTCCGATCTATAATCGTGAGAGCCATGAACGCCGCTCACCATCTCCTGGCTTTTGGGAACCGGGGGGGGTGGGGGGGGGCGCGGAAAACCTCAATAAATCTACGGCGCCGATCTTATAGGTCGAGGACCCCCGGGTAATGGGCCCGAATTGACGCTAATGGTAATTTATCGCGGAGCCAGCTCAGCACGAAAGAGCCGGCGACGATAGATAACAGTGCGATTTACAGGCTCTATTCACGCTCTCGCACCCCCAGATCTCCCGGTGCGGCCTCGAGTTTCGGAGATGGAGAATTCACGGAGCAGCGCCGACGTAAATTGCCACGAACGCGGTCGAACCGTATCGATAATAGCAATGGCGAGATGTTAACTACCTCGCCTGGTATACAGGAGGTTGTGGGATCGATCCCGACCCTTGACGCCTGCTGCTGTATATTTGTAGTTTCAGTGCCTCTCTCTCTCATCATCATGGTGGCTAGGAGATGTTAACTACTTCGCCTGGTACACAGGAGGTTGTGGGATCGATCCCGACCCTTGATGCCTGCTGCTGTATACTACTTCGCCTGGTACACAGGAGGTTGTGGGATCGATCCCGACCCTTGACGCCTGCTGCTGTAGATTTGGCGTTTGCGTGTCTCTCTCTCCGCGTCGTCCCGTTTTCCCCTCCACATTTAGAATCAACATCACGCGTGTGGAGCATTTGGCTGCGATGCATTTCCACGCGATGATAAGCCACTTCGGTTGGGCTATCATTCGTGGCCAGGTCGCTTTTGAAAAAGAGTTACACAGCTCAATGGGCCTTATCTGGTAAAAAAAAATAATGTTTAAATGTGTTCAGTTTTAGCAGGATTTGAAGCTTTCGTGACTGCAGAAAAAAAAAATATTTTTATACCTACGTGACTTTACCGAAAGAACCAAAGAGTATAGTTTTAGCATGTTGTACATGCACAGCACATTTTATATATATACGGACCATACTTCACCAGGCTGGTGAGTGCGGATTGAGGCGAAGGTGTGGGGGGTTGTGGGGGGACATCAATGGGTGTTGCTGCACCGCCCCCTGCTGCTCACATTGTCTACTGCACCTCGCCATGGACCCACGGTGGCGGTCACCCGACCCCAGCGCTGTCCAGGCTCTGAGCAGGCTCAACCCCTGCTTAGCTTCGCAAGGCCTGACAAGATCGGGCGCGTCGCGGGTGAGTTGGTCGTGGGAGGAAGGTGGCGCCGCTGTGAAAATTCACGGCGTCATTTCTTCGTGAAAGGTGTTGGTTGGCGAGTCTGAACGCACGCTGAGTGGAACTGACCAGACAACTCAACGCAGGGGCCTGCTGGTAACCCACCCAGACGTAGACATGATACAAATACATTATCAGCCATGGTCGATCCACTGCTGGATGAAGGCTCCTTCCCCCCTCGATCCAAGCATACGTCTCCGCGCTCCTTTGCACAATTTTCAGTTGTTGTTCCCTGTAATTCGGGAACGACCACGTGTCGTTCATTGGTAGCCTGCATCAAATTACGGTGACGTAATTTGATCTTGTTTTTCCCAACTCTGCCTGTGTCCGGCTCCTCGTCCAATTCATAGCCGGAGCGAAGTGGAGCACTTCTCTCACCACGACCCCAACCCAGAGTCACAACGAGACATGGTGTGTCCCCACACCGCTCCTCCACTGCCACCCCCCCCCCCTACTGCGGTACCCACCCATGAAAAACTTAGGCACCAATACTCGCTCCATTGCCAACATTTCGGCAACACATTCGGACGGCCCTTGCCTGTCCCCCCCACCCGCCCTTGCCACGACACCACCACCACCACCCAACCCGGACTCCCTGCGGTGCGCCCTGCCGTGACCGGAGGACACAGCCCCAGTCGAAGTGACACGAGCCCAGGGCGCCGCGTTACCGACAAGTCGGCGTCCTCCGCGCGCAGGTGGTTGGCGATGTACTGCACCCCCTCTACGGCCAGCAGCAGGTTCCGCGAGAAGGCGCAGCGGCTGCAGTCCGCGTAGTCGTCTCCGCGAGACGACGGAGAGGGAGGAGCAGGAGGAGGCGTGAGCTGTTGGCAAAGCGGAGGGAGAGACGGCGCGAACCCGCACGCCGTCGGCGACTCGCGGACGGCGGCGGCGGCGTCGGTCGAGAGGTCCTCGCGGGAGCGGCGCGGCGGCGGCGGCGGCGACGGTGGCGCGCCGAGCCTCCCGGGCAGCCCCCGGGCCCTCTCGGCGACGTCCCCCGAGACGTCGCCGGCGATGACGGCGGCGGCCCCCGGGGCCTCGTCCGCCACGGCCGGGGCGAGGGCGGCAGCGGCTGCGGCCGCCTCGGCCTCGGCCACGCTCTGGGGCCTCCTCATGACGAGCCAGCGGGGGACGCGGTCGAGGAAGACGCGGCGCACCCAGCGCGGCATGCAGTGGGTGCCGCGCGAGCGGTGGTGCACGTTGAGCACGAACACCGTGATGACGATGGAGAGCGTGACGAAGATCATGGTGAAGAGGAGGTACTCGCCGATGAGCGGGATGACGAGCGACGTGGACGGGATGATCTCGGTGATGAGCAGCAGGAAGACGGAGAGCGACAGCAGCACGGAGATGCACAGGGTGATCTTCTCGCCGCAGTCCGAGGGCAGGTAGAAGACGAGCACGGTGAGGCACGAGATGAGCAGGCAGGGCACGATGAGGTTGATGGTGTAGAAGAGCGGCAGGCGGCGGATGATGAACGAGTAGGTGATGTCGGGGTAGATCTGCGGGCAGCAGTCGTACTTCTTGGTGTTGTACGTGCCCACGGCGTGCACGATGGCCCACTCGCCGCTCTCCCAGTAGTCCTTGAGGTCCACGTTGCGGCCCATGCTCTTGAGGTCGATCGTGGCCTTGTCGTAGGTCCACGAGCCGAACTTCATGGTGCAGTTCTGCTGGTCGAACGGGAAGAAGGTGACGTCGATGCTGCAGGAGCTCTTGTAGATGGCGGGCGGCGTCCAGCGCACCGTGCCGTTGTGGTGCACGTTCGCCTTGGTCATGTGCGTCACGATGAAGTCGCCGTCGGCGCTGCGACCGTCGCGGGCGGAGGGAGAGACGGCGAACGCAACGCTCCGATTAGCGGCGCGGTTTGGATACGTACGGAACGGTAGGAAGTTGGACGTACGTAAACGGACGTACGTAAACGTGCATACGTAAGGGGCCGTCCATAAATGACGTCGCGCGATTTTGGACGATTTTTGACCCCCCCCCCACCCCCATCGTCACACGGCGTCACAAAAAGGCAGACCCCCCCCTCAAATATGACGTCACAAAGCTCTGCCCCCCCCCCCCCCCCAAAAAAAATAAAACATGCTTCAAATCGCTTTAAACTATTGTCATTGTAGTGCGTATTTAATGTGGCGCTGTACTCTGATGTTGTAGGAGAAAACATTTATTAAAAAGTATATTTAATAGAGTAGAACGTGTTGTGTATATTTATTTAAAGTTGCGCATTTTGATGTGATGTCACATTTCTCAACCCCCCCCCCCCTCGTCACACATCGTCACAAACGTCTGACCCCTCCCCCCCTTAGGTGCGTGACGTCATTTATGGATGGCCCCTAAACGTGCGTACGTACGTGACGCAAACGGGACAATCGGGACACAATCAGAAATTACGAAACTATACCGGCCATTCCTCGATTTACGAATTCCCGATTATTGCGAATTTCCGCTTGGACGAAATTTGAATTGCGCCCCATGAACAAGAGGCCTCTGGGTCGGCGGCTCGCCGCGCGCTGTTGACCCCGCATGCCCGCGTCCTCCTCCCAGTGGGCACACAACGTTTGCTAGCGCGTCCTCCACAGTGTGCGTCCCCGAATCTGTCACGTTATTTGTCATTTGCCCCGAGCGCCCTTCAACGCGATGAGCGAGCGGACATCAAACGTCGCCGGCAATTACTCCGGCGCAGAAATCTCGGCGAGCGAGAGCGGTAAAGCCCGGTCACGAAAATGGACATCGTGAAGAAGGGAGAACGCTTGGCGGAGCGAGGCAGTATGGTCTGTGCTCTCAAAACGCGGTAGCAGCGTCGCTGACGAACGCAAATCGCATTATAACACACAGTCCGCGATAACACGGTGAGACGGGTAGGCAGGTAGCATCTAGAAGGATCCAGCAGCATCCCGCTGCCGTGTGCGATGCTACGCCGAGGCAGCCGTACGACCGCTTTATTCCGACTTCGCGCGACGTAGCTCTGTTCACTCAATCGCGTGATATCCAATTCGCATCCGCGTTATAATAAAAAAATGTGTTTCCGAATACATTCATCACGTTATAGAAACTGTTTATTTGACCAGGTAAAGCCAACTGAGCTATGAAGATCTTTTCCAGAAGCGACCTGGCCACAAATGATAGCCCAACGAAGTGGCTTATCACGTGGAGGTTAATAGTAGCCAAATCATCTAAACGCACGTTGATTCTAAATGTGGAGGGGAAAACCGGAGGACTCGGAGAAAAATCCATACGACCACGGGAAGAAAGAACACACAAACTCCAAACATACAGCAGGCATCAGGGTTGGGATAGAACCCACGACCTCCTGTATACCAGGCGATGTAGTCAACATCTCGTCACATTGGCGAGACGTTAACTCTAGATTTGAAGCTTTCGTGACTGCAAGGATTCAGACTCTTTGGTTTTTACGGTTGCGTCTATGAAAATTAGATTTATAGCTCATCGGATTCCTCCTGTAACAACTACGTCTTCTGATTCTCCCTGTAACAACTACGTCTTCTGATTCTCCTGTAACAACTACGTCATCTGATTCTCCTGTAACAACTACGTCTTCTGATTCTCCTGTAACAACTACGTCTTCTGATTTCCATGTAACAACTACGTCATCTGATTCTCCTGTAACAACTACGTCTTCTGATTCCCCTGTAACAACTACGTCTTCTGATTTCCATGTAACAACTACGTCTTCTGATTCTCCCTGTAACAACTACGTCTTCTGATTCTCCTGTAACAACTACGTCATCTGATGCCCCTCTAACAACTACGTCTTCTGATTCTCCCTGTAACAACTACGTCATCTGATTCTCCTGTAACAACTACGTCTTCTGATTCTCCTGTAACAACTACGTCATCTGATTCTCCTGTAACAACTACGTCTTCTGATTCTCCTGTAACAACTACGTCATCTGATTCTCCTGTAACAACTACGTCTTCTGATTCTCCCTGTAACAACTACGTCTTCTGACTCTCCTGTAACAACTACGTCATCTGATTTCCATGTAACAACTACGTCTTCTGACTCCCCTGTAACAACTACGTCTTCTGACTCTCCTGTAACAACTACGTCATCTGATTTCCATGTAACAACTACGTCATCTGACTCTCCTGTAACAACTACGTCATCTGATTCTCCTGTAACAACTACGTCATCTGACTCTCCTGTAACAACTACGTCTTCTGATTCTCCTGTAACAACTACGTCTTCTGATTCTCCCTGTAACAACTACGTCATCTGATTCTCCTGTAACAACTACGTCTTCTGATTCTCCTGTAACAACTACGTCTTCTGATTATCCCTGTAACAACTACGTCATCTGATTCTCCTGTAACAACTACGTCATCTGATTTCCATGTAACAACTACGTCTTCTGATTGTGATGTCGAGATGGCTGTCGGTCGCACGGCGAGGGGGCACCACCCACTTGTTGTAGAGGACGATGTCCGGGATCCAGATCATCTCGGAGGGCACCCGCAGGGACGTGACGTTGGCGTACTCGGTGGGATCCCAGCGCAGCTTGTAGTCGTGCCACTCCTGCGCAATAACGACGGCAACAGCGATCGAGTGTGCAGGCGGTGCAACTGCAGTGGTGTCAACTTTTGGCCCCGGACTAGGAGGCGTGGGGGCGCCCATTCCTTTGCTTGCAGCAGGCCCCACGCTCACCACGCTCACCAACATCGTCACCGCACGCTCACCACGCTCACCAACATCGTCACCGCACACCACGCTCACCAACATCGTCACCGCACACTCACCACTCTCACCACGCACCACGCTCACCACGCACCACGCTAACCACGCTCACCACACTCATCACGCACCACACTCACCACGCTCACCACGCTCATCACCCACCACACTCACCACACTCACCACTCTCACCACGCTCAGCACGCTCACCACACTCACCATGCACCACGCACCACACTCACCACGCACCACGCTCACCACGCTCGCCACTCTCACCACGCTCACCACGCTCACCACTCTCACCACGCACCACACTCACCACGCACCACGCTCACCACGCTCGCCACTCTCACCACGCTCACCACGCTCAGCACGCTCACCACACTCACCACGCACCACGCACCACACTCACCACGCACCACGCTCACCACGCTCGCCACTCTCACCACGCTCACCACACTCACCACGCACCACGCACCACACTCACCACGCACCACGCTCGCCACTCTCACCACGCTCACTACGCTCACCACTCTCACCACGCACCACGCTTACCACGCTCACCACGCTCACCACGCTTACCACGCTCACCACGCTCACCACGCACCTGCTTGAGCCAGACGTTCGTCGTCATCATCTGGTTCTTCTCGTCCTGCGGGGAGAGACGCGGACACAGGGCGGGCAGCCGGGTCACAATCGTGCCGCTTGACCAAAGCCGTCCCCTAGGGCAGGGGTCGGCAACCTACGGCTCCGGAGCCGCATGCGGCTCTTTACGGGCTGCTTTTTGACGATATGTACGTATGTACTCAGATGCATTGCGGCTCTTGAAATACTGACTTTTGTACCGAATTGGAAAGAAATGGCTCTTCTTGTTATTTTGGTTGCCGACCCCTGCCCTAGGGGTACACGGCGGACGGGGGGTGGGTGGAGGGGGAGGGCACCGCCCCGGGCCCCTCGCTTTGGGGGGGGAGGGGGGGGCGCATTTCGACGTCACGGTGTCAGATGTCACGCTTACGGTTCGGTTTGAAGGCGTCAAGAGGGCCTACACGGTGGCATTTTGCTCCGCAACCCTCACCCCCCTCACCCCCCCACCCGTCAGCCCCCCCGACAGATTGACGGCCCTGCCAGTGACATCCGATTGGCACGAGTTGTCACATCGCGTGCACCCTCTCTAATTGCTCTAAGGTTGACGCCTATTTCACTGCGATAGACTTCTCGATGGTGACATCTTGGTCAGTGCCAGGCACCGTCTCGGGCACCGGGGAATCTTGGCAACAGTCAAAGGGCCACTTCGTACCGTTCCATTGGAACGCTGGGTCTGTGAGTGGCTTTGAGGCCGTCCATAAATGACGTCACGCGATTTTGGACCATTTTTGACCCCCCCCCCCCTTCGTCACACGGCGTCACAAAAAGTCAGACCCCCCCCCCCTCAAATATGACGTCACGAAGCTCTGCCCCCCCCCTCCCCCCCCAAAAAAAAACATGCTTCAAATCGCTTTAAACTATTGTCATTGTAGTGCGTATTTAATGTGGCGCTGCACTCTGATGTTGTAGGAGAATTAGTTTTACTAAAAGTCTATTTAATTAAGTAGAACGTGTTGTCTATATTTATTTAAAGATGCGCATTTTGATGTGACGTCACATTTCTCACCCCCCCTCCCCTCGTCACACATCGTCACAAATGTCTGATCCCCCCCCTAGGTGCGTGACGTCATTTATGGACGGCCCCTTGGTCTGTACGCACACGCGAAGCGAAACGCGACTGCGCAGTGTGTAGCGTTCAAATCCAATCGCCCGATGTACTCCAAGTCGATACGGACCCATCACGCCGCGTCTCATCGGAGATTAGGAAGCTAAGCAGGTCTGGGCCTGCTGAGAGCTTGGGATGAGGGATTTGGTTGGTGCTAGGATGGGTCACCAGCATCAGTGCTTGCCAGGTGTTGTAGGCGTGGGGCTGCGAGGTATTGCCAAGAGATGGCAGATGGCATCGCTGTGTGTCAACCCCCTCTGGTGGACATCTGTGAAATAGAGCTTTATAGCTAATCGGATTCCTCCGGGATGACGAAGTATTCTGATTCTGTGTTGGTGGGTTTTCTCCGGAGTCTCTGGTTTTCCTTCCATGTCAAGGGCAATCTTTAAACGGCACATATATTTTATGCAGCATTATAATAATAATAACCTGCAGTATTTTATAAAGAATAATAATAATGTTCAGGTTTGTATCAATAATCCAGTGCTGGATGAATGCTTCCTCGGCAACAAGTCGGTCCATGGGGGTTATGTGGCCATACTTCATCAGCATGGGTAGTGTGGTTTGAGGGTAGTGTGGGTTGAGGGTAGTGTGGGTTAAGGGTAGTGTGGGTTGAGGGTAGTGTGGGTTGAGGGTAGTGTGGGTTGTGGGTAGTGTGGGCAAGGATCCTATGATTCGCCACTGATTTTATCCGCGTCCAGAAATTGAACTTAAGCGGCCGGGCACCGTGTGCGCTAACCACTGCGCCACCACTCCACATCAATGTTTCGTTGCTGTTTATTACTCACGCGAATGTGACAATGCGTCAGTGTGTCGCGGGCCGGTGACCCCCGGCGACCTGAGTTCAACGGCTAACCATCAATAGCGAGTGGTATGTGTACCGGGCCACGCACGGTGACCGGACTGGTGAAGTATGCTCAGAATCAACCATGCCTCCCCTCCCCAGGCCTTCATCCAGCATAGGGTCGAAAAAAAGCGGGCTGTAAATTCCAAGTATTTCTTCTCGTGAGGCTTAAGAATCGATATTATTCAATTACTGGATTCGAAGCTTTCAATTACTCTGAACGCATCCACGTATGCACCCTTATTTTACATGACCACGTCAACCGCTAGAGGCCGCTACATCCACCACACATTCGTAGACCGGACGGGATCATTTTGTAAAGAATCGTTTGTTGAATCAAATCGCGATGATTCATCGGAATCGGCAGCGAGTGGGTGGTGGTGGTGGAGGAATTAGTCTAACTCCGGATTAACTAAGGACAGTGACGGTTATCTGAGTAGCAAAAGTAGCTACATATGTAGTAGCTATTACATGTGTAGTAGCTACGGGCCCCGCACTTTCAAGGGCCCCGCGCTAAATGCGTTCAAGCTATCAATTCCTGTTCAATGATTCTGCACTTGCTCTATTACTATAGTACTATACTGCCTTCAACTTTTATGAACGACTGGGTGTTTAAGGTTAGCGATTATCCGGCTGCATAGCAAATGAAAGAATACAATTTCTTTACTATGCAAGTGAAACATTAATGTGTTTTAATATTTACGTGTTTTTTTTATTTAGCTCCCCTTTATAACATATGCTACAGGCCCCGCACTAGCTTAATCCGGCACTGACTATAATTTTTTTACACATCCCATCAGCTGCACGGCTCCCTGCTAGAGGCCATCATTTCAGCAGCGGTGGTTCAAAACACCCACAAGCAAAACTCTGTAGCGGCTTTGAGCAAGCCAGAGTCCGGCAAGCTCGAAGCAACGATGGCGAGCGGCCAAGCTGGTGTTTGTACGACAGGAGCCTCCAATTCATTGCGAGTTGAACTTCTTTCGCGCCGTACGTGGCCCAATCGGAGATGATTATGTTGTTGTGTGTCGTGTGAAGGAGGAAGTTTTTTTTTTATTCCCGAGGGCTAAGTGGCGGTGACCTCACCACGGCGCTTGTGCCAGGCTAGGTGCGCTTTGAGGCCACGTGAAGTGTCGAAGGCTCGCTGGCAGAGGAAGACCCAGGTGCCAACCACACATTAACATGCACACATATAGCAGAGTTATCCAGCGATAACGAAAAGTAATATTATTCATCACCTTCACGAGGTGACTGAGCGTGCAACAACAACAACAACACAGACACGCGGTGTTTCTCCTCTAGTAACCGATTAGTGCGGCTAAGATTGTCTCCAAGTGACAAGTGCCTTATTCTCCGGATTGTAAGACGCACGCCACGCGACTGATCCCCGGGTCAAAGAAGGTGAAACCAATCTGGCCACACGCACAGACGCGCGCAAACTCTAACCGGACTACGAGACGCAAACAAAAAATACAGACGCGAAAATGTGCGTCTTTTTTCATACGCAGAAGACGGTGACATCGCCTTCGCGGGGACGTTGTCGAAGTGATAGTGGCCGGGGTGGTGGGTGAGGGTGGTGGGTGGGGAGCGGTGGTGGTGGTGGGGGGTGGTGGGTAGGGGAGGTGGTGGTGGGGGGGTGGTGGGTGGGGAGCGGTAGTGTAGCGGTTAGCGCTACGCTGTGCTACGAACCCGGCGACCCGTGTTCGATTCCCCCCCACGGCCAACATCAGTGACGATTATCTGAACCGGTCTTGGGCCTCCCCTAGCTCGACTCAGCCTCAAATGAGTACCTGGTACGGTACGTAAACATCGCCACTGGGGAGACAAAGGCGGTCGGGCGTGGTATTGACCACCTGCCCCCTCGTGTGCCGTGCCGGCCTTCATAGGTGCTCGCTAACAGCACTTGCCCCAACAGTCTGTTAAGGTATTCTTAGGTTTTTTCGGTAAAGTCACGTAGGTAAAAAATAAAAATTAATAAAAGTAAAATAAAATAAAAATCACGACGTTTCGGAGGCAACACAAGCTTCCGTCTTCAGGTGGAACCGTCACAGCCCGACAGCTGTATCAAGTAAGACAGAAGCTTGTGTTGCCTCCGAAACGTCGTGATTTTTATTTTATTTTACTTTTATTATTTTATTTTACCAACGTGACTTTACCGAAAAAAACCTAAGAATATGAATCCTTGCAGTCACGAAAGCTTCAAATCTAGAATTAAAGTCTGTTAAGGCTATACGGGGGATCTTTGTCTTTTGGTGGGTGGGGGGTGGTGGGTGGGTGGGGGGTGGTGGGTGGGTGGGGGGTGGTGGATGGGTGGGGGGTCCTTGCTGGCTACGGGGCCGCGTGAAATGAAGTCGCGGCATCCCCGTCTGACCCGCGGGCAGCACCGCCCTTGCCCCTTGCCCCACCGCCGGTGTGTGTCGTGCAGCGCGGCGGAGTCGCTCACCACGTCGATGAGCTGCGCGATGGAGAGTCCGAACTTCACGTCCACCACGTCGGAGACGTTGGCCACGGGACGTGACCACTTGTTGTAGCGCCTGAAGAGGCGGCGGAAGAGGCGGCTCTCGGCATGGGAGCGGCCCTGGTGGATGCCCTGACACAGCGCTGGCCGCAAATCCCACCCGGCGGCAGAGATTTACAAAAAAATTAACCCGTAAAAACAAAGTTTTTCACTATAAATCCTTTATGTGCGTGGCATCGGTTTTATTTTATTATTCATTTCTGTTTTTCTTGAGTAAGAGTTTCATTTTTATCACATTTGTATTTTAAATTAAATATGAAAAAAAAATTCCTAAAAAGTGGAAAATTTTTGAAAAAATTTTTTTCACGAAAATAAATTGTCACGCACAACGAGTCTGTGTGCAAAATGTCAGCTCGATTGGATCACGGGAAGTGGGTTAAAAAACGACCGAAATATTTTCACGGTCGTAAGCGTGCAAGCAAGCAAGCAAGTGAACTTAATATAAAGGATTTAAAAACAACAACAACAACAACATATTTGCATTCGTGGTGCTCAGCGGAGTTGCTGCCCGCGGTGAGCGGCGAGCGCGCTGGACCTTGCAGTGCAGAGGTCGCCGGCTCGATGCAACCTCCCGGCGCGCCAGTCGACACAATGGGGGGCAGGTTTCTTAAATCTCCCCCCCCTCCCCCCACTTACCCGACTTGCCAATCGACCGTGGTGAACGGATCGCACGTGGTGGAGTAAAGTGTGGGTACCCCCGCCTCGTCTGGCCAGCAGTGGATAGACGCTCCATCACGAGCATGGCGACGACGACGATGTTGAACCTGAGCTCCCGTGGCTCAGAGGCGCACCGGGGGGGGAGCGAGCGAGCGAGCGCAGTCTGACCTCTAGGTCGACTCGGCAGGCGAAACGCCGTCGTAAAATGCAATGATCGCCTACTTACTACATACGCCGACAAGCAGAGCCGTGCACTGAAATTCACGGGGTAATGAGGCTCCCGATCGTAAAGGAGTCCTGCTGCTGCCGCCGCTGATGATGCCGCTGATGATGATGCCGCTGATGATGATGCTGTTGATGATGATGCCGCTGATAATGATGCCGCTGATGATGATGCCGCTGATAATGATGCCGCTGATGATGATGCCGCTGATAATGATGCCGCTGATGATGATGACGCTGATAATGATGCCGCTGATGATGATGCCGTTGATGATGATGCCGCTGATGATGATGCCGTTGATGATGATGCCGCTGATGATGATGCCGCTAATGATGATGCCGCTGATGATGATGCCGCTGATGATGATGCCGCCAATGATGATGATGCTGCTGATGATGATGCCGCTGATGATGATGCCGCTGATGATGATGCCGTTGATGATGATGCCGCTGATGATGATGCCGCTGATGATGATGCTGTTAATGCCGCTGATGATGATGCTGCTGATGATGATGCCGCTGATGATGATGCCGCTGATGATGATGCCGCTAATGATGATGCCGTTGATGATGATGCCGCTGATGATGATGCCGCCGCTGATGATGCCGCTGATAATGATGCCGCTGATGATGATGCCGCTGATGATGATGCCGTTGATGATGATGCCGCTGATGATGATGCCACTGATGATGATGCCGTTGATGATGATGCTGTTGATGATGATGCCGCTGATGATGATGCCGCTGATGATGATGCTGTTGATGCCGCTGATGATGATGATGCTGCTGATGATGATGCCGCTGATGATGATGCCGCTGATGATGATGCCGTTGATGATGATGCCGCTGATGATGATGCTGTTGATGATGATGCTGTTGATGATGATGCTGTTGATGATGATGCCGCTGATTATGATGCCGCTGATGATGATGCCGCTGATGATGCTGTTGATGATGATGCCGTTGATGATGATGCCGCTGATGATGATGCTGTTGATGATGATGATGCCGTTGATGATGATGCTGCTGCTGATGATGCTGTTGATGATGCCGCTGATGATGATGCTGTTGATGATGATGATGCCGCTGATGATGATGCCGCTGATGATGATGCTGTTGATGATGATGCCGCTAATGATGATGCCGTTGATGATGATGCCGCCGATGATGATGCCGCCGATGATGATGCCGCCGATGATGATGCCGCTGATGATGATGCTGTTGATGATGCTGTTGATAATGATGCCGCTGATGATGATGCCGCCGATGATGATGCCGCTGATGATGATGCTGTTGATGTTCTTGCTTGAGATGGTTTGCTCGCAAACGTTTAACGCGCGCACCGCAACCAACTCACGATCGGCTTGCGGCGGGCGGTGACGCACGGCAGATTCACGAAGGCAACCGCGGCTACGAACCTCGACCGCCTGAGTTCGATTCCCCCAGCCATGGGGCTTCACCGCCGGTGGTGAGCGAGCGTCAGTTTGTATGAACCGGCCGTTCTGTTTGAGTATGGTTAAACATTTATACCTACGCGATCTGACCCAAAATACCGCTATTGTGGGTGCGTATCCGACAAGGCAAAGGTGCAGGACCTGAAAAGTCCTTGCTGACGCCACTGCCGGATGAAGAATCTCCGCTTGAGAGAGCTCTAGAGAAGACCTCTCGAGGGGACTTTGACCTCCTCTTACAAGATGACCCAGACGTCTTGGAAGAGACAGGGGTACCCATATCGATTGCTGAGTGGGCAGCGGCGTAGAGGAGGGTGGGTGGGGGGGGTGGAAGAATCTTGCTCGTAAAAATCTTGCTCGTTGTTTCAGCTTTCGCGCCGGGGAGATTGATTGTAGATTGCAAATCGTCCACTGTGCTAACACCACGGTAGCATCGTGCAGCAATAATAATGAATAATAGCGTTTGACTAAATCAAGTTGGAACGTCTGGCGGACTGTCTGTCTACCACGCGCCGCAATTCGCCTCGATCGCATGAAGTGACATCGACTAACTCGTACACGTGTTGCGGCCGTCATCCTCACATAGTCACATATGGCGCACAAAGACAAAGACCCCCCTTTATAGCCTTGACATACTTTTGGGGGCAAGTGCTGTTAGCGAGCACCTATAGAGGCCGGCACGGCACACGAGGAGGTGGGTGACCAGCACCACGCGCCCGTCCGCCTCTGTCTCCCCGGCGGCGATGTTTACACACCGCACCAGCTACTCATTTGAGGCTGAGACGACCTAGGGGAGGCCTACGACTGGTACCAGATAATCGTCGCTGGTGGGAATCGAACTCGGGTCGCCAGATTCGTAGTTGCAGCGCGCTAACCGCTTCACTATCGCTCGCACAGATTCTCCTCCGCATCCATCGGATGGGAGATCCACGCAAAGAGCACCGCACTGCCATCATGCCTGGCGCACACGTGGTCATCACACCATGCCTTCGATGTCACGGTTTGAAGGCAAGAGGTGGCCGCATTGTGGCATGGTCACTTCTCCACAGTATTCCAGGACAACCTAGTAGCCTGGTCTTGTTTAAATGAGGGGAGGGGGGAGGATATACACGAATTCAAGAGGGTTGGGTGCAATGGCACAATTCAGTAAATGTCAAACGAACGTTCGACAAATGTTAATTGTGAAACAGAATTAGCGTACTACGGAAATCCGACCTGCTGTTGTCTTATCGTGCATTCTGCTCTGGCCCCCGATGTAATTGAACAATGGTTGCGATGGCCAATTGTCCACAATTTTGTGCTAACATATATATTTTTTTTGACTAAGATTTTTAAAAGAGGATTTGGGGGGGGGGGTTAGCCTACAGGAGGAAGTGGGGGGGGGGGCTCAGCCCTCTCCAGCCCCCTCCGTGACGAGAACCACTCAAAACACGTGGGGCGATTGTCCTTTACGCAGCTGTGCGCCCGGCTTTTAAAGAATAAAAAATAATAATAAACCCGCTGGGATTCTCACGGATTCCGTGCGCTTCAGTTGAGCCCTTCACTTGCATAAGAGACGTTTTGGGTAATACGGCGGCTGCTGCTGCTGCAATTTTTTTCCCTGTTTCGACTGAAAACGCCTCTTGGTGAATGTCTTCACGAGCGCGTCAGCATCAGTGCGCGCTCATCGCGGTTGTTTTGATGATTTGTCATCACGGTGATTGTGATCGTGGTTGCGATGATGATCGCGATGACGGGGATGATTGTGACCACGCCGACGGTCGTGATGACGATCGTGATCATGATTGTGATGATGGTGGTGGTGGTTGCGATGACAGAAACCATCGTGATTGTTGATCATAATTATGATCGTGATTATTGTTTCGATGATTACGATGGTGACGCAGATGATTATGATCACGATTATTAGGGTTTACAAAAAACGCTTGCCTAAACACCCCAACAACTCAAACCGCCTTGCGTCACATATCATCTCCACCATTACAATTCTCTGCTGCAGTCTCGCCAAGGGGACCCCCCCCCGTGGCAGCTGTCACTGTGCGGCATAAGATGTACGCAGAGTCAGCCTACGAGCGGGAATGAGTCTGTCATTAAGGGGGGAGGGGGGGGGATGCGACGTGGCTTTATCAAATGTGCGAGTAATTTATCAAATGTGACGAGTTGGAGAGTGACGCCAGCACACGTGGCCAAATGCACCCGGTGTGATTATGATGATGATCGTGACGACGATGATGATGATGATGATGATTGTCACGGGGTGTCTCCCCCCCTCTTACCCGTGACCCCCAGCAGCGAAGCCAGGGTGAGAAGTCCACCCCGCATGGCCTCGGCTCACGGAGCCGCAGTCTATCCCAGAGCCTTGGTCTCCTCCCCTCCGTGACACCCGGACATTACTTTGATGAAGATGGCAAAGCGACCAAAACCATCACCGGCACTACGACTCAACGCTACTAATACTACTCACTGCCACCACCACTGCTGCTCACAACCACCACGACTACTATACCCACTGCTACGACCCAACCCCAATATCACGAAAACCGCTACGCACTACCACCACCACTACTCACTACCACCACTGCTCTACCCACTATCACTGCCACTTACATCACCACCCGCTATCATCAACATCATCACTCGCTGTCCACCAACACCACCACCACTATTCACTACCCACTGCCACTACCGACCACCACAACTACCTCCACTCAATAGTAGCACCATCTAGAACGGCGAGCTATTACAATCACCCCCTACCTACCACTCGCATCCACCACCAAGCATCAGCAGCATCAGCGAGGGGAACTTACGCTTGGCTGGGTTAAGCGCGCTCCCTCACCCCGCTCAGCAATGAGCAAGCCTCCCTCCCTGGCTCCTTGTCTCTCTCTGTCTCCGCGTCTCCGTCTCTGTCTCCGTGTCTCTCTGCGCCAGTGTCTCCCTCTCTCTCTGCCTCCCTGCGCCAGCGTCTCCCTCTCTCCACGTCTCCCCGCCCCCCTCCTTGTCACCCCCCGTGTTTTCCCTCCCCGCTTCCTCGTCTCCCGGTCCCCGTGTCTACCCTCCCTGCGCGTGCCTCCGCGTGCCTCCCTTCCTCGCCGCTGTCACTCGGACAGCGCCGCTGCCTCCTTGCCGCGGGTCGTCGTGCACGGCGCGCGCGTCGTCCCCATTGCCCCCCGCGCTGCCACGCTGCGAGACGAGCTGAAACCGCGCACGCAAAGGGATGTCCAGATGTCCACTGTGCGGGCGATCTAGAACGCGTCGACTTCCGTGGACATGTAACCCTAGCTCGAGACTGTGTGTCTGTGTGTGCACAAGTACAAGACAGCGTGGATCTTCTTCGTCGTCATAACCGTGATGAGTCACCGTTCCCTCCCTGAGTCGCTCGTGGCTTGCGCTGTTGCTGCTGCTGCTGCTTTGCTGCTGTCACTCGTGCCGGCTCGCAGAGGATTGGAGAGACACCGGTATGAGCACACGCACCCCTTGGCGTTGTGGGGGTGGGTGGGGTGGGGGGGGGTGAAAGGGTGGTGGGGGATATGCTGAGAGGGGCAGGAGAACTGTGCTCAGCCAGAAGCAGCAGTGGACCCAACCAACCGAGAGAGGGCATCCAAGACCACGGGGATCGTCACCGGGACGAGATGAGTTGCGAGTGCTCACTCTTCATCGGAGCTCTGTGCTTTCGGCGTTGTTCCGTACCGCAATGATGTCCGACGTTTTCGCTCCGCGTGCTGGGAGCTTCGTCAGGAAATGTATTCGGTGCTCTCCACGCGCTTGGAGCTTCAATCGCCAGTCATCAACAAATATCAAGTAAAACGTTAACAGTCGTCCTTAGTTATCATTCCCCCCGAAGGTTATCCAGTAATTATGAGCATTGTTCTACATCAATTATACTCTTTGGTTTTTTCGGTAAAATCACGTAGGTATAAAATAAATCACGACGATTCGGGCGCAACACAAGCGTCCATCATCAGGTGGGAAAGCATGGTCTGCTGCTGAGGCAGACTGTGTTAAAAGGTTTGAAATGGGTGTAGCTCATGGGTCATAAATAAGTGGCCGTGGCCAGTGATGTTACTGTGAGAAATTAGAGGGCACGGAAGTGGCTATGTTAATGTGAGAGATTAGAATGATGGTAATGTGAGAGATTAGAGGGCACGGTAGTGGCTATGTTAATGTGAGAGATTAGCATGATGTTAATGTGAGAAATTAGCATGTAACTGTATAAAAGAAGGATAAGAGCGGCCTCCTCGACAAGGGAGTGCAACCCAACGGGTGTAATCCGAAGGGCCTGTGAGCATGAGAGTGCAATACATAGGACATGTGAGCATGAGAGATCTAAGAGAGAGGCATAGAGAGAGAGAGACACAGAGAGTAGAAATAACAGCTGACATATGCAGGTTGGATGGAAACATCACAGTCAGTTAATAATTTACCTGGTTAATAACGTCCTTCTAATGATTGCTCCGTTTGTACCCATCCTCTCGGTTGAAGTTGTGTCTGTGTTTATATATCTAGATGACTTCTTGAACAAATCTCTGAAGGTAGCCAGTAGGTTTTCAGAGTACCTCGGTCTTGGAAAAAATCCATTTCGTGTGAGCCCGCAGCGTTAAAACAATGATCGGCGTCGGCAGGGGTATTGGTCCTACCGTGTTTCAGACCTGCCTTGTGTCCACGGACGATCTTACATGCTGATTTCTCACATTAACATCACTAGCCCCGGCCACTTCTTTATAACCCTTGGGCTACACCCATTTCAAACCTTTTTAAACAGTCTGCCTCAGCAGCAAACCATGCTTTCCCACCTGATGATGGACGCTTGTGTTGCGCCCGAAACGTCGTGATTTATTTTGTTTTCTACCTACGTTACTTTACCGATAAAAACCAAAGAGTAAGGATTCCTGCAGTCACGAAAGCTTCAAATCAAGATTACATCAATTATGTTTTAATAATCAGTCATCAATAACAATTAGCCAGCATCATAGTCACCAATTATGAACATTTATCAAAATAAGCCATCAATCATCACCGTCAATACTTATCCTTCAAATATCACTGTCCTGGTCACAAAAGCAAAGTTTGTGGGGAATCATATCCTTTTTCTATACTTTTTAGGCATAAGCAATTACGAAAACACATTCCTGTGGAGGGAGCTGGTAGGAACGTTGGGTTGCTCGGTCAATGGCCAGGGTCAACGGCGGCGTGGTGTATTCCGCAAATATGCCCGACTGTGAGGGCGGGCACAAGCCGGCGTGAGTAGGTTAAACGTTGAGTTTTATAACGGCACCACGGGGTGACCAGCCCCTCCCCACCCAGCCCCACCCCTCCCACCCAGCCCCACCCAGCCCCTCCCCACCCTCCCCTCCCCACCCACCCAGCCCCTCCCCACCCAGCCCCTCCCCACCCAGCCCCTCCCCACCCAGCCCCTCCCCTCCCAGCCCTTCCCCAAGCAGCCTCCCCCTCCCCACCCAGCCCCACCCTCCCCTCCCCACCCAGCCCCACCCTCCCCTCCCCACCCAGCCCCACCCTCCCCTCCCCACCCAGCCCCACCCTCCCCTCCCCACCAGCCCCTCCCTGCACGACGGACGGGCACAATAATCCCCTGTAGGCTGGTGTAACCAGGAGATTCCTACCAGTATAACTCTTACTACCCAGGAACAAAAATTGTGTTACATTGTGTAATTAGCATTGATCATCTTTTCCATCATCATAAGCAGTATCATCACTTTCACTACACTGTTAACTTCAGCATCATCAGCAACAGCAGCATAATCATCAGATACAAAGATCCCCCTATAGCCTTAACATACTGTTGGGGCAAGTGCTGTTAGCGAGTACCTATGAAGGCCGCCTTTGTCTCCCTAGTGGCGACGTTTAAACACCGTACCAAGCTACTCATTTGAGGCTGAGTCGACCTAGGGGAGGCCTAAGACCGGTTAAGATAATCGTCACTGGTCTTGGCTATGAGCGGGAATCGAACTCGGGTCGCCGGGTTCGTAGCGCAACGCGTTAACCGCTCCACCACCGCTCCCCACATAACCATCACACACGCGCATCCACACTCAATCCACTGCTGGATGAGGGACCTGCACGTGCGTTGTGGTTTTGGGGTAGGGCTAGTACCAGTGTGTGTGTCTCGTCATGGTTTAGTGACAGCACTGAGTCTATATGACTCGTTAGTGTCAGCGGAAGGGGTCTGCAGTTGTCACAACCCGCACACCGCACGCTCGCCACTCGAGCTCACAGCCTGCTCATGTTGACGTTCACATGGCCAGAGCTCCACCACCACCATCATCATCATCGTCGTCGCTGAACCCCGCTGTGGAAGTCGGCTCTACGGGGACGCAATCTGACCCCCGACTCCTCGTGACGGACCCTGGCCCCGGGACGAGGCGAAACCCTTCCGTGTCGCGAGTGACGCGGGGAGACGTGGGGGGTGGGGGGGAGACGCAGGGCCGAGTGTATTGCCCGCAGAGCGTTGCGGGTAGATGTGGATGGTGTGTAGAGCGTTGCGGGGAGAGAGTTGGATAAGGGAGAGTGGCGAGACGCAGGGAAGAGTGTGGTGGGGAGGGAGTGTGAGGCACGTGAGAGAGTGCGAGGTTCACGAGTGAGTGTACACTGAACGAGCTTGAGTGTGAGCAGTGTGTGAGACACAGCGAGTGTGCGACCGGTGGTGAGTGTGTGATGTGTGTGTGAGAGGGGTGCGATTGGAGTGGTCAGTGAGTCTCGAGAGAGAGAGAGAGTCTGTGTGAGGAGTTCAGCGAGTGCGTGCAACACTGTGACACGTGCGAGCGAGTGAGCGTGCGTGTGTGTGTGTGAGAGTTCACCTGGCCAGTCAGTGGGAGTGGTTATGGTTACGCCTACAGCCAGCAATTCGTCTGTGGTGGTGTGCCAGCGTGCAGGCTTATAAATAGTGAGCGTCGAGTGCCTGCCGTGTGTGTGTGTGCGTGCACGCCCGAGTCTTGTGCGTGTAAGTTGTGGCCAGGACACGTGTGTGTGTGTGTGCGTGCGCCCGAGTCTTGTGCGTGTAAGTTGTGGCCAGGACACGTGTGTGTGTGTGTGTGCGTGCGCCCGAGTCTTGTGCGTGTAAGTTGTGGCCAGGACACGTGTGTGTGTGTGTGTGCGTGCGCCCGAGTCTTGTGCGTGTAAGTTGTGGCCAGGACACGTGTGTGTGTGTGTGCGTGCGCCCGAGTCTTGTGCGTGTAAGTTGTGGCCAGGACACGTGTGTGTGTGTGTGCGTGCGCCCGAGTCTTGTGCGTGTAAGTTGTGGCCAGGACACGTGTGTGGCTGATTGTCGAGTGGGGTGGTGCTGCTGCGATGTCTCTGCGCGTCGCGATGTTCGATCTCGGAGGAGTGCTGGTCAAGCTGCCGCCGCCAAACCTCTTGCACGGCGCCTCCAGCCTGCCGAGGTGAGCGGTGCTCTGGTGAGCGAGCGGTGTACGGGGTGAGCTGCGTGTGGGTGAGGTCTGGTGAGATGTCACAACTTTGGCCGTGCGTGGGGCTGGCCACCCATCCAACCTCGTGTGCCATTCCCGGCCTTGACACAGGTGCTCGCTAACAGCACTTGCCCCAACACTATACTAAGGCTATGCGCTGGTTCTTTGTATTTTGTTAAGTTGTTCGTGGTGTGTGTGTGTGTGTTGAGGGTGTGTGGGATGGTGCTACAGGTGTGTATGGCTGTGTGTGTGTGTTGAGGGTGTATTGGATGGGGCGGTAAGGTGTGCATGGTTGTGCGTGTGTTGTGTGTGTTGTGTGTGTTGAGCGTGTGTGGGACGGTGCTACAGGTGTGCATGGTTGTGTGTGTGTATGTGTTGAGGGTGTGTGGGACGGTGCGGTAAGGTGTGCATGGTTGTGTGTGTGTTGTGTGTATGTGTGTTGAGGGTGTGTGGGACGGTGCTACAGGAGTGTATGGTTGTGTGTGTGTGTCTGTGTTGAGGGTGTGTGGGACGGGGCGGTAAGGTGTGCATAGGTGTGTGTGTGTGTTGTGTGTGTGTGTGTTGAGGGTGTGTATGTGTTGAGGGTGTGTGGGACGGGGCGGTAAGGTGTGCATGGGTGTGTGTGTTGTGTGTATGTGTGTTGAGGGTGTGTGTGTGTTGAGGGTGTGTGGGACGGGGCGGTAAGGTGTGCATGGGTGTGTGTGTTGTGTGTATGTGTGTTGAGGGTGTGTGTGTTGAGGGTGTGTGGGACGGGGCGGTAAGGTGTGCATGGGTGTGTGTGTTGTGTGTGTGTTGAGCGTGTGTGGGACGGGGCGGTACAGGTGTGCATGGTTGTGTGTGTGTGTGATGTTCAAGGTGTTCTGGTTGAATGCCCTGGGTGCTGGATGTCTTTGTTGAGTGGTTGTTGTTGTTGTGTTGTTGTTGTCAGCGTGCAGGATTTTTCATTGCAGGATGTGCATGATGGTTCAGCATGGTCGCTCAGCAGCCACTGACTCTTCATAACTCGCACTACCGAGTTGCATAATTGACCTCTGCCAGGGCACTGTAAGTGCAGAGGCTCACGGCAGCACACAAACCCTGACACCGGCAGTCGTGGACGTGATGTGGCTCTTTAAAAAGGTTTCAGGTTTTTAACAAAACAGAAACGCATGACAGCATTCACGGACGTGGCGACGAGAGCGAAGAGTGATTGTGCGCCGTTCTCTTAAGTGACCGGAACAAGCACATCGCCCGTGTCGTCTTGGAGTTGGGGAATTGCGCTGCGGTGTTTTGGCCGCAAATGAACTCTGAACCCGGCTTGCCACGAATTAAATCCCTTGTTTTATGGGCAACGTCAGAGGCGGCTAGTATCTGAGCCAGGCCTTGGTAAGCGCCACCCTCTGCTAGCCCCTACTGACCAGCGTGACGATGTGTTGGCGGGATGCATCCGATGGTCCTCCGCTGCGGAGATGGAGTGATCAAATCGGGTAGGTAAAAAATAAAATAAAATTTAAATTAATAAAAGTAATAATATTACTTTCATTAATTTTTATTTTATTATTTTTTTACCTACGTGACTTTACCGAAAAAAACCTAAGAGTATGAATCCTTGCAGTCACGAAAACTTCAAATCTAGAATGATCAAATCAGCTTTGTGAGCAATTTTGCCGAGCTGGGGCGGATCGTTCGTTCGCACCGCGCGTAGCCAACCCCGCGAATCGGAGGTGCGGTTGTGTGTGGGCAGCTTGGGTCGGCCTTCATCCAGCAGTGCATAGCTCATGGCTGATGATGAGTTATTCGTACTGAGAGTGCACACACAAATGCATGTTCAGCATGCAGCAGAAGCCGCTTGCAGCAACAACATACAATCTAAGTCGCTCGGTTGCGCAATCATGTCAGTGCCTCATTCTCTATGTGGTTTGGCAGACTTCCATTTAGCACACGCAGCGTTTACTGCAACAAACATTACAAAAAACTTGATTAGGTTCATGTTTTGTTTCTTTCTAAAATTTGTTTGAAATAGGCTGTCACCAATCATGGTCACGAGGCCAAGGATCCACTCAGAACTCCGATAGTGGAATGCATTTTTTCTTTGAGCACGGTCCGTGTAAGAAGATTTAATAGAACTACTCCTGAGAGCCTTTAAAGTGACCTTTGGTTCACATAGTCGGGGAGGGGGGTGGGGTGCACTTTCCTACCCACCTTCCCTGCTACAGACAGTAGTGCCCATCATATGTTGGCAGTCACACAGCCATTTCTAATGCTCGAAGGCTGGAATGTGTTCAAATTATTAGTTGAGAGACAGGTTTTCACGTAAAAATTATATTTTGATGTAATCAGATTATGTATGTACGTTGAACTTCTTTCGCACCGTACGTAACCAACCGCACTGATCGGAGGTACGGGGGTGGTTGGGGAAGGACAACAAACTAACACACATAAAGCAGTTCTCAAAGAAGTGAGTTTTCAATCATTGGTGACTGAGCTGAGACCATGAACCCGGTTTTTTTTACCGCATGCGGCTGAATCCAGGATCTCGGCGGTTGCCAGCTTGGCACTTTTGAGCCCTGAGCCACATTGCCACTTTCCTCATTCTATGCTCATGTTTCATTGCTTTCATGGCGTTATTTTGTTGATTTTTTAAAGTTTTTTGGTTTGGCCATGTTTGTTTGTTGTAGTACAGAGTTAGACTGATGGCCTTAATCTAAGTTGTCTTGTGGTTGTTTTTGTTTGACTTGTATCCCACTGGGATTTTTGCACACAGCGTTGGTGTACGTTGCTTTTTCTGCAATATTTTGCTGTCTTTTCTTGGATGTTCTGTTTGCACTTAGTCACTTTAAGATTTTTTCTTGTTCATGTTCTCGTTTTTTTTGTTTGTTGCGGTTGCACCCGATTCAAGAGCAGAATGGCGCACAGGGCTATACCAAATAAATGAAACTTGAAACTTGAAAATGTTCTTGTCTTCTCGCGACCGGCAGGGAGCTCCTGGAAGCTGTGTTCGATGTCAAGAACGAGAAGGACGTTTCCCTGCACAGACTGGAGCGGGGAGAGCTGACTCTGGAGCAGGTGAATTATTTACCATTTTGCTCTGCGACTGTAAACGCTTCTTATCGGCAGAATGTTTTGATCGTGCCAAAGTTTGGCCCGAGCCAAAGTTGAGCTTTGGTGCGGAAACTGGAATGGCACAAATCACAAAAAAAGTCGCAAATGTAGTAGAGGTTATTAGTAATAAACCGGCGACCTCTGGATTGCAAATCCAATGTGCTGCTCGCCGTTATGGCTCGGCAATAAAGATCCCCCGCATAGCCTCTAACAGACTTGGGGCAAGTGCTGTTTGCAAGCACCTATGAAGGCCGGCACGGTATACACGAGGGGTTGGGTGGCCAGCACCAAGCCCAACCGCCTTTGTCTCCCTCGTGGTGATGTTTACACATCGCACTAGGTACTCATTTAAGGCTGAGTCGACCTAGGGGAGACCCAGCACCGGCCCGGGTAATTGCCACCGGCGTTGGCCACGAGCGGGAATCGAACTCGGGCACCCAGGTTCGTGGCGTAGCGTGCTAAACGCCAAACTCGCGCTCCCGACGCACGCGTGCACGCATCCACACGTACACACGTGCACGCATCATTAACGCGGTGGTGCCAACGGCGATTGACGATGCGCGCTTTGCCTGGCGGCGCAGTTCTACCCGGAGTTCAACGAGGAGTGCCACCGGGAAGCGAAGCTGCGGGGCCTGAGCGTGCCCGAGGGCTTCACGGCCGAGCGGTTCTTCGAGAGATTCTACGCGGGCAGCCTCAACGAGCCCATGCTCAGGGCGGCACAGCAGCTGCGTAGCCACGGTGCCGCATTCCCTCTTGTCACGCGTGTGTGAGCGTGTGTGTGAGCGTGTGTGTGTGTGCGTGAGCGTGTGTGTGTGCATGCGTGTGTGTGAGCGTGTGTGTGAGCGTGTGTGTGTGAGAGCGTGTGTGTGTGTGAGCGTGTGTGTGTGTGCGAGCGTGTGTGTGTGCGTGCGTGTGTGTGTGCGAGCGTGTGTGCGTGCGTGTGTGTGAGCGTGTGTGTGTGTGTGAGCGTGCGTGTGTGTGTGAGCGAGTGTGTGTGTGAGTGTGTGAGTGTGTGTGTGCGCGAGTGTGTGAGCGTGTGTGTGTGTGAGCGTGCGTGTGTGTGTGTGAGCGCGCGTGTGTGTGTGAGCGTGTGTGCGTGTGAGCGTGTGTGCGTGTGAGCGTGCGCGTGTGTGTATGAGCGTGCGTGTGTGTGCGCGCGTGTGAGCGTGCGCATGTGTGTGTGCGGGCGTCGTGCTCGACAATCCACACACCTCGTGTGCCGTGCCGGCCTTCGTAGGTGTTGCTACTCGATGACAGCACTTGCCCCAAAAGTATGTTGAGGCTATACCGGGAGATCTTCTTTGTCCTTGTATGTATTTGGGGAGTGGTTGTGTAGCGGTTAGCGCGCTGCGCTACGAAGCCAGCGTGCCCGAGTTTGATTCCCGCCGATTGGCCAAGGTTGGTTTTGAAATTGGTCCTGGGCTTCTCCTAGGTCGACTCGGCCTCAATTGAATACCTGGTGCTGTGTGTAAACATCGTGTACCGTGTCTGCCTTCATAGGTGCTCGCTAACGGAACTTGCCCCAACAGCCTTTTGAGGTTATACGGGGGGGGGGGGGGGACATTCATTCCCAAACCGTAAATGAGCCGGAGAGTCCAACATTTCGTCGGCGCAAATCCCCCTTGAGACGCGTCGCTCACACCACCACCGCTGCCGTGCCTCCCCCCCCCCCCCCCATCGACGGTGCCAGGCTTCAAGACCTGCGTCCTGACGAACAACTGGGTGGACGACAGCGCGGCCCGTGGCGCCACCTCCAAGTTAATGTCCATCCTGCGTCGCAGCTTCGACCTGGTGATCGAGTCGTGTCGCGTGGGCTTGCGCAAGCCGGACGTGGCCATCTACACGCTGGCCCTGCGGCAGCTGGAGGCAACTCCGCAGCAGGTTCGTGCCCCACCTCCCCTCCGCCTGCTTGCCGGAGTGCCAGAGATGCGCCGGGCGCGTACACGCGCGCGTCCCGAAACCGAGCGAGGCCTGGCGCACGCGAACGCCCGGGGCGGCGTAGTGGCGCTTGGTTAATCGGACGTGACAAGTCACTTTTTTTTGTAGGTTCCCTGTAAGTCAGCACTTGGGAGGACGGATCGCACGCGTTCACGAAACTCTCTCCCCGTGGGTATGGGATTACTCTGGGTACTCGGGGTTTCCGCCCGAACGCATTGATGGAGCTGGCCAAAACTTGCCGATAAGGGAACACAGAGCTTTGGCAATTGTTCCGTCTGCCTTGCCAAGCGCTCCGTCTGTGCTTTCACCTGCGCCTCCCTGTGCGAAAGACCGTGCGCATCACGTGTTCTGCAGCGTTTTAAACTGCAATTTGCATTAATCGCGCAGTAAAAAAACACAGTTATTATTATCAATAGATGCTAATTGGACCGTCGACATATTTTTCACGAGACGGGAAAACTTCCATTTGGAACTTTATTCGTAAGCAGTGCACCACATTGTGCTACAAAAGCAGACCTGGACAATTTAAGTCCGAACAACTTCTGAATTCGCCACGACTGGACCAAAACGGGGCACACGTGTACGTACATTGAACTTCTTCCGCACCATACGCGTTCCACACGTCAGTCGACCGAGAAAACGATCGATCCATCGCGGCGGGCTGAGACGTGTTGCCCGTGCCGTGGCGCGCAGGTGGTGTTTCTGGACGACATTGGCGCCAACCTGAAGCCAGCCAAGGAGATGGGGATGACCACCATCCTGGTGACGGACACAGCGGTGGCGCTGCGCGAGCTGGAAACCGTCACGGGCGTGAAGGCAAGCGGCGTGCGGGGGGGGGGGCTAGGGGGGCTAGGGGGGCTAGGGGGGCTAGGGGGGGCTGGGGGGGTGAGGGGGATGAGTTCCCCCTCTTCCACCCCCCCGCTCCGGTCTCTTACTCACTTCTTATCGTTTTACTGTCTGTGTTCCACACGTGATGACTCCTTACGTGATGATGATGATGATGATCACGACGAGAGACAAACTGCCTGCGATAGTTGGAGAGGGGCCTGGGCGAAATGCACAAAGCGAGTTCCAATATTATCCGACCAATGAATCTATGGGGCGGCCGCAGCCTTTCCTCGTACACTCAGCGGGCGAGAGGCAGAGCAGACTGCGCGGTTGAACGAGAGCCGAGAGCATCTTCTTGGTTCTTTCGGTAAAGTCACGTAGAATGGAAATAATCAAATAATAAAATAAAACATTATAAGATAATTCTACGTGACTTTACCGAAAGAACCAAGAAGATGAATCCCTGCAGTCACGAAAGCTTTAAAGCGGAGAGCATGTTAATCACTCCGTCCGAGTGTAACTAACACCGTGGGCATTATCACCGTTCCGGATTGTAAAGTCCAAATGGTTAGAAGACTTACGGCAGACTTTATCTTAAGCAAACTGCAGTGGAAGAACTTCTAATAAGCCGTTATTAGCACGGAAAATACAGCGCGCAATTACGATTGTAATTTTATCTCATTGCAAAATTTGGTTGTGGTAATTGGTTTTTGTTATTTAACGGTGAACTGAAAATAATCATACTTTGCACGTGAAACGCTTGTTCTTGTGACCTTTTAATTAGTTTGGTTGTGTCGGGTGGTGGAGAGGTCTTCAAGACACAAATGTGTCCAGATCGTTGACGTGTCCCAACCCAAAAGTCAGTCATGAAACAAAAACAAAGCTGCAGAAAAACTGACACCGCGACTATCGTCCCATCGTGAGAGTCGATGTCGCGGTAACCCTGGTGCGGAGTGAGCCTGAGTCAGTCGGAGTGAGTCTGAGCGAGTGAGTCTGAGCGAGTCGGAATGAGCCTGAGCGAGTGAGTCTGAGTGAGTCTGAGCGAGTCGGAGCGAGTCGGAGCGAGTCGGAGCGAGTGAGTCTGAGTGAGCCTGAGTGAGTCTGAGTGAGTCTGAGCGAGTCGGAGCGAGTCGGAGCGAGTCGGAGCGAGTGAGTCTGAGTGAGCCTGAGTGAGTCTGAGTGAGTCTGAGTGAGTCTGAGCGAGTCTGAGCGAGTCGGAGCGAGTCGGAGCGAGTGAGTCTGAGTGAGCCTGAGTGAGTCTGAGTGAGTCTGAGCGAGTCGGAGCGAGTCGGAGCGAGTCGGAGCGAGTGAGTCTGAGTGAGTCTGAGTGAGTCTGAGTGAGTCTGAGCGAGTCGGAGCGAGTCGGAGCGAGTGAGTCTGAGTGAGTCGGAGTGAGCCTGAGCGAGTGAGTCTGAGTGAGTCTGAGTGAGTCTGAGCGAGTCGGAGTGAGTCGGAGCGAGTAAGTCTGAGTGAGTCGGAGTGAGTCGGAGTGAGTGAGTCGGAGTGAGTCTGAGCGTGTCTGAGCAAGTCACAGCGAGCCTGAGCGAGTGAGTCTCAGCGCGTCTGAGCAAGCGAGTCAGAGAGCGAGTGAGTCGGAGTGAGTGAGTCGGAGTGAGTCTGAGCGAGTTTGAGCGAGTGAGTCGGAGTGAGACTGAGCAAGCCTCAGCGAGTGAGGCGTAGTGAGTCTAAGTGAGTGAGTATGAGTGAGCGAGTCACAGCGAGCCTGAGCGAGTGAGTCTGAGTGAGTCTGAGTGAGCCTGAGGGAGCCTGAGTGAGTTGGAGTGAGTCTGAGCGAGTCGTAGTGAGTCTGAGCGAGCCACAGCGAGTCACAGCGAGTCGGAGCGAGTCGCTCAATGTCGTCCCACGTGGGTGCAGCTGGGGCCAGACAGCGCCGCCGCCCTCGCTCCCGTGCCGTGCGAACCGGAGGATGTGTCTCACGGCTTCATCGACATCAAGGTGCGTGCTACAGTCGTAGTCGCAGCCTGAGCGACAGGTTAACATGTACTGGATGCGGTTGTCCGGGTGCGGAGATAATTCCTGGGCAGCTTGATCGACCCGAGAAAGTAGCACGGGACGTAGCGTAACAACAACTGTTGTTTTAAACCCGCAGCCCGGCGTGAAGCTGCACTATGTGGAGATGGGCGAGGGGCCGGTCGTGTGCCTCTGCCACGGCTTTCCGGAGAGCTGGTACTCGTGGAGATACCAGGTACGTGCCTTGTGGGGGAGCCTGAGGCGGGCGGGGGGTGGGGCTGTGCCCCTCTCGCCCACTGCTGAAAGCTCAGCACCGTCCGTTCGCCCCTATCCTCCCTCGATGTGAGGGTTGCCCTCGAGAGGAGCTCTCCGACGCCGCAGGGTTCTGCCTGTGGCGGTTTTTGCAAGGAGTTGCCCGCAACCGAGCCCTGCGCAAGCACGTGCAGCGTCGTCAATATCCCAGCTTTTCTGGGTCGACCCTGGGCCTCGCTTTACCCGGGATCCCGAGCCTTGAGTAACCGTAAATTGTTACGGGAAAATGTTGGCAACATCATTTCGCACACCGGCGGCGGGTGTGCCTTCAAAGTTCGCCACATTTAACGGACACGCGTACGTAGTTGGGTTGTGGTGAACTCTCTAACCCCCCCCCCCTTCCTCCCCCGTTGACATAATACTTTCATTTTATATCGCGTCATTCGTGACAATAGCATCCGACACTGCTGAGACTGTGGCTGTGCCGTGGTGTGTGCAGATCCCTTGTCTGGCTGACGCTGGCTACAGGGTCATAGCCTTCGACATGATCGGGTATGGAGACTCCAGCCATCCACAAGGTAACGCAGTGGATGCCACGTTTGCAGGTCGAAGGGGGGAATTCAATACGTGGTTGTAAGTGGGAGTGCTTTGGGAGTGGGTGAGCACTTTGGTAAGCGATTGTGCGCACTGTGTTGCGTCATCAGCAGCGGAAGGGACATACGTCTTGGTCAGCTGAGGGGTTTTATTGGAAACTTGAAGACGCTTGTGAAATTTCATGGCTTAAGCTCCCATATTTTGTGGGGTTTTTTTACTGAACAATTCCCAACTAGAAATGCTAGATAATTGGGAAGACCGTTTATACATTTTATAAATCCCCGAAGTGTTTTGTTATATATTCTTGGTTCTTTCGGTAAAGCCACATAGAAGGGAAACAATTAAATAATAAAAATATAAAAAATAAAATGATCACGACGTTTCGACTGCAACACAAGCAATCATCATCAGGTGTGAAATCCATAGTAAGAAAATTTGAAAAAATATATATATCTTTTTTTACATCAGTCCCTATTATGTCAGTCCACCGGGGGATGACGATCTCCCCATAGACACGTGATTATGGAGGTCGTTTTCATCAAACTTGGTCACTGCTGGATACTAATAGCATGGTCAAAACTCTTGCTGATTGTGGGGTTTTAAATTAATTAACTAGGTCAATACTATAGGTTCATGGTTCCCTTAAAGTTAGAACGAGCCCTTATCCAACTCTGCACAACGACAGTTACTCAAGGGTGGTTACTCAACAGACCCCGAAACTTCCTTTTTTCCACTGGCACTTCTGAGTCCAGGCCAGCTCACCACCCCCCCCCCGCCCCCCACGGTAACGAGCGGTTTCCCCACTGGATGTATGACCATAGTACCATGCCTGCCGTGCCAGAGCCAAACCGAGATACGCCAGTTTCACGGGGGACGTCTGAAACCGAGTGGACAGTGCTCACGACGCGTTCATCGGGGAGTGCCCACGGCAGTCCGTGCACCACGACGTCACTGCGCCGGCCTCGAAATCGCTGGTTGGTGGCACGGCACGGCTCGGCACGGCTCGGGTTTCGCAGTGGAAAAACGACACCGGCGACCGCTGAGCCGTGACCGGAGGGGGAGGGGCCTGGCTCATTGCGGGGCCGTCACGGTCTCGGTTGTGCGGTGGAAAAAGAGGCTCTTAGAGACAGATCTGTTGTAACGTTTCGGAAACTAATGAGTCGTCGCGGTCTTTTATGCTTTCAGATGTCGAGGAATACTCGCAGGAAAATATCTGCAAGGTATTTAAAAATTTTGCAGCAAGAAATGTTGCCTTTTTAAAATCCTTTATATTAAGTTCGCTTGCTTGCTTGCTTGCGTGCTTGCGTGCTTGCTTGCTTACGACCGTGCAAATCTTTCGGTCGTTTTTTAACCCACTTCCCGTGATCCAATCGAGCTGACATTTTCCACACAGACTCGTTGTGCGTGACAATTAATTTTCGTGAATTTTTTTTCTCCGAAATTTTACACAGTTTAGGGAAAAAAATTAAATATTTAATTACCAATTGCTTAATGCTGGCAGACAATCATCTGACCCATAGTTGGCAGCCATCTCAAGCCAGAGGACGAGAGGACTCTAGCCGCCACGTATATAAAGGATTTAGAGTGAAAAACTTTGTTTTTACGGGTTAATTTTTTCAAAGCTGTCTATACAACGTTGAGCAACATGAGCACATGTTTACACACACGGTGATTGTTCAAAAGGCGATGTTAACAATGCATTCTCTTTGTTTTTTTCTAGGGAATTATAAGCTTTTTGAACAAGCTGGTGAGTTCATATGTCTCAGCGCAAACACACACACACGTGGAATTGCGTGGACGACAATATACGTTGCAAATGAGATTATCGCTGACCCTGTTTTGACACCCTGTATATGCAAAGTATGCAAAGTATGCAAAGTATGATCTGTGTTTTCATTTAGTATGCTGATCTTAAAGGTGCATTGAACAATGTTAATACTCCGACTGATGCTCCTACTGTTGTGGAGTGACTCATGCAGCCAGCTATGGCTGCAGAGTTTGGTGGTACATGTTGTTTACGTCGTTTATTGTGAAAATTCGGTCACAGATCCTATGATCACTGTTTCATTGCTTGTATGGCTTTATTTTGGTGATTTTCGAAAAGTGTTTTGGTTTGGCCATGTTTGTTTGTTGTAGTACAGAGTTAGACTTAATGCCTTAATCTAAGTTGTCTTGTGGTTGGTTGACTTGCATCCCACTGGGATATTTGCACAGGGGTGGTGTACGGTGATTTTTCTACAATATTTTGCTGTCTTTTCTTGGATTTTCTGTTTGCACTCAGTCACATATTCACTTTAAGATGTTTTCTTGCTCATGTTTTTTTGTTTGTTGCGGTTGCACCCGATTCAAGAGCCAAGTGGCTCACAGGGCTATGCCTAATAAATGAACTTTGAACTTTGATATACTGTTGGGTCTTTTGGTAAAGTCACGTAGATATAATTTTTTTAAATAATCACGACGTTTCGATCGCAACACAAGCAATCGTCTTCAGGTGAAAAACCCACAGCAGGACTGCTGAGGCAGGAGAAATATGATTTCTATATTTTTTCATTATTTTTATTTTATCCACGTGACTTTACCGAAAGACCCAAAGAGAATGAATTCCTGCAGTCACGAAAGCTTTAATTCAAGATTTAACCCCGTATATATGTTTTCATCCTGCACTTATCTGTTTTGAAAACATAATGTGTGAGTCTGCAGTGGTGTTTTATCAAAAGTATTTTTTTTCAGATCACACCGAATGACCCCATAATCGAGGTTTTTTTGGGTTAGTTCACGTAATTCTATAAATGTGACGTTAAGCCCGCCACCACCCGACACAGCCAACTAGTAAGGGTTGTCACGTAAACAGAAAGTGACAATTCGTCACTAGTACAGCACATTGGAGAGCCAAGCCACAACATTTACAATCTGAGCACGACGTTTCGCCAGTAATTATAACTAGCTTCATCAGGCGACAGCCAGATTTGTGGAGAAGTCCACCTGTTTCGTTTCTTAAATAGAGGCATAGACGTGACAACCCTTACTAGTTGACTGTATCGGGTGGTGGCGGGTTTAACGACACATTTATATATTTACGAGATCTAACCCAAAAAACCCTCTATTATTGTTGACATTGGTCGCGAAAGCTGACATGTTAAGCCTAATGACCGTCACCACTGCTTTCAAATTCATTATAATGGTGTCCCCATCATGTCATCACGAGGCATGTTCCAGTCACGACTGCGTCCTGTCTTCTGTTTGTTCGTGACGGTGCTGCACATCTCTGTTCAGCACGATGTCTGACGTGTCGCTCCACCTTCCTGGTTAGCTTCTTGATGAAAGCTTGGTGGTCAGGATGAACATCGGTTTCGCCGCTGTGCGACAAACATTTCTTCGTAGTGAGCTGTGCGGGAAAGCGCGCCCTCTCGTTTGTGGATAAAGCAAAAGGCCACTTGAACGGATTTCAGAAGTAGTTCTGTCACGTATCCTTCCACGTGCCGTTCTCTAACGCGCACGATGACGCACTGTGCTGTAGAAGAGTTTCGAACGGACGATGTGATTTCCGGTTGTACCGCTTACTTGTTCGGCACGGCATTCGAGGTTTCAGACAGCCTTCGGTTGATGAAGGACCTCCGAGCACGTGGCGTGAAACGTCGGACAATTGAAATAATAATCGAGAGAGACCACAAATGTTTCTCTGGCCTGGGTGTGTTGACCAGGGGATTATTCAGGCCACGTTCCTGGGCCACGACTGGGGCGGTGCGGTCGTGTGGAACCTCGCGCTGAAATTCCCCGAGAGGCTCCGGTGAGACCCGAATAGGGCGTTGCAGACAATTGAGGCAAACTCCAGCTGGTGTTGGTGGTGGTGGCGGCGGCGGCGGTGGTGGTAGTGGTGGTGGCGGTGGTGGCGCCGGTGGTGGTGGTGGTGGCAGCGGTGGGAAAACTTGTGTTTCAAATGCGTAGTCACATTTTACTTGACGAGCTGCGTGAATACGAATTCAAAGTCACGAGTGATTTTTACTGCCCTCTCAATTGAGCGTTGAGGCATCGGTGTGCGTCTCCTGTGTCCAGCCCTGAGCCAGTGGAGGAAAGTCCACATTCCTATGGAGGGGGACGAGTATGTCCATAAGCTAACCTGCTGCAACCAGTGTTAACTTCTCCACAAAGTTGTTTCATATTATTGAACCAACTAGGATTTGTACTCGCAACCTTCCGATTGCAAGTCGTTCACTCTCCTGCTGAGCAGCCCGGCTGTATACTGATTACACCTTAATCATAGCTGGTAGGTCACCTGTGATGCATGGTGATTGCCCATCCAAGCACGTACCAGGCTCAACCCTACTTAGCATCTGAGATCTGATAAGTTCAATGACGCATTCAGGTCGATTTGATCAGAGAAAATGGACTGGTAATAATGATCATCATACTGTGTATATATATTAACAAGTTTTGCTGGCTGGCACGCAGCCGGGAAAGTGCGTAGTGGAGACATCACGACTTAAAGAATATGACACACACCCATGAGGCCGTACGGCTGATGGGGATGTGTGAAAAATATTTAAGAATTTTAATGCGGGTGGACAGATCTGGGAATGTGACGTAACGTCTGCTTTAAATATACATGTGAAATTGTCTATCACGTCTTTCAAGCACATTTGCATCTCGCATTCCCCGAGGAACCCCCGGCGAGCCGGAGAGGCAGCGAACCGGCGCCAAGCTCTGCGGTCCTCTAGTATATAAAAGTATTTTGTTCAGCCACTGAGTATTTTACATCGTAGTGAAGATCGAGTTTTGCTGCACTGCCTCTCGGCTGCCCACCACACAGCCCTGCAGCAGCTCTCGCCCCTCTCGGAGTTCACCCGAACAACCCCCCCCCCCCTCTTGCGCGTTGTCACACGCGGCAGGGCAGTGGGCGGCATCAACACCCCGTTCCTGCCGACCAACCCGAGCGAGAGCCCCGTGGAGAAGATGGCGAAGAAGCCAGGCGTGTTCGACTACATGCTCTACTTCCAGAAGCCGGCGAGTGAACCAGCAGCGACGGCCATCGCCGCCGTCGCGTCTCGCCTTTGTGATAGCCTTGCGCTATTAGAATGACACAAATACCAAATGTGCTAAATAATAATAATTATTATTATACGAACGGCCGCGTGTTAATTTGGATGTTTGACGCTCGCTCTGTGGCCACGCGTAGGGAGTGGCCGAGGCAGAGTTCGAAAAGAACCTGGAGCGGACGTTCAAACTATTCTTCAGGTACCCGGAGGTGAGGAGGGGTCATGTGTGCGTGCGTGCATGTGTGTGCATGTGTGTGCGTGCGTATGGAGCGGTAGTGCAACAGTTAGCGCACTGCGCTACGAACCCAGCAACCCCAGTTCGATTCCCGCTCACGGCCAACACCAGTGACGATTATCTGAACCGATCCTGGGCCTCCCCTAGGTCGACTCAGCCTCATATGAGTACCTGGTGCAGTGTGTAAACATCACCACTGGGGATACAAAGGCGACCAGGTGTGGCGTTGGCCACCCACCCCTCCGTGTGCTGTGCCGGCCTTCATAGGTGCTCGCTAACAGCACTTGTCCCAAAAGTCTTCTAAGGCTATACGGAGTATCTGTGTCTTGTGTATGGAAGCGGTGGCAGAGTGGTTAGCGCACTGCGCTGCGAACCCGGTGACCTGACTTCGATTCCCGGCCACGGCCAACGTCAATGATATCTAAACATCTTCTTTTTGGTTCTTTCGGTAAAGTCACGTAGAAGGCAAATAATAAAAGAATAAAAATAAAACATAATAAAATACAATTCTCACGACGTTTCGGCCACAACGCAAGCAGCCGTCTAAACATCTGTGCAGAGTGATATCACGTCTGGGCCTCAGCCTCGTGTTCTTGGCTGCCATACACCGGTGGGTGTCTCGAGTGATTTGGTTGATCTATGGATCACCTAGTGGGGAGGGGTTGGTAGGACCGGCGCCATTCCTTTGAGGGTTTGCCGTACCAAGACTGGGGCGGTGTCCAAAAGAAGCGACACTGCAGCCGTCTGTCACTTTTTGGACACGGGGCTGTGTGTGTGAGAGCACCCCCTGGGTGGGTTGATGCGTTCGTAGCCGGTGTGAGCTCGCCTATGAATAATCGCACGTATGATTGTGTACTTTGCTAACATGGCCCGGATGCACTCACGTTTGATGTTGTGTGTGGCTGTCTTTACAGGATCGGGACCCTAAAATAAACACGTCCAACGTCAGGGAGAGAGGTACGGTGGAATTGTTTCGGTTTTAGATACACGTTCAAAAACAACAACACTGTGCTATGTACAAACGTTGAGCCTAACCACGAATTCGAGTGCTAACCACACTTGCGTTACGAATTACTTACTCGCGCAGTAGCGGATCACACACTCAACTGGCCAGCACCTATCATCACGTTTTAAAGTTTGAGTGAGTGGGTGAGTGAATGCGTTGGTAGGTGAGTAGAGTGTGCTGTGACCTGCCGTGCGGTAAATGAACAAATTTTGGATGGGACGAGCATTCGGTATCTGGAAAACCAAAGTCCTCGACACAGGGTGGAGGATTCGGCAGGTGAAGTTAATGGGAAGTGGCAATCACGGCAGCAGCAGCGATGGAAGAGTGATAAGGGGGGGGGCGACTGACCGCCGGTGAGCGAGCGACTGCGTGTGTTGAACTTCTTTCGCACCGCACGTAGCCGACCGGGCTAATCTGATTCCCCGACACTCGTTGCTGTGTAGGGGGGTTTTTGGTCGGCTTGCCGGAAGACCCCGCGATGAGCTCGCTGCTCAGCGACAAGTCCCTGCAGGTGTACGTGCAGCAGTTCACCAAGTCGGGATTCAGGTTCGTACAGCCCCTCCCCCACCCAGCCCCTCCCAGCCCCTCCCCACCCAGCCCCACCCTCCCCTCCCCACCCTCCCCTCCCCACCCAGCCCCTCCCTGCACGACGGACGGACACAATAATCCCCTGTGGGCTGGTGTAACCAGGATGTTCCCACCAGTATAACACTTACTACCCAGGAACAAAAATTGTGTTACATAGTGTAATTAGCCATGATCATCTATACATCATTATAAGCAGTATCATCACTTTCACTACACTGTTAACTTCAGCATCATCATCAGCAGCAGTATAATCATCAGATACAAAGATCCCCCGTTTAGCCTCAATAGACTGCTGGGGCAAGTGCTGTTCGCGAGCACCTGTGAAGGCCGGACTGATACAGGGGGGCGGGGGGCGGGGGGTCTGGCCAGCTCCATACCCGACCACCTTTGTCTCCCTGTGGCGATGTTTACACCAGGATTGTACGGCAGCTGCAGCACAAGCGCCAAACCCGGGCACTCCAATATTGTCAACTTTTGTTCTTTTAAGCGCTGATTTTGCATGCGTGTGTGTGTATGTTGAACTTCTTTCACACCGTGCTAATTGCCCGTCCCTCCGTACGGATCACTCTGACGTTGATGCGCTTGCTCCGGGCCGATGCACCACGGATCTCCTTTGCAAACGAGCCGGGTGACTGGCTAAATGGGGCTTTGTGCGTCACGGACAAAATTATTGAGTTGCGTTGTCGATTGACATCGGGCGGAGACGTGGCCCAGCGGTAGTGGCCGGCTTGTTGCTGCCGTTCACAAGTCCCTTGTGCCGTGCGCGACTACAGGGGGCCCTTAAACTGGTACCGCAACATGCTGGGCAACTGGAAGTGGCTCTCGCCGTCGGCAAAGTGGAAGGTGAGTTATGGGTGCCGAGTTGCATTGTCAGCTAGTGGTGGTAGTGCTAGGTGATGGTGGTGGTAGTGATAGGTGATGGCTGATGGTGGTGGTGGTAGTAATAGGTGATGGCTGATGGTGGTGGTGGTAGTGATAGGTGATGGCTCATGGTGGTGGTGGTAGTAATAAGTGATGGCTGGTGGTGGTGGTGGTAGTAATAGGTGATGGCTGGTGGTGGTGGTGGTAGTAATAGGTGATGGCTGGTGGTGGTGGTGGTAGTGATAGGTGATGGCTTGTGGTGGTGGTGGCTGCGATGACAGTGGGGAGTGGTGTCGGTGACACGGTGGTGATGGTCATAGCGCCGTGGTGGTGGTGGCGGTGCGATGAAGGTGGTGGTTGTTGGCGGGGGCAGTGATGGTGGTGGTGGCAACGTGATAGAGGTGGAGGTGATGGTGGTGGCGACGGTGGTTGTAGGTAACAGCAGCAGTGGCGGTTCCCGCGACCGCTGTGGCAACCCTTGGCATGAGCCACCGCCGGTCTCACCGTGCCCTCGCCGCGCCGCCAGCGTGGTGGGGGGCGTCTCGACGGCGTCGTGTAGACCTCGTGTTGTGTGCCGTGCTCCCTAGGTGCGAGTCCCAGGGCTGATGGTCACGGCAGAAAAGGACTCCGTCTTGTCCCCACTGATGGCCACGGGCATGGAGTCTTGGGTACGCACAGACTCGCACGCACGCACGCATCCGCACGTGTGCACACACACACAGACCACAGAGCCCCCCATGTAGTCTGCACAGGGCTGTTGGGGCAAGTGCTGTGGAGCGAGCAGCACCTATGAAGGCCTGCACAGGCGTACGACGGTAAGGTGTGGTCAGAACCACGCCGGGCCGCCTTTGTCTCCCCAGTTATGATGCTTACATATCGCACCAGGTGCTCGTATAAAGCTCACAATCGGTTCCAATATTCGCCACCGATGTAAAGCCCTGGTGGGGAATTGAACTCGTGTCGCCGGGTTGGTAGCACAGGGCGGTGCAGTGCGCTAAGCACTGCGCTACCACTGCCCAAAGACAAATGCACACCGATACACACGCGCAAAGAATATTGGTTTATGTAAATGTATTATGCTCATTTTCTTTTCCAACGTCTAATTATAAAAGTAGTACGGTATGCGTCCGTTCATGTGAGATGACAATTTAAATCAACTGCAGTCACTCTTTAATCATCATCATCATCAGCCATGGACCATCCACTGCTGGATGAAGGCCTCTCCAATCCACTGTCGTCTATCTCCCTTGAACTGACGGTGTAACAATCCGACAAACACTTGCACGTGGACGGATTTCATCGCTCCATCTCATCGGCGGACGTTCCCCCTCGCAAGAGACGCAACTCATTCCTTGGCCGCCACGCTTCTTGACCATCGGCCACCGTCCCCGAAGCTCTAACTTGACGCCGTTACCTTCTGCCACTATTGCGTTTGGCGATGACGTTCATGTTGTACGCATGTACGTACATGCGCACGTATGTGTGTCGACATTCTTTCGCACTATACGTAGCCAACCGTGCTGATCGCATCGCTGCTTCCGCAGGTGCCGAACTTGACCCGAGCCCACATCGAAAACTGTGGCCACTGGACTCAGATGGAGCGGTAAGAGCGTCGCGGATTCGTGCAATTCGAGTGGCGTGTGGGGCACGGCAAACAACCGTTGCCGACTCATTACATTCTCTCTCTCTCGCCACAGACTTGTGGCTGCTTCCGATCGACCGCTAGTGTCGTAACTTGGAAGGGGGCTCGCGTGGGGGGGGGGGGGGGGCGTTGCCAGCGAGAGGACCCCTTGGAAAGGGAACTCGCTTGGAAGGGGTTTGACCAAAGAGGTTGCAAGGTTTAATGCACTTTTTTGTTATATTGCAGCCCTGCTGAGCTCAACAAGATTCTGGTTGAGTGGCTGGCAAAGGTGCACGAGCCGGGCGCGCAACAGAAGCAAGCCAAGCTCTGAAGTAGCCGTGCCTTGGCTGGGTCATGTAGCCCCCTTGCATGCCCAACAACCGCATGCCCAAGCAGCTTCTGTTTGGCCGGATAGAGGGGGGGTCTAAATGGGCACGACACGGGCTGGAGAAGATATGGAGCTGATGCGGTACGGGAGGATGTAGAGCTGAATGGACTTGCCGAAGACTGGTACCAATGGTGTCAAAATCGGCCTCTGTGGAGGAGGCTCTTGGACGCTACTGGGCAGTTTGAGGCAGTCGCCCTCCAACGACAACGGAGGGTAGAGGAGCGACGCTCACAACAACGAGCAGAACACCGGGCGGCTAAAATTCAGCAAGTTGGCACAGTAGGGGGCACAGGTGGTGGCATCTGCCAGTCATCTCAGTCAGTCAACCCATGGCACCTGGGTCTATCCCGTGACCTCCTGTCAGCACCTCACGTGGCCTCAAAGTGCACCTGGCCTGGCACAGGCACCGTGGTGACGTCACCGTCACTTAGTGGCGAATGGCGGCTATTGGTATTGGTAGCTTACACATTGAACAAGTGAAGCGGGAGTGCCTGTAGTGGTTAATTGGTGGTGGTTATACATCCAAGCAATCAATAAACATTCAATCAATAAATGTCCTCCGTGTGTCCATGAGAGTGGAGTTGGCGATGAAGTGATTTGCGTGCTGTGCTCTGAACGCGATGGGACCAGAGTTTTTAATTCGGGGCCGCCACGGCTGACATCGGTGACAAGCGATGACAGAATGGGTTCCCACCCCACACAAGCCCTGAACCAGCCAGCATTGACCATCGTGGAGAAGTATGGTAAGAAAAAAAATCATGACCCACGTGCGGAGGCCTTGAGGTGGCTTGTGAGTGTATTTTTGTCTTCTAGCCCAGCTTGTTATCGTCCCACTGCTTTTAAACATAATCAGAATCTTTATTTAGTAGCCTTGAGGAATCCAATGACCTATCAAGCTCTTTTTTTCACAGATATCCAGTGATCGTAAAACTAAACTATTTTGTATTTGACCAGATAAAGCCCACGGAGCCATAAAGCTCTTTTTCAGAAGCGACCTGGCCACACATTATTGCTCAACGAAGTGGCTTATCGCGTGGAAATGTTTCGCAGCCAAATACTCTACACGCATATTCCTAAATGTGGAGGGGAAAAAACTCCGAAAACCCGAAGAAAAATCCACGCGACCACAGGGAGAAAGACACGCAAACTCCAAATATACAGGCGTCAGGGTCGGGATTGAACCAACAACCTCCTGTATACCAGGAGAGGTTGTTAACATCTCGCCAGTGTGTGGAGGGCACAACAAGAAACCCACCAGCTGGGTTCATGGCCCCATTCGCTGTGCCGTCATCTTCTGGCCATCTCGGCATCAACGTACATTTATATATATCCAAATTCGACCCATATCTGCAGACGCCGCGCATAGTACGAATAAAGTATTTTGAAAAGAGTTTTCACATCTTCTTGGTTCTTTCGGTAAAGTCACGTAGAATGGAAATAATAAAATAATAAAAATAAAACATAATAAAATTATTCTCACGACGTTTCGGCCACAACGCAAGCAGCCGTCCTCAGGTGGAGAACAGGTCTTTCAAAAACATAGTCATTATTTATTTTATTTTATTATTTCCATTCTACGTGACTGTACCGAAAGAACCAAGAAGATGAATCCCTGCAGTCACGAAAACTTTAAATCGAAAGTTTTCACGTCGCCAGTGGAGCAGCGGCAGAGATTGGTAGAACCACCACTGTGGAGATGGAGCCACGCCAGGGCCTGGGATATCGCTGTCAGTTATGGGGAGTTTTAACAACCACCGGCACTTTAATTCTAGCCAGAAAAGTTCAGAACACCGTTCCGGGAAACTATTTTGGCACACTGCATCCACCTTCACCATATATTGTCTTTAATATCTATAAACCTTGTCCGTAGGAACTGCAGGGTACAATAATGTAGGACTTCATGTGGAGTGCTTGGTACTCAAGTGGCAGTGCCTTAGGCCGATAATCCCTATTCCAAGCCAAGCCTAGCAGCGTTCCGGATCATATCGAGAAGTGAAGCCTTAATTTTGGAGCTTTCGTGACTGCAGGAATTATTCTTTGGTTCTTTCGGTTAAGTCACGTCTAAAGATAAAATAATAAATGAAAATAATAGCATATTATTTTAAAATTAAAATAATAGCATATTATTAAAATAATAGCATATTATTTTAATTTATTATTTTATCTTTAGACGTGACTTAACCGAAAGAACCAAAGAAGTGAAGCCAGTTCACAACTCGCATCTGTGTGACACACGAATCGCGCCTCTAAGTGCCCCTTTGTGGGCCGTGGGCCATGTGCCACCCCCCCCCCCCCTGTAAGTTTAACTCATTAATAAAGAATCATAGGGGTTTTTTTTGCGGCAGCATCATCATTTATTATTTACACCACTAAGCCTGCCATACAGTTGTAGAGGTGATACGCGCTGGGATTAGAGATCGTATGCCAGCGCGTAATGATTGGCTGTGTAGGTGGTGACGTGCGCTGACGGTGGAGGATCAGGGGTCAGCGCGGGGTCGTGGGTTACGGGGTACTGATTGGCTGTGGACGGGTGACGTGCTGAGAGGGAGTGATCGGGTGGCAGCGCGGTGTGATTGGTGGAGGAGTGTTAACACGCGCTGGGGAAAACGGATCGTAGAGAGAGTGCGTCGTGATTGGTTCATTAAGGAGCGATGCTCACGTTGAAGTACGCATCAGCTCCGCCTCTCGTGAGCAGGGGCTATAAAAGGGGATGCACACAGGCGTGAGGGCAGTGTGTAACCAGCGAAGAATGAAGACGGGGATGAAGACCTAGGGCCCTGCGGTACCTAGTCCCGCTGTCCTAACGGGACCGGGACTCTGTGTAACCCAGAGGCGAGTGCAGTGTGTGTAGCCATAGGCGTAAGGTCTACACGAGCCGAATGCAGTGTATTGTGTAGCCAGGGACATGGGGTCTACACGAGTCGAGTGTATTGTGTAGCCAGGGACATAGGGTCTACACGAGTCGAGTGTATTGTGTAGCCAGGGACATAGGGTCTACACGAGTCGAGTGTATTGTGTAGCCAGAGGCGTAGGGTCTACACGAGTGAAGTCGGAAGAAAGGAGACTACACGTTGTATTTTGATACGTAAAGATTTAATAAAAGTGTGTTCCCGTCAAGAAGTTCCTGCCGTCAATTCCCATACTTCACAGTTATAGCAGAACTTGAGATAGTAAGAAAGTGACTGCAGACGAAATGCGAGGTCATGAACAAAACGAGAACACGCTGGAAATAATATTCACGAAAAACGGTGCACGAACTCAAATCGAAAGGCTAAATGTGCTCCAGACTACTCTCGTTTGTGTCCGCTTAATTCGGCTTATTCGTAAGCTATCTGAAAAAAACCCAAACACATTCATGTCTTTAGTGTTAGTCTTATAATGTATGGTGAATTGCGAGTGCATGAATGGCATTGCTGAGTAAACTGCCCGAACGGCGCAGGCTCCAAATGTTGGTGACGACGCAAAAGTAACCAGGGAAAGGGGGGTTCTCAATGCAATGACTGTGAGTCGCCGATAATTTCGTCGATTGAAGCGGACAATGAAAACAACGAGACAAAATCGCGGTAATCGCATGCAACTGTACGTTTATTGTGTTGATTTGCATATTCGAAACAGCGTCGACTCAAAACGAGGAATGTCCTGCAATATCACCAGTTGTACGGAAAGTACGTCATGCATATTTTAACACGGCGTAGCGATGAAATGAAGCGTGTTGCCGTCACCTGGATTTGGGATTTTGTTGTTTTGTTCTTGAACTTCGTGGTTCAAGCGAGGGAGCACGCGAACTTCCATACAGGGCAGCGTGCTCGCTCGAAACGACTCGCCAGCTGCCGGCGTTTAAATAGTCATCGGTCGAGAAAACTCAGCAGCAACATTCTCTTAAAACATCGTCTCCTCCACGAAACGTTTCGTTCGTTACCGAAAGACGTCAGTCGGTCACAATACCCAGACACCTCTGCTGGTCGGCGGGGCTGCGACTCGCAAGTTTTTTTTTTAGCGATTACTGGATCATGGGACCTCCTTTGCCAGTACCAAAATAGCTTTCTTTTGAGCCTAGTCCCAAACGGTGTTAGACCAAAAGGCGTCCTCTTATCTAACACCGTTTGGGACAAAGCTGTCTCTGGTGTGCACCAATCAGTTTCACGGACAATGCATATATTATCAGAGTATGTTTTTTGTTTGCATTCTGACCACAAGTATTGTGGCTAATGCAGACATGATTCCTTGTAAAAGGTTTCAGTTTGGTGTTTTAACATCTCAACACCTTACTCTTTGATTTTTTTTCGGTAAAGTCACGTAGGTAAAAAAAAGAAACATTTAATTAAAATAAATCACGTTTCGGTGGCACCGTCACAGCAAAATTACTGTATCAAGTGATTTACCTACGTGAATTTACCAAAAAAAAACAAAGCGTATGGACCCTTGCAGTCACGAAAACTTCAAATCTAGAATCTCAACACCTGTTTTCTTGCCCCAAAAAAAGGGGAAACCCTATTCTTCGATTACTAGATCTCGATACATTTTGGCGGGGGGTAGTTCGATATAACCCCCAACGCACAATCGGCTGTTATTGTGGCCACACAATGAAACTGGGACCGCCAATGTCACGCTGTCTCAGGTGGGTGGCATCGTACGGACGAGTAAAACACCAGGCGTGTGGAGGCCCACGCAATACCAGCGCGGCATAGGGGGCACCCACAAGTGCCCGGTGGAGAGACGGAGAGAGCAAGAGAGAGAGCGCGATGCTGCCTGCAAACAATTACCGAGTCCTCAAAGTAATGTGAACGTATATATAGTGTGTCAGGTAATAACGGAGTTTTTTAGGGAGCCTCGTAAAACGTGAAAAGAATGGGGGGGGGGGGGGGGACAAAATCGAATCGCAGAGCCGTGCAGAGCCATGCTGACCTTAGCACCAGCCGCATTTCCACTCTTGCGCCACATGCCAGACAGCGACAACAGTGGAATTGGGCCGTGTTCAAGGATTGTGTATTAACATTTCCTGTGGCTTTAGTGCTGGTTATTTGAACCTTTTTTTTTAATAAGCAAATTGAAATAACATTACAAGCTGAGAACATGCAACATTTTGGTCTCCGTGGAAAATAATGTGGATTTTGTTAAGAACACGGATATATGCTGGGGCATATATCCGTGATGACACGTGACAACATGTGCATCCTGCCCAGTGCGTACACCAGACCAGGTAAGGGTTGATTCGAGCTCGAAGCAGACAGCTCCCCGTCTCCACAGTCTCAACAAGCCGGACCAGTGCGGTGCCCTCTAGTCCGTAGCAAATATAAATCGTCAATAATACACGTTTCGTTTTGAAGAGTTCATGACAGCCTGAATAAAATTTACCTCGACAAAAAAAAACGGGCTTCGATTCGTAATATGATTGTTGTCATTCCCGGCTTCTGATCTTAATCCTGGCCAAAAATGCCAAGTCGATCCTGGAAGACGCTGCTGTTTTGGACTTCTCTGGAGGAGACGCGGAGCATCAAGGGAGATCGATCCGAGACATCAGTCGTCAACATCCACGTGGGTTATATCACAGTGCAACTTTGCCACCGTCCGTTCAGTCTATTGCAACGTTCGCGTTCACAGCGATGAGATAAAGCGCGTGCGACAGAGCACCAAGTTCTCCCATGCGTTTGTGCGGCTCAAGACATTCCCCCTTACAGCTCATGGTTTGTTTTTTTTGCTCGGACCACGTCTGTAAAAAAAACGTAAACCGTCAGCCATGCACCAGACACAGACAAATGCCGAGAACGTTCAGTAAACAAGGCATACCAGGGCAACTCCACGTAGTAACACAATCCACGTTAAGGCCTTTACATGACCGTGCCTGCCTTTCGCGAACAGAATGAAACCGCTTAACAACTGTTAAATTAACCGCACTTCTAAAACGTTTTGGTTGTCATTTTCCAACACCATCGTTTGCGCTCTCTCCCCGATGCGATTTCGGATCGCGTCCGACGTTTCGCTCCACCGCGCCGGGAGCTTTCTTCCCGTACGGCGTACGTCCGACAATCGTGCCGGGCATCACCGGCGGGCACAACCAGGAATCACATCAGAAGAGCTGCATCAGCGGCGACCGGTAAGATCGTACGCGGGAAGTACCGAGCTACGACGCCGCTCGTTCATCCGTCAGGACGTGCGCGAAACCACGGTGCGGGCAAAGTCAGGAGCCATCGCCTGTTCGGTCAACGGTGGGCGGACGCTCAAACCGCGCACCGCACGACTCGATCCATTCCGCACGGGACACTTCAACGTTGCTCAACTACCCTCCCTCCCCCCCCAATTCCCACCGGCACATCCGAGCCGTGCCAGCGCGGGGCTCTCACGGTTTTTCACCGGCTATTTGCCGAGCCGAGATCAGGCTGTGACGACTCCGGCCAGGCGAGACATTTGAATTGCGGCTCGAGGCAAAGCAGGCCCAGATGGGGGCCGGGTTCACAATGTTCGTCGCGCAGCTCGGATTCCGGGGGAGGAAAAACAACCTGGCGCCCCCGCTAAGCCGTGCTGGTTCGGCGCGGACTGGGCACGGCTCGGTGTTGTGCGGTGGAAAGGGGGGGGTTGGGGATCACCATACCCACACTGACGTGGCTATGGTTCCTGACTTTATTGCCGCACCGTGCGCAGGGTTTCCTGGAGCCTTCGCCTGCACGAAAGGTGAACGCGCCGGGAATCCGTTGCCGATGTATTTGCGCTGCGAACCGTGCGCTTCCGAACGCTCGCGCGCACTCCTCGGAGGCGGCGAGCGATCCCTGTCGATCGACGACCGGCAGGCCACACCGCAAGGTAGTGCAACGGCAATACTGGCCGAAGACATTCGAATCACGCAAAGTAACAAACGCGGGCCAACGCCTGCCGTGCGGCTCGGTGGGCCCGAAGCCGCCCACGGAGGCCAACGCACACGCTCCCGAGCTGCCCGGGAAACGCCGGCCTCGCGCAAAGCAAATACATTCACGATGGGAAAAGACCGGCGGCGGTGGCGGCGTCTGGACCGGCTGCGTACTGTGCGAAAGAAGTTCAACGTACACTATGTACAGACGTACAGATGGACGTGGCATTATTGCTTCAAGGGATTCACGGCCACCGCCGGCAGCGCTCGACGGCGAAGATGAGCTGTAGGGCGACTAGTGTAGGACACCATGGTTTGGGACGCACCGTCGCACAATCGTAAAACGTCCCATCGGATGCATTGCGTTCCTCGACTCGCCACGTGACCGTATGGTGATTAACTCACCCATTGCGTTTATCGAATGCCGTGTGAAGTTGACTTGATCTCTGGACACGGGGATCCAGTCCATACCCTACGTCTCATTCATTCACTGGCCACGCACAGCAGCACCAACAGTGTGGCAGGAGGAGACCCCAGCGTTTTGAGGCTCATTCTGTCTGGACAATCATGTTGACTCTTATTTAGGTTTCAGCCCGGACTCAACGGTGATTAATAACGCTCTCTGTATGTCCCTGCAGTCACACTGTCGCATGTGCTCTGAAAACTATGCAGTATGACGCACCCGTTATAATTTATATCCTGTGCAATAACGAGAATTAGTATTTGTTTTTATATAGAGCTGGCATTGTTGAGTAGGGGCGCAGCCACTCTTTGTATTGGGAGGAGTCCCACTAGCGATTGGTTCCTTGTGGTCATTGGTCAAAATACACATTCACAGCACTAATGCTAACAGATCTCTATGGGAGTGAATGGAGGTCACGTTAGCTAACAGATATCTATTGAGGGAATGGAGGTCACGTGAGCTCACAGATCTCTACGCAGGGGCATAGTCATTCTCTGGGAGATGGTGGTGTAAACTAGTAAATGTTTCCTGGTGGCTCCTTGGTGAATTTACCGATGGGATCTGCGAAGTTCGCCCTCTAATTCATCACGGATAGGAACAATTCTACTGCACTATAGTCATATTAACTCCGCACAACTACGCGCGATTGAATCAGCACCGAGCCTGCCGTCCGTGCGCTACCGTGCAGTTAACGATTCCACCACCATCGTAGTCAGCCTTCGTCACCTTGTTGAAGGGAGAAGAAATACGCGGACTCAAAAAATACCACAACATTTTTTTTTGTGTTTGGGGCCGAAACTTTGTGGACGGTCTCTGGCTCCACGCCTCCTCCCACGACACCCACAGTCGCTGCGCCGGCAGCTGTCGAGCGTATGGAGAGCGCAAGATACGGTGCCCCCGCCGATGGCACCCGCGACTCGGCATGCATTTCTTCTTCTTCCACGCGTTTGTCCCACTCACGTGGAGTGTTCCCTGCTGTCCTTGTCAACCTTCTCCACGCTGCCATGTCCTGCGCCATCTCTCTTTCCGCTCTTCGGGCTACCACGGTCCGATCGCAACCACATCGCCCCACGTCTTTTTCTGCCTTCCTCTTGATCTCTTTCCTTCCACTTGCATCACTTGCACCTTCTGACTCACGTAATTTTCCTGCTGTCTCTCCACATGACCGAACCACACCAGAGCCTTTTCTCTCTCATCTTCTCTGTGATTTCTACCACCTCGAGTCTTCCTCTCACTTCTTTGGTAAGCGACGATACTGCAGCAGAATCGGGGCTTGATTACAACCGGGTCTGTCCGGGTGAGCGACCGGGAAATAATTTCAGCACCCGGCACACCACATCTGATATACCTCTCGTCGTGGCGACTATTAATTATGCGGCATCTATTCACGTCTACCTACCTGCGGGGCTGGAAGATATTCAGCGAGGAATTAAGCCCTGAGCAGAACGCATTTGTTTACTGCAGTAACGAACGCTGCATCGGACGACGCAAAGCATCCCAGCGCATCGCAGCCGCTGCAACGATGAAACGTTAAAGGGACGGGAAACGAGCCTGCCCGTGCGGGCGAGAGAGAGCGTGCAAATGTGGGCCGCTGCGAGCAGCCCTTACGATGACGTCGAGCCATGGGGAGGAGGGAGCAGAGCGGACCGCTCTGCTCCCTGACGCACAGCACGGGGGCTGGCTCGGCGCGATTGCACGAGCAGCGTTGGGAGTACGCCGCTGGCCTGAGTTCTCGCATGCAGCCGCTTGGCCAAGCACACGGCAGTTCGCACTTACGCTACGAAGCAAGTTTACACGTCGGCGGACGCCAACCGGTACACATCGTTACGCAAGAACACTTCCCGTGTATCGTTTTGTAAATTACATCACTCAGCAGCCTGTGCGAGTAGAATGAAAATATATGCAACCGTTTGCTTAAAATTATACTCGACGCAATATATGCAAACGAGCATTTTATGTTTCGTACATTCTCATAATTAGTATTTTTTTTTTTTACACCAATGTACGCAGCTGACATGTGCTGGACAAGTTTCACCCGTGAGCGACCGGCCACGGTGCCACAGCACGGTTCAAGTCGTCTCCCAAGGCACGCCGGAGATCCCGGCGTGAACCCCCCGGGGTACGAATTCCCTCGCCGGTAAAGTTCCAATCTCAACGGGACGCTGCGCAGCCCGCGGAGGCGGCGACAACGGCGACATTGTGCTCATCAGCAGGACTGAGGCCGGATCCGCGACCCCACCCACACCGCCCGCCCGCCTCCCACCCCCCCACCGACTGCCCCGCTACCCCATGGGCCGAGCGCGCAGGGCGGTAAAGTGCAAAAACGAGAGCGGTACGGCCCCCGCACACCGCTCACTATTCCCGCAGATTTTTTTTTTTTAATCCAAGCATCGAGAAGATGCTCGAGCAATCACGGGCCATCGTTGGGTCGTGTTTACCCAACAGCGGCGGTCCTTCACAATGCCCACGTCTTTAGCTTTCAGCAGTGAGAGTTATATGGTTTAGGGGTGAGAGGTTAAGGATATTAGGCATAGGGTTTACGGGTCAGGAATAAGGTTAGGGTTTTGGTGTTACGGTTTAAGGGTAGGGGGTTTAAGGTGTAGAAGTTAGGGTTACGGACAGGTGCATTTAAGACTTTCTTGCCCTACACCTGTGACAAGTGGCATCAGCCTTACACGTAGCACGACGGACAGCACACCCGGGGCGTGGTCGCGCACACGTGCACGCGAGCACGCCGCAGCCGCCGCTGCCGCTTAAGTCTTTTGGAAGCCATACAGTGTTATTGCTGGGCAGTAGGCGCGTCTGCATTCGCTGGTTGCAGGCACTCCAACCCGTGAGTCAGTATTGCAAATCGCCGACAAGGGAAGAAGGGGGAGCGAATTAAATCGAGACCGAACATTTGGCCATAAAACAAAACGCCCCCCCCCCAAGCTATTTACACCACCACGTCACAGCAGCGTGCGTTCGTGTCTATATTTGCTTTCGTACGTTCTACCACAAAAGTGCATTCGGGGTAATTGAATTGTAAAGGTGTGGGTTGTACTTCCGGGGGGGGGGGGGAGTAGGAGTGAGAGGAGAACGAGACAGCCACGCACGTCGCACAGAGTCGCACGGGACAACATGAATCGGGTAAAATAATTGATATTCGCAGGATTTGAAACAATCGGTTCCTCCGGGACCGCCCCCGCAGGACACCACGTGCAAAAACACATATATAAAGCGGTGGGTGTGCTTGAGCATCTCGGTTACGCTCACCGCTCGCCTGCCTTCACGTCCAGGTCGAAAGTGCCGCTTTGCTTTGAGAGGATTCGGATGATTGCGAAAATAAAAATCACTGCGCGGGGGAGATTCCGCGTCCATGGAAACGCTGCCACCAACTGGGGGAAGCGGTCGGTGGGTATATGCAAAATAGCCCGTCGAATAGCAATTCACCCCGTGTCACTCCTTCCCACTTTGTGCCATTTTTGCATGGACGAGTCGCGGACCATTACCAGCAATTACCGCGCGGAACGTCAAGAGCCACTTCAAGCATTTACCGTGTCCTCCCGCGAGCTGCAATCAACCGTGATCCGAACAGCGGAACGGTTCATCATCAGTCAACGCTGCATAAACCTCAGCCGAGTCTACGGTTGCCACCCGTCCCGGATTTCCCAGGCTCAAAACCGTCCTGGGCAATCTGTCGGCATTCTCGGGGCATTTAGACTTCCACCGGGATATTTCTTGTCAGCTGTGTAATAATTTCGCCACTCGAGACAATGCATTTACAACGTAGTTCTCCGCCCTGTCTCTAAGGTGAGATATTCGGGGGAAACACCCTCGGATATTACGGGGGAAACACCCTCGGTCCGAGCTTGCCGCGAAATGCCCAACCGTGCCACCATCGGGGTGAATAATGCAGAGGCCGACCGCATGCACAGCGAGACGGAGCACCAAGGCCGGGCGCTCTCCGCTCCCCGAATGCCGAGCGGCACTTGTGGCAGCTGGCACCATCTTTCGCGCCGGGTGGTGAAGTCGCAGTGCGCTTCTCTCCCCCGCGTGTCACTCTCGCGCCAGGGGACAGGAGGGATAAGCAGCTCGAACGATGGAATTTGGAGGCGGCGAAGAGAGCACGTTAAAACATCCAAGCGAGGTTTGTGTCGAGTGGCACACCTCGGAAAAGCAACCGGTAAAGAAGCCCCTGGCCTTGAGGTGCACGTGCATTCACATGATGCCAGGAATTTCACGACAAGACAGGGAAAGCAAACTTGAATTTGAATACAAAACATTGCGGATGAAATCAATGGGGGGGGGGCGGTGTGCGGTGGAGAGGAGAGGCGTGCAGCACGAGGGATGGAGCGTCACCGAGCTCCGCCACTGGAGTGGCAGCCGGAGGTCGGCGGCGACGGACGAGGTTAGCGAGAGTTGGTCGTGGAGGTCGGCTGTTGACTGAAACATTCACAGCATCTGGCCAAAGTTGAATTCTCCGCAGGGACAATGAGGATGGTGGGCGCTCAGTTTGGCGCTCGGCTAGGATTTGAATTTGCAACGTGTTCGTGGGTAAAGTTGAGCGCAATCTGCCACAAAGTGCAAGCACACGAGCATTACTGAAGTAAATTGCCACGTCTATGAGCAATGAGGGGCGGTGCACATCTCCATTGGCACCCAGGCGGCAGGAGTGGAAACTTTACATTTCTATTCATAGGATCCAATCTCAGGCTCTGTAGGCCAATCGGATTAAGGGCATTTTAGAAAAGTCTCAAGCATGAACTTGCCAACTCCCTCCCACTGTTGAAGTAAGGGAGGTAGGGGGAGGGTGAGAGGGGGGGAAGGTGATTGAAGGGGGTGGGGGGGGGGAGTCAGCACTGCAGATTGACTCATGGGAGGTTGCTCCAGACTATGGGAACAGCAGGTAAGGTGTTCACTTTCCTGTGAAGCACTCATCCTGATCTGACAGTTGGGCAGCTAAATGCTCTAGAGAGGCGTTGAACGCACGTGGCCCGGCCGAATGTTACAACGTCGAGCTCTGCGTGTCTGACACGAGCCCTTTTGAGTCGTCCTTCGCTTTACTTAACGTCGACCCCTACACCGCTGACGAGCGCTCAGTGCTCCGCGCACAGACCGACGCGATACGCTATTAGCGTCAGCCTGCTTAACGGCCGACAACGAATAACAAAACGTACGATCGGTATCGCGGTATCGTGCCGATTGGTATCGTGAGTCACTGATGTCATCGATCGAGTATCGGGTGCCCGAAAGATGTTTCCGGGACTTTGTCCGTGCGCAATCCCACTCGTGGGCGTGTGGGGTACGGCGTTGCGTGTTTTTGTGCCCGTGCGTATGTATCAACACGTACCGCTGCAATTTGATATGCGGCGCGCTGGGCGGCTTGGAAGTTTTAGGTAACTTGTTTAAAGCGTTGGTTTCCCATAGCGAATACAATGGGCGGATGTTATGAAAGGCGCTATATTAGCTGTAATTGTTTTTACTTGATTGATCGATATGTTTTTTTTTGGTTTCGGGCCAAATTTGTAGTTTTGGGACGAAAATCTCGTCAATGACCCTCCACCACCCGACAAACGTTACAATCTCGTTGGGTGGAGGAGAGTGATTGTTGGAAAATTTCGCATAGAATGGCTACCTTTTTAAAATTGTGTTAAACTAATGGTAAACAAAATACTCGCATTTATTTAATGACCGCTCAGCGATGTTCGTTATGCATACTTCGCATTTAACTTGGAGCCTCCGGGCAGTGGCAGGGCCCAGCGTTCTCGTCGCTCGTTGGGGCAGAGGCTCATGATGTCGAATCCAGCGGCCGCCCTGGTTAATACTGCGGCGGTGTCTAGCGGCCGTAAAAAAAACCCGCACGCACGCACGCCGTCCGCTTCTCGGCGGACGTTACAGATCCCTCGACGCTAACTCGCAGCAATGAGCAGTGCCATCGCGTGCCAAATTTGAAAAATGTACCCGGGATAATTAATTCACTGGGATTATAAAAAGCAATCGTTGCTCCCTAGTTCTGCAAAAGAAAAACTTTATACCCCCCCGCGCCCCCCCCCCCCCCCCGAGGAAGAGTCACGTGACTTTCCTGGAGTAAACAAAGTTAAACAAATATTAATGAAGAAAAAAAACCATGTTTGCCTCACGGTGAATTCGCGGGAGCTTCTTTATCCCACTTCTGGCAGCGGAGAGCCGTGCGAAACGTCGACCTCGTTGCTCAGAGCCTTTCCTGGGAGCCCTTTCTGAATCACCAGAAACAGCCCCCCACCAGCGCCCAACCCCCCGACCCACACCCCCCCCCCCCCCCCGGACATTTATATCGCACAACTACTGCATCGTACTCACCGACAGATTGCACACATTACCGATCGTACCAGTGTGTATGCATGTGACCTGTCAATGGATTAGGGAAGAAGATTGTGACAAAAAAATCACGCACAATCATTAATAATTGTCTTGTAGAAACTCACTGTTGTTAATAATATTATTGCAAGGGTACCCAATCCACAAGCACAACCACTGGGTTTTTTTTCACTCTTTTCGGCTTTTTTGTCACGGCCCATCGTTTAGGCGTCGCAATTAAAGAGGTTGAAAGAAACAAAGTTGAAACTCGTCAAGGTTGAAAACGTCCGACGTCAAAACAAAACAATAAAAATTGCAAGCTTCTCGCTCGCAAAGGAAGAAACTCGTCCGTTTGAAGGGCGCGACGGAAGGAAGAGGAGAAAGGAGGGGGGGCTGGAGAATCTATTAATCAGCAGGAGCTTCACAGGAAAGTCTCCGCCTCCTCACGATTCGTCCCGCTGCTCCCAATCCGCCAATTCTCGCCAAAGGCCTTCTCTTCCCGCGCCTCCACTTCAGCCAGCGGCGGCGGCGGCGGCAGCGGCGGCAACGACGGCCGCCCCTTGAGCAGCCCGTTGCTCAGCTCTGCCTCCCGTGGGGAAGTCCGCCGCTCCTCTTCCTTTCCCGCGGGCGGCGCCGCTTTTGCGGTCGCGCTCGAGCCCGCCGTCGTCGCGATCGTCGTCGCGGTCGTCGTCAGGGTCGCTGCGCCGGCATCGTCGTCTGCCGCCGCCGCCGCCGCCACCGCTGCCGCCTGGGCCCTGGCCTTCTCGAGGCGACGCTCGGCATGGCCGGCCGGGTACACGACGAGGAAGGCCGCCACGAGGAAGGCGATGAAGGAAGCGATGGCCGCCACGATGGGCACCACACGCACCGAGCCCGTCGCCTGGATGAAGCCGCTGAGCGCCGACGCCACCAGGATCTGCGAGATGTACACCTGGCACGACAGGATGGCGCAGTCCACGCCAAAGCCACGCTTGGTCCCCTCGGGGCTGCTGTGTACGAACTGTGTGGGAGGGTGGGGGGGGGAGACGGGGGGGGGGGGCTAAGGTGATGGGAGACATGCAAAGCAACAGCTCCTCCCCAGTGTCATGGGCGCTCAAGCAAATACTTGGCTCATGCATAATGAACAGAAGGGCCGTTCATTATACATGAGCCAAAAGCTTGCCATCTGTACGACCAATATAAATATAATATTTTATATCTATATATATATACTGTCATGCTGCCGTGGCCTTATAGTAAGCACACTGAACTTGTAGCAGCACTGCACAGTCAAATTACTTTCGTGTTAATCACATGAGCTTCAAAGTAAATGGATATCCTGGGAGAACCTTGGTTTCAAATCCAGGCAACAATCTGCGATTAAAACCAGGTTCCCAAGCGTAGCCAACAGATAGTCTCAGCCTGGTCACCGATTGGCTGCGTTGACGATCGGGCCAAATAAAACCCCTATGATGCCAGAAGTACTAGAATGCACGTCGATTCCTTTGAACGCGTCGGGACGGCTACCGTCGTCGAAACGACGACCGCGGGCTCCAGCTGTGCGACGAAGGTCGAAGCGCACGTGCCGTCGCGACGCCCTCGGGCGACAGGAGGCCGAGAGCGATCTGTTCTCCCGCGCAGCAGCTTGTCCGCGTCCACACGGCACAACGTCATCGTTTGGTTTCGTTCATAATACAGGTTTTTTGGGTTCGTTTCGTTTAGTTCCTCGCGGGAGGGGCGAGAGAGAACCCACCTCCTTGAGCTCGTGGTACTGCCCCAGCAGCGCGTAAGGGCAGTAGGCGATGCTCATGAACACCAGCCCCATGGTGGAGATCATGACCATGGAGACGTAGACGTTGGGAAACGCGGCCATGATGGACATGCCGACAGAGAAACCGAGCGTGCCCAGGCAGTAGACGCCCTTCACGCACGGCTCCTGCTCGCTCATGTACTTCTGCAGCACGGCTGGGCCGGGAGCGGGGGGGAGGGGGAAAGGTCGGCGCAGCACAGCAACAAGGACGGTCGCACAAACGGGGTGCACTCTTTGGTTGCCAGAGATGCAGCAGTTTGTAAAGGCGATTCTTAGAGGGGTAGATAGATTCACAGATATGGTTCGTGCACATGGTATTTATTCATAACCAGGCGAGAAGCAGACGAAATGCAACGCCAATGCAATTGTCATTCCAAGTGCGATGGGCGTCGTATATAAAAGAAAAATTGCCAATGTTTTGTATCAACTTTTGTAACACGAAAAATGCATACGCTGGCCACACAACATCAAATCTCGTGTGTGTGAGAATTGATTATTTCTGATTCATGTATGTCCATGCCACTACAGATCATGGTGATTCACGCCACCACAGATTCTGCGTATACCACAAGGACAAACAAATAATTGATTCATAAATCAAATCGTGACACCAAATTGTGATAATTCATCGGACAGCACAGAGTGGACCATCGCATCCCTCCTGGTTCGTCTGTGTAATCCTATTGCTCTGTGCCTCGTGACGTTCACCGCACAGCTGTGCTGCTCTGGTATTGTGACGATAACTGTGAGAATATCTCTGGATGCAAAAGGCTCCTTTTTTCTACTTCCCCCCCCCCCCCTTTTGAACGTCGACAGTCCAAGAACACAACATCGATATCTTCCTTCTTTTAACCAATGAAGTGTGATCCGATCATCTTGATTCACAGCCGATGTAACCCGTCCAATTTTAAGGAAAACAACAGGCAGGGTGGGGGGGGGGGACAGGGGGCGGTAGCAGCACGGGGTTCAACAATGCCCGCGAGAGCTTTGGGATATAACGTAATGGCGGTCTGCAGAACGCTCCTAAAGAAACAAAACGGTGGCGACGATCACGACTGGCCAGTTTCAGCGTAGCGACGAGTGATGGTCACTCTAGTGAATTAGGGAAGTGCAACGGAGAACCAATGCAGCTACATTTTTTCTGCCATTACAGTCTCTCCCGTCAAGAAGAGAACCGAAGAAGAGCTCGTGAGGTTGATAATGGGGTAAAGTAATAGCGCGGGAGAGCGTGCGGTGACACGGACGTGGCAAAAGCAGAGCGACGATTCCTCTCTCCGGCGATCGCCACATGAATTTAAGCTGCAGTTTAATTAACGAAATGAGCGCAGGCCCACAGATTCCAACGGGCGTCACTTGAGACATCATCAATGGAGTAAATTTTACGATCGATACTCGTGCAATTTATGTTCGCTAGCGCAGCAGAGCGTGCAGAAAACCGCGAGCAGGTGCGCTTTTACACACGGCGGTGCTTTGTAAGCACGCGCGCAAAAACACAAGCGTGCACGCACATGGTTACGTGCAAGATTTCGGGAATCAATGTTCCGTGTGAGCGCAGAAGGACCGTGGGCGAGTGTCGGAATCCAACGCTCCGCTTTCAAAAAAAGGATTTCTCATTCAATTACACTTTCATGAGCACACGCGAAACAGGACGTGTCTTTCCCCACGGACACAAAAAAAAGGGAACAATTCACCTGCAAAATAAATTAGGGATGAGCTTAAATTAAAATAAGAAACCCACAAAGCATGCCCCGAGGCATCGTGCGAAATTAGCGGGGGATCAAACTGGCAACCCATCGCGGCGAGCAGAGGGACAGAGCCGGAACGGTCAAGGGGGCTCTAACGAGTAGTGGGGGGCCAGGAGGGGGCAGGAGGTCATGGCAGGAGGAGTATGTATGTACGTATGTTCAAATTATTTTGTACCGTACGTAGCTAGTCGGAGGTGCGGGGGGAAGGACAACACACTAAAACACAAAGAGCAGTTCTAGAGAAATGAGTTTTCAATCTAGATTATTTAAAAGTGCTCAACTCCCAGTAGCTTCATCATATCGGAGGGGAGAGCGTTCCAGACGGCCGCAGAAGGGCATCTGAATGCTCGCGATGCGGTGACCGTCTTTGTTCGGTGACTAGCCAAAAGCCGCTGCTGCGAGGATGACCAGAGTTCGCGTGATGGTTTACGTGGCGAGTGGTGGGGGGGGGGGGGGGGGGGGAGAAAACCCCTAGGAGTGGTGGTACCTGAAAAGGCTGCTGCCGTGAGCGCGTACACGGTGAGGCCCCAGCAGCCCATCTGCACGCCGCTATTGTACAGACGCACCTCGGTCGAGTTCGCGGGAGCCTGCCGGCAAAGGGACAACAACGTACGGGTGAAGCGTGAGCTCGCCTTTGCGAGGGGCGGTTAGGCCGCCCCTTCGTTCGTACGCACGCACGTTGAACGGCAATGCTCGTACGTTCACAGCTCTCTCCGTAGCGCGTCCGTCCGGGTTGTACTGTGCGTCGCTCGGCACGAGCTGTACAGCACAACCGCAACAAAAAAACTGCGACGTCGGTTTGACGAGCAACTTTCCCACGAGTTCGGCTGCCAAGACCCCAAGGCACAATTCTGCTAGAGGGGGTGGGGGGGGTCGTAGCCCCTGCCTGCCCTGGGCTCAGCTCGTGAGCAATTAGGCATGCTCTTGTGCTGCCCACGCCTCGTCTGTACTCTCCTATTACATAGTTCATGTAAAGTAATGGAATCGTGTCTTCTCATTGGTGGGGTGGTGGGGGACGGTGGAGTGGGGGTGGGGCACGTCTCATCGGATTCTGTTAATGAGCCATACTCGGGAGTCATCCTTCTTCTCAACGGGCACATAAACAGCGAGCTGCTGTCAGAGTGAATAAAACTCCGCGCGAGCGTGGCGCCGTCGCGCCGCCGCGCTCGCACAGAAGCGGCGCTCGCAGAGGTCCCGTGAGTGGGACGCAAGGTCAGAGCGCCGGCTCTCCCCAGCCTGGCTCAGTAAACACATATCCGTGGGTCGGCAACCTGTCATTCCGGAGCCGTATGCGGCGGCGGGGCCCTTTAAGGACTGGCTTCGCGACGTTGCTTATTAAGGACCAATGGTCTCGTGCTCACATTGCATCGCGGGCTCTTGTGAAATATAAATATATTATTTTGAAATCGGGGGAAAAAAATGGTCTTCTTGTTCCTTTGCTTGTCGACCCCTGCCCCGAGTCAATTCATCAGCACATTTATCATTCGCTCCAATCTTTATGGCACACGGCTATCACGAAGGGAGGTGCTACGTTCCACACATGAGTACATTTGGGAGGCCATATTGCTTCGCGGCTTTAAGCATAGTAGGTGAGTTTTACAAAAAATGTGTATATATGTTGAAAATTTTCGACCGCACCACATGTCCTACTCTTTTTTAATAACGTCACGGGTGTTATTATTTATTTATTTCTCTTAGGAACCTACCAAATTGAAAACCGGTCCCACTATAAGAGTTAAACCAGAGCAATGAGAGCTATTCGTAAGTATGCCCTGACCACTACCCTACAGCTTCCACACCAATATAATTAAACTACGAATAGATTTTTTATTTTATTTACCAGGTATGGCCCACTGAGCTATTTTGCTCTTTTTAGAAGCGACCTGGCCACAAGTGATAGTGCAAGGAAGTGGCTTATCACGTGGAAATTTATAGCAGCCAAATACTTTCAACGCGTGTCGATTCTAAAAGGACCCAGGGAAAAATCCACGTGACCATGGGGAGAACACACAAACTCCAAATATACAGCAGGTGTCAGGCTCGAGATGGAACCCACGATCTCCTGTATACCAAGCGAGGTAGTTAACATCTCCCAGCTTCCAAAGAGGAACATGTGTCCAAAAGCTTTGCGGAATCCACGCGCAGCCGCGTCGCGTAACGAAACGCCGATCCTCGTACCGCTCGCTCTCACCGTGGGGTCCCCGCTGTAGACCATCTGACCCATGAAGTCGGTGTAGAAGACTGCGGCCGAGATGAGCGCGAACCACGTGAAGAGGTGGCAGGTGCAGAGGTGGCGCAGCTCACGGGGCATGCGCAGCATGGACAGCCACAGCAGCCGCACCTGCGGCACAACGCGGACGCACAAATCACACAGATCCCCCCTCTCGCCCCCATGTAGCCTCAACAGACTGTTGGGAAGTGCCGTTGGGCGAGCACCTATGTAGGCCGGAACGGAACACGAGGGTGTGGCGGGAAAGCACCACAGTGGCGATATTTTTACACACCGCGCCAGATAATCAATTGAGGTCGAGTCGACCTAGGGGAGACCCAGGACCGGTTCAAATAATCGTTACTGGTGTCGTGAGCGCAGCGTGCGAACCCGCTAAACCATCACGCACACACAAGGCTGTGCCGCCCGCACGCCCGCCTCCTCCGGCCCATCTCACACGCTTGCCAAGCAGCACCGACCGGTGATGGCTCTCGCTCAAGCTTTGCAGACGAGAGCTGCCACGAAGAGCGACAAGGCGATGGACAGGTGACGTAAGAGAATGGACAGAGATGCAGATTAACGATGCGGCGAGACTGCCGGAGGTGGAGGAGTTGCCACCTGTCCTGGTTTTCTCAGGATCGTCCTCTTTTGAGGGTAAATGTCCAGGGTGAGTCTTCCTGCGATAGACGCTGTCTTCTCGACAGACCTGTTTCTTCACCTGAGGACGGATACTTGCGTTGTGGCCGAAACGTCGTGAGAATTATTTTATTATGTTTTATTGTTATTATTTTATTATTTTCCTTCTACATGACTTTACCGAAAGAACCAAGAAGAAGAAGAAGAAGAGTAAAAGTCCCGTTTTGTGCCAGCTGTCTAATCATACACCACTCAGGACAATAACTTTCACACGTGATTCTCCCCTCATCGGGTATTGTGAGATATTCTTCTTTTTCCCATAATGTGTCGAGTTTTTTTTTCATTTTTAAAGCCTCAATAGGTGGCAACTTGATTGAAGAGCCAGCATCTGCACCGTTATTGGATGTGGTTTCAACAAAATAAATCATGTTCCAAAGTAGGGCACAACCCAAGAGTCCAATAGCTCTTATCTTACAGATAAGATGCATACCCCACTGAGTGTGCAGCTTAACGAACGAGATAATTCTCGAGCAAGGTTACGGTCGAGCGTCCCACCGTGACGTTCCAGCGACGTCACAACACGGACGTTTATTGTACTTCGCCCCGCGCCTCCGATTAGCACGGTTGGCTACGTACGGTGCGAAAGAAGTTCAACATACATACATACATTTGCCGTGACATCACAAGAGAGCCATAACTCGGCATCTGATTGTGATTTTAAAGTTGTTTTGTTCTCATTAAGAAAGCTTTAATCGCTTTTTAAAACACACAACGTAGGTACTAGGGTGTAAGTTTCAGATAAAGAAAAAAAATAGTTTTTTAAAATATTTATTAGGAAAATTTCAGATCGTTTTCGTGCTAACACAAGTGATGTCAAGAAAAGTGCAGACGAGATGTCATGGAAGTGATGTCGCCTCCAGTGGCGTTATACTTCACTATCGATCCAAAACAGAAAAAATACTTTTCCGATCATCCAAAATTTCGTATCTCGGGCCCGAATTTCGAATTTTTCAGGTGAGTTCAAAATTTCCGCTAAATACCCCTTATCGGCTACTACGCATCCACAAGGCGAGAGCCGTGGGTTGTTTTGGCTGCGCGTGCGTCTTCCTTTACCCTTCAAATGAACCCAAACCGCCACTCGTCGCGGTTCGGCGCCCTCCCTCACCGTGTTCACCGTCTCGCGCTCGTCATCCGAGTCCGACTCGCCGGCGCTGCCGCTGCAGCTGGCGCCGTCGCTCGGAGACTGGCCCTCGTGCCGGCGCTGCAGGCGGCAGTGCTGGTGGTGGTCGTACGAGCACAGCAGCCTCTGTCTCTTGGCGAGCTCGTGGATGTCCCCGGTGGAGCGGGATGGCTTGATGAGCAGCCCGGCGTGCGCCCTCTGGTGGTGGTGGTGCGGCTGCTGGTGGCGCGAGCGCCGGCGCTGGCCGGGGCGACAGCTGCCCTGCTGGCGCAAGCTGGAGCCGCGGGCCCGGCAAGCGGGGCGGCGGGCCCTCCTGCTCGGCAGCCCGTCGCCCGAATGACCCGTGGCGCCCTCGACCGTGCCGCTTTGCTGCTGTTTGTCGGTCTCCGGCGGCGATCGGTCGCACATCTTCCCGGGGCCGCTCCGGTTGGCGTTATCCGCTTCCGTCTGGCTCAACGCGGTCTCGTCGAAGCCGCTGGGCCTGCAGCGGATGCTCACGTCGCCGCTGCTGCCGCCGCTACTGCCCGTGACGGATCGTCCGGCAATGCCGTCGCGGCTGTCGTCGAAGATGGACGGCTCGATGCGGCACAGGAAGCCGTGCTCAGAATCGACGTCCATGGCGGAGTCTGACATGTGCAGTGCCGAGTCGCTCTTGCTGCGCACGAGGTCAGCGTTGAAGACACTCAGGCACAGCTCATTCTCGGAGCGCGTCTCGTCAGAGAAGCGAGTGGCTGCGAAGACGCCGCCGCCCGCCACCTTCGTCGTCTTCTCGGAGGAGCGGCCGCGGGGAGGGGGCCGCGCGCTTGGTGGGAGAGGCGCCGCCGATGGAGCCGCCGGCCTCCTTGTCCTGCTTGCACGGCAGCGGCACGTACGGCTCCTCGGGGATGCTGAACAGGTGCAGGACGACGGAGCAGGAGAAGATGATCGACGTGAAGAAGAAGAGGATCTGCTCCTGCGAGTGGAAGATGCGGCCCAGAAAGGTGCCGGTCCAGTTCAGGCCGCCCGACATGTAGCCCACCGCCCCGCCCAGGCCTGAGAGCGAACGAGGAAGATGCGGACAAGACGCCCCACGCACCTCCAATTAGCACGGTTGGCTACGTACGGTGAGAGAGAAGTTCAACATACATATATACACCGACGCGGACAAGACACCAATGCACACTGGGACGTGTTGGGTATACAGGAACTGTCCGACAGCCCCACCGGTAAGCTTCCCAGCTATACAGGTTGACACGACAATCAAACTAAATTCACAAAGACAGAACGATCCCTGTAACCAAGTCATCCTGCTTGCACATTAATTTGTCAGATGTGGGACTGCCTTGGATATCCAGCCATTCTAGGCTTTCACCTGAGAGGTATCCAGATGACGGTGCAGCAAAGGATGTCTTGTTTGCAACGCATATTTTCCCTGCCTAAAAAACATACTGTTGTGCTGTTGGATTTTCTCATCATTTACAGATTTCATTATCATTGGCATTAGCCAGGCTAAAGGGCCCAAAATAGTGTGGATTGGGGATTCCATTTTTGGGCTAAATAAATCGTAATTGGCCGAATACTTCTTTACAAAACATCCAATGCAGCAGGACTATCCTAAAAGAGTCTTTGGACACATTATGGCTTTCCTGGATACATAATAATTCTGATTATTATCAAACAGTAAACTTAACACATTGTTGTAACACTGAACACACCTAACAACAAAGTTACATCCGAGACCCTGCCGTTCCCTCTTCATTTTCCTCCAACGACATTTTTTTCTCCCGACTTCGTTACAGACCGTGTAGCCGTGCAGCAAAAGCCGATTATAATTCACTTAAGTGAAGGCACAAACCATCAAAAACACTCTGGCGCTGTCAGCCAACTTCGATTGCTTCCCTAAATATGAACCCCGACATCGTGACCTTTGCCCCGGCCGTGCTGGGCTGGTGGACTTTCAACCGAGAAGGGGTCGCCAGCATGGCACACTCAATCTTCTCGCCCCCCAAGATTCCTACGACTCATCGCATCGACCTTGCAGGTCAAGGGTCGCTCCGCCTGCCTTGACCATTCCCCGCACGTGGTGGTGCACGGATACGAACAGGCGCACTTCGGAGGCCTGCGTCGGTGTTCCGCGCATTATGGACGGCGACATCTGGGTACCTCACAACTTCGCGGTTCAATTGACCCGAAATTCTCTGCCACTGCTGCGTGCTCGGAATTCTTCGCAGACATTGAACTGATGTTGTAGACGATCCATGACCGAACTGTTGAATCGAGCTTACAAACGCTTGAGCGCCTGTGAAGGATTCCGCCTCTTCCTTAACCCCCGAGCAAACACGTGTCGCTCCCGTCTGTATGTATGTACATTGAACTTCTTGCTGATCTCATCAAGGAGCGTTAACCATCACGCAAACTCCGGTCATCCTCGCAGCGGTTTTTGGATGACCATAGAACAAAGACTGTCAATGCATTCCGCGCTTTCAGATGCGCTTCTGCGACCGCCTATAATGCTCTTCCTTTTGGTATAAGGAAGCCACTTGAGCAATGCACTTTTAAATCTAAATAATAACTTATTTACAACTGCTTTTTGTGTTTAGTTTGTTGTCCTTCCCCCTGTACCTCCAACTCACACAGTTGGCTACATACGGTACACAAAAAAGTTCAATAACATACATTAATACAGTACAACTGTGAAAACCTACGTGGTAGCAGTACAAATAAATATTGGGGGGGCAAGGGGGTGATGGTGTCTGCATCCTCTCAATCCACTGCGTCCGTCTGTCCGCACTCACCTGCCGAGAAGGAGTGGATGTTGAGCGCCGTGTCCTGCTCCTCGCTCTCCACCACGTCCAGGAGGTAGGCCCGAATGGGGCCCTCGCTAGCAGTCGGCGCAGAAGTCCAGCATGACCACGCCGAGGATGCTGAGCACAATGCCGTAGAGGTTGTCGCCGTTTCCATCACCCAGCAGCCGACCTGGTCACCGGTCGCACACGCAAGCAGCTAAGAGGGCAAACACCGAAACTCACAAATTCAACACTACCCGACGGGCACGGAACATTTTTTAATTTTATTTTACCAGGCCCACCGAGATATTTAGCTCTTCTTCAGATGCGACCTGGCCGCAAATGACAGCCCAAGCAAGTACCTTACCACGTGGAAATGTATAGCGGACAAATACTCTAAACGCACGTTTCTATTTGCCCGCCACCGCCCAACAGCCCCCCTCAGCGTCGCGAGCGCTGGAGGGGGGCCCCCCAAGTACCCCCTTGCTGTAGGCTCAGCTTTACCTTTTAAATTCTTACAGTAAAAAAAAAAACATCGGTGGATCCTTACATCCCTTTGGCACCGGTTTGTGTGTATGTAGTGTGCTGAACTTCTTTCAACCGTGATAATCAGAGGTGCAGGCTTGGAGAGGCCTACATAATGGTTGGTGGTGCTGGTTGAGTGGGATCCTTGCATGGTGGTGGTGGATGAAATGATGTTGAGATAGTGGTGGTGAGTGATGGTGTGTGGGGTTGTGGTGGTGATGGTTGACTGGTATGTTGGGATAGTGACGAGCGAATTGTTGGTGGTGGATGGTAGATGGTGGTTTATGGTGGGGGTGGAGGATGGGTGGGATATTGGGATGGTGGTGGCCGGGGGTAGTGAGTGGTTGTGGTTGGTGGTTGGGTGGATTGAAGTAGGTATGGTTGCTGTTTTCTGTCCTGTTGTTTCTATGGACTTTCCTGGGGAATCCGCTGGTGCTGAGATTTTCAGTGTGTTCGTTTCCCTACTGTGCATCGATTGTGTCCATACATCTATTCCTTTTCCCCTATTTATGCCATGACACGCGGTTATAAATTGTTCCAAGACGCATTGGCATTTAAACGCTGGAGAAATGCGAACCCCTTATCCTCGCAAAAAAAATAAAACACTTTAATTTGGTTTTCAGCCCATGAACGTCTTCAACGAGATTGCTCCCAACGGTAGGTTACATCAGAGGTTACCAAACATCCGCGTGTTATTTAGTTCACTCGCGGGGGCCCAACAATTCACGACTAAGCCGCCGTGCCCTAGCATTGGCCTGCGTTGCACGCTACTGTGCATGGCAAGGGTCGCGGTGACAATGATACTTCAAGGTGGCCGGAGCGCTGAGCGCCGCTGATCAGTAATCGCACGGTGAACTCTTCTCCCATAAGCTTCTAATCCCCGAAAGCTCCACAAATATTCCTGCACCACCCCGCTCTCCCACCCAAGCCAACCGCGCTCCCCAACCACACCACGCAGAGTCCGTCAGCGCAATCACGGAGGCGCCAGCGGTGTTTCCCAACAAAGGCAGGGTGGAAAGCGTACAGCGGCAAGTGCGAGAGCGTATCTTTCATCATCAGCAGAATTTCTAGTCGATGAATCGACATCGGCAAATACTCATCCCAGCTCTAGTTTACAGGGGACACCACACTGACCAGGTACATCCGATCCTTAAATAATGTCCTAACAAACATGAGACTAGAGTTAAGTGCTGTCTCGGACATTGTAAGCTAGGTCGGCTTCTTCCCTGCCTCCTCATTGTGCCGGGGTGCGGGGGCGGTTTGAGTGGGTGATTGAGGTTCAGGCCCATGACTCATGCAGCTTGGCTGCTATGCCTGCTAATACCGGACAAACAAAAAATGTACAGAAATTATGTAACGTGTTTTATTACGGCCGGTGATATGGCCCAGCAGCCGTGCATTCACCACTTGATGCAGAGGTTCACGGTTCAAATCCACCGACCACCACGATGAATACCGCGGGGTGGTATTAAGCGTAGTAATAATACAAAGCACCATCTACTTCATGGTGACATTATTCGCAAGAAAAGGTCATTGTGTGCCGGCGTCTTGGTCCAAATTTGTTAAAATTACCCGCAAATTACTCATTGGGATTATACATACTGACCATTATCGTCCCTCGCCACCGCTAGAAAAAAATAATAATGCCATTACCCTTTTGAAAATGAGTTAACGCGGATGCTTTTCCTGGGTAAACAAGCGCAACGGTTATAATTACGCCGTCATTAAATGCGTACTTGTGTTATTTTGAGAATGCACTCGGAAGCCCTCCCGCATGGCTAAAGGAACAGTCCCCTTCCACCCTCGCTGGTGCGGTACTGCCGACCGCACTCGAGGCGAAGGGAAAAAACATGATTCACGACAAAGGTAGCGCGAGATGTCAACACTGCGTCACGTTCGCAAACGAGCGCGCGAGAAACGGCACGGGGTGCGCCGCACGCTGGGCGCGCTGCTGCGGTGCGGCGCGACACAAACGCCTCCGACCGCGAGCACATACCCGAGCTGCGCTCGAGGATAAGGGGGCGCCACGGTGGCTATGAGATGTTAACTACCTCGCCTGGTATACAGGTGGTCGCGGGTTCGATCGCGACCCTGACGCCTACTGTATATTTGAGTGTTCTCTCCCTCTCCCCGTAGTCGCGTGGATTTTTCTCCAGGGTCCTCCGGTTCTTCCCTCCACGTTCAAAATGAACGTGCGTTTGGGAGTATTTGACCGCTATAAATGTCCACGTGATAAGCCACTCCGATGAGCTACCATTTGTGGCCAGGTCGCTTCTGAAAAAGAGCTGTATACCTCAGTGGGCCTTACCTGGTAAAATGAAAAATATTGTTTACAGTTTACACGGAGGCACGCAGCTATCGACACCGGACACGCGAAATGAACGGAGCTCATTGCTGCCAGGGGGGCGCACGTATGTGCCACGGTACAGTACAACGGCCGATAATCTGAATATGCCTCGGTTTGGAAGGAAAGGCGAAGGGAGACCTTTGTTTTATTAAACAGCTTTACCATGAGAGTGCGCGTACGCGACTGTTAATCTGCGCGTGCGTTGCCTCTCGACTGTAGAGCTGCCCCCCGTAGAGCCGCTGCCCGCCCCCCACCGGTTAGAGTGCGTGCGCCTCATATGCTAACAGCCCTCCTTGTGCGCGCGAGCCAGCCAGCCAGTGCGGCGCGGCCAGGGAGGGAAGGAATTTGCTTCATTGAATATTTTAATATGTATAACGTGCCGCCAGTATTAAGTTTCCTAATCTCAATAATAATAATAATAAGAGTTGGTTAGTTGCAGGAATGCAGTGATGTGGCACCCCCCGCAGAGATAAGATTACTTGTCAATATTCCCGCTTGCGATACGACTAGAAAATTGCATTAAGGTTTTATTGCCTCGTGTTTGCCATCTTATTTGTAGATCTTCCTGCTTTTGCTCATTCATCATCAGCCGGAATAAATCCACTGCTGAATGAATGCCCCCCCCCCCTCCTGAAGCCACCGCCATCTTTCATGTTCCCCACGATACAAAAAAATAAATCTGTCACCGATATATTAGATTATTTCATCGGCTGCCACTCCATCATAAGTCTCGACCATAGGCCATCATCCCTAGTGACATGCCCTGCCAAAGCCACTTACGTCACTAACATGCGTGCGTTCTCTAATCCACGTGATCCTTTTCCTGTCTCTCAGTGCAATTGCAATCGTACATCTCTCCGTGAATCTTTAGCAACTATTCAACCAATTAGCCTAAATGTAGCAAAAGCATAGCATTGGCATAATTTTTTACAAATCATTAATAATCATTGCTCACGAGCACCATTCAATACACTTATCCTGACCGCCAGAACACAATTAAATGGACAGATCAATGCCCGCAGTGTTAATTTAGTCAGATTGTTTTATTGGACGACAAACTGCGTGATTTTAGTGTGTGGATTCCATTGCATCATTCCCTTAAGTCTAGTCGACTCAAGCAGTCGAACACTCTCGGCCATTGAATGCCGGCTCGATCGGCGCCCGAGTTCCTCCCAAAATTATCAGGCCAGCCAGTCATTGGTAAATCTCTCGTATAAACACGCGCGGACAATTAACGTGTCCCTGCCTTCCTCGGTGAAGTGCGGTCTCCGACGGCTTTACCGAGCCATCTCGGTCTGCGTCTCGACGCTCATCCCGTTAACGCCGTGTCACCGCGGTCACTCGCGCGCTTCCGCTCGTTGGTAGCCACCGTCACGCGCTCGATCTCACGGTCACGGTTAAGCAATTTTGTTTTTTTTCATCTGAATATTTATTTCGACTGGAGGAGGAATCCGATGAGCTACAAAGCAATTTTTTCACAGATGTCCAGTCGGGGCGGGTGAGAACGTTGCAACAACAAACAATACAAAAACACGATAGGAGTGCAAAGTACAGGTAGGGCCCGACTTATGATGGTCCGACTTACGATATTTCGATGGCGATAGCGATACGACAAAATTGTAAAATATTTTACATTTCGCGCGGCAGGCCAACGCAGCAGCGTACGAGGTACGATACTGTACGTTGGGACACTGCCGGGATGTACTGTACGCATCTCCCGCCTTGTGTGGTGATGCCTCACTATCACCAGCGGTCAACGGAGTTAAGTTGTCACGGTGTTCAATGCATGTTAAAAAAAAATTATAGCAGATAGGAATGTTTTCTGAAAAAACTTTCTATGAAATTGCAGTTCATATAGGTAGGCTAAGAATTTACCTTGTTTTTTACTTAAAATGTTACTGTGCAATACAGTATTGTAATTAATAAATACATACAGTATATAGTTTATACAGTACGGTACTGTAAATTGCTCTGTTTTGCTAAATTATCACCATTCTTTAAGACTCCTGGGTAGGCTGGGCCATTTTCAACTTACGATATTTTCGACTTACGATGGGATCGTCGTAACGCATCTCCATCGTAAGTCGGGGACTACCTGTATAGGAAAGGTAAACAAATCATTTAAAAACATACAAATAAAACTAAACAATTTTTTTTATTTTACAAGGTAAAGCTCATTGAGGTATTAACTTATTTTTCAGAAGTGACCTGGCCTCAAACGGTAGCTCAACAAAGCGCCGTATCATCACGTGGAAATTTATAGCGGCAAAAACAATCGAAATCATCTCAATGCATTATTTCAATATATTTACATCAGTAAATTCACACGAACAAAATTCACCCTGGGGTTTAGCGGCCTAGCTCGCTCGTGACGCACGGGGGACACTCCCCATCAAGCGCGGGCGGCGCCAACGGGCGCACGCGACGCACGCTTCCGGCGGGGCGACGCTGCGCCACCTGCGCTTGCCCATGTGTCACCCAACGCACCGATGTTGGCGCCGTTGAGGAAGAGGGTGATGCCCAGCAGCACGCCGACGCACAGCACCAGGATGAAGGGGCGGCGCCGGCCCCAGGGAGACCGGCAGCGGTCGCTCGCCGAGCCGATGAGTGGCGTGAAGATGAGGCCGAGCACGGGGCTGAGGAACCACGTGAGGCTGTAGTACTTCTCTGGAAGGCCTGGGCACACATCGTCAATGTCGTCATCGTTAGCCACTATCAATCCACTGTCATCAATTGCACCGTACGACTTCATTATTGTAGCACCAAAGATCTCCGCTGCTCCAGGTGCCAGCCCCATCGATTGTGCCAGTCACGAAAGGCAGCTCTCTGCTAACAGAAAATGCAATCTAAAAATAACTAATAAGTTTCTTCTCCTGGATTTAAACAACAAGGCTGTGTGATCTCAGCTGTCTGCCACGATGAATACTTATGAAGGCCTCACACAAGCCATCGCCATCTCTCAAGGTCCTGCGATGTTTCGATGCGTCGAGCACCCATACACGAGCTGATTTCATCGCTCCATCTCTGTGGTGTACGTCCACTCGTGTGTACGGCCTGGTGTAGAAGGCGGTGGTGTGGCCAACACCATGCTCGGCTGCCTTGTTTCCGCGGTGCTAATGCGCACACACCACCCAGGGTAGGCTCGGGACAGGTTGTGAAATCACTCGCCAATGATATTAGCTTTGGCCTGGAGTCAAACTCGGTCCACAGATTCATCGTGCAATGCACTAACCTCTTAACCACTACTCTCAATATGGGCACACAAACACTCAGCTGAGTGGCAAAAGAGCACTGATAAACCGGTCGTAGGTTTCATTGGCGTGAGAGCACTCGCATTACCCTGCACTCGCATTAAGTGACCTCACGCAAGATTCACGGTGTAACCCACAGGCTTTGCCAATCCACTGCAGGATAAAGGATCCACGTGCAGTGTCGGTCATGGCTGGTTTTTTACCAAACTTCACCATGCTGGTCGGTACAATGAGCTAACCACTGCACCGCCGCTCCACAGTACAACATTCAGATTCGAACAGCACGGCATGGCGACGTGCTACTCCAGTCCGGTGCTTTGAAGTCGAGGGTGTGTGGAGACGCGAAGTCAACCACACCCTGGCCCGGCGCTCCCACGCTCCCCACGATGATTGCCCCTCTCGTATCAAGGATGCCCAGCTTGACCACTCTCTGCACCCGCACCTTCCCGCAGCTCCCCCGCGCGTCGCACTATCGCTGCACACACGGCGGAGCCAGATGGAATGACCGCTGACAGCGGCAGTGTTTGTTAAAGTGAAAACATTGCGGGGCCACGTAGCTTTTGTTCTGTGACGATTTAGATTGTTATACGCACGTTAATTTTCGCGATTGTGCCGCGCGTCTCTCCGATGCGTATTCCATTTATGAATTAATTATCTGAATTCAGCGACAGCGGAATGCATCGGGACTTGGGGTCAAACAACACGGGGTACAAGCCGCTAAACAAACGCATCGGTGGGTGGTAGGCTACACATTCCTCAAGCGTGAAAACATGAGAACGGTGCGGTGGGAAGACATAACAAAGTTTTCTCAAAGAGGGCACACCGGACGTGGGAAACACAAGTCAGGGACGCTCTCAAGCGCCAGCACCAAGGCTCACCGTTTAATCACCAGCGCCTCTCCAGCCTTGACCGGCCGCTCTCTACTGTTTGCTAAATAACATTCTCCAGAAAAAGCGTCCCAGCGCCCCGTCGCGTTGACGCAACGCGACGGGGGAGGCATTGGCTCTCTATGTTGAGAAAAAGTTTTGCTTCGATTTCGCCTCGGGCCTAACAGAAAGGGGCCCTAACACGAGAATGTACACCTGGTCAGAGATGCCATGGGTAGACCGAGAAGGGGATGGGACAGATGACCTAAGAGAATGGACAGAAATGCAGATTAACGATGCGGCGCGACTGGCGGAGGTGGGGAGAAGGCGCGCCACACGGCTTGGCTTTCCCTGCGACATTAAAAAGTCCCAGTATTTAGCAGTTGCGAAATTCACAAATCAAGACACACACTCCTATTTCTCTCCTACTCTGGGATTACAAGATATGCTTCATCCCATGCCGTGCCCCGGTATTTTTTTGTACCGTAGGGGTGGCAACCCTGGCAGAAGACAGAAATAAGTGGAAGGGGGTGCTAAACCAGGGTGTCCGCAACCAAAATAAGAAAGAAGAGACATTTATTTTCGAATTCGGTAAAAAAAAAACTCAACATTTTAACAGCCGCAATGCACGTGCATAACGAGACGGTGGTCCTTAGTAGATAACGGTCACGAAGCAGTCCTTAACAGAGCCGCCGCATGTGGCTCAGAGCCGCAGGTCACCGACGCCTATGCTAGAGGCCGCTGCCAGCCCTCCGTAAAGAGGATGGCGTTTAAGACGACGGACGGCGTCGTAACCAAACACCGCTTTGCTCAACGGCAGGACCCGTCAAAACAAAAGACGGTCATAACGTATCCACTCTCAAGACGTACACAGGCCCCTTATTCTCATCGGGCTCAACCGCTAAGCCAATTACCAGTCTGGATGCACGCCGTTGAAACAGCTGGATGTGCTGGACGTGCAATCAATGCCCGCAGCGCGGAGCCAATGTGCTTGCTCGTGCAGAAGCTCAAACACCGCACGCGACGCATGCCAATGTTATTCATCCGGTACCGAAAGAGAAAAAAAAATACAATAACCTAACAAACCAAATATATATATTTGGGTCGCAGCTCCTGCAAAGCTGTTACCGAACATGGAAAGTAATTGCACCGAGCAGACGGCCGCGCTCAAAGTCACTCGGCGCAAAGCGTTGTTTAAACGCGGCACACAGTGCCATCACTACCGAGCCACCAGTTCCCTCCCTTGTTCAGCATATAATGAAAACAAAGATCCACCACGTAGCCTCAACTCGCTGTGAGGGCTAGTCTACAAGCGAGCACCTATTAAGGCCAGAATGGTGCACTAGGTGGTGGCCAACACCACACCTAGCCGCATTTGTCTCCCCCGAGATGCTCATGCACCGCACTCGTTTAAAGCCGAGCCGACCTAGTGAAGTCCCAGGCCAGTGGCAGCGTGGCTGGGGAGGGGACGGAATGTCAATTAATCAATCAGCTGGGATGGATTTGTCCAGAAGACACCGCTCTGCTTACAGAAGCGGCAATTAGCTCGGCCGCATTGCTGCAAGGTCACCTTGTCCGGCACCCGCACTACGGACGCGTGGGAACATCCCTCCCATCATTGGCAAAACAACGGTCAGCGTCGCTGCAGCATCAAAGTCGATGTCAGAGGTCGGTAGCAGAGGACAGAGGCATCAAAGACAAGGATCCTCCCCGTATAGCCTTTAACGGACTGTTGGGGCAAGTGCTGTTAGCGAGCAGCACCTATGGAGGCCGCCACGGCACACAAGTGTTTTGGCAGTGAGCGGGAATCGAACCCAGGTCGCAGGGTTCATAGTTGCAGTAGCTCCCCCAATCATCAGCAACGCCAAACGCAATCCACATGATCAATTACGATGCAGGTTGTCGCTGATGTGCGCTGCGTGGCTCTCCGTTGTTTTCGGGTCGTACCGGCAGCGTTGTTCGTCAAAAAGTCCGATGTTTTTTTGGTCCCTGAAATGCCAAAAACGTCACGTGGAACGAGCCATGCGGTAGGACCCCGGGAGCGCATCACCTCCCGCAACGCCCTCGTTCGGACACGACTTTTTTTTTTCCCTTGCCGCATTTTTTGTTGTTCCTTCATTCCTATCTTTGTCATTTTGGTGAACCCAGGTCACTCCTTGCAAATGAGTCTATCCAAGTCTCTTGAGCTATCACAACCCAGTTAAATAAAGTTTATTTAATTTAAACAAAAAACGGTGAAGAGCTCTCACAGGTGCGAGCGTACGTTACTGATTGGGCAACGATAATTATTTGTGGTAGCCATCACTTCATCCCTGCCTGACGACCCTGCCGCCACCACCACATTAAACTAAACTCTTATATTTTACCAGGTAAGGCCCACTGAGCTATACAGCTCTTTTTCAGAAGAAACCTGGCCACAAATGATATCTCAACGAAGTGGCTTATCGTGTGGAAATGTGTAGCAGCCAAATATTCTCAACGCATATCGATTCTAAATGTGGAAAAAAAAAACGGAGGACCCGGAGAAAAATCCGCGCGACCACGGGGAGAGAAAATGTTTAACTCCAAACATACAGCAGGCGTCAGGGTTGGGATCGAACCCACAAACTTCCCGTATACCAGGCGAGGCAAATAACATCTCGCCAACCATGCCAGGCCTCGGACCGCCTCTCTGTGCTACTTTGCAGTGGGATTTTAGCATGAATATTTAATCATAACCTATTTTGTCGGGAGCCAAAGGGTAATTCGCTTTAGTAGACGGAATATTTAACGTAGCTTAACCTTTGAAGTAGAGCCTTTTTATCGTGGCATTTTAAGATGATGATGGGACCCTTTAAAGAAAATAGCAAGAGAAGTACGAGTGGATGGATTTTAGTCCCCCGTGTCAATCCATCACGAGATGAAGGCCTGTCCTCGCCGTGTCTGTCGTTGCAGTTGCTTGACCGTACTTCACCACGTTTGGTCAGTGCGGGTTGGTGACAGGCAGAGACCCAGGACAGTCTGCGGTAGATGTCCTCTCGCATGGCAGAGGTGTAGCGAAAATCACGCATTTGTCTCCCCGGTGATAATGCTTACACATCACACCAGGTACTCGATTAAGTCTAAGTCCAGATATCATTTATATTCGCCCAGGCTGGGAATCGAACTCAGATGGCCAGGTTCATCCCACAGTGTGCTAGCCACTGCACCACTGCTTCACCCACGCTATAGAATTGAGGTTAAATATCTGATCTTATATAGATTCATATCGCGCCTCAGTCCAACGACCCAGACTTCTACAAACTACCCGACACGGCACACACACATTGCGCAAGAATCTCACGTTTTTTGACGAAGTCCCCGATTGTCTCTCCAGTTGGCGGGGGGTCTCGTGTTACAAACGCAGCGCTTGGCATTTGGCACAGCCCTCGCTGTATAAATATCTTCCTGTTGTTAAGCAGCGCAGAGGAGAGGCGGCACAGTCTGTTCACGCACCGAACTACGAACCCCGTCGCCTTGGGTTCAATCCCGGGCCATGGTCATCACGTCAGTGACGAGCCCTGGGCACCCCCCCCCCCGCCCTGCTCGCCCCCTAAAACCCGAACTGACCAGTGTGGTGAAGTAGATAGATAGATGTTATTTATTTCAGCAGGAAGGGCCCAACAAGCTGTTGGGCTCCTGTTTGAATGGGCGTTCTGCAACGGTAAAGCTGTTATACATCACAGATCTTAGCTGCAATCGTGATAACTCAAGTGCGGACGTACATGGTCAAAAAAGTTCCACGACCCAACTCTTCATCCAGTGGTGGAACGGAAAAGAGCTGGACACTATACGGTGAATCTCAGCGAAATCCCTTAATCGAATTGCAGAGTAATGTGGGATTTTTATTTCATGAATGCTTTCCAAGCCACTGACGATTTTTTTCCGGTTTGTTAGCAAATGCTCTTCCGTCACTCCCCAGTGTTAAGTGTCATTGCGCCACAAACCTGGAGGCTTCAATTCGATTCCCCATCAGGGCTGACGTCAATGACGAGTGACATCTAAACCGGTCCCGGCACCGACCATTGCATTAAAGTACGGTCAAATAACCCCCATGACGGACATGGCGTACGGGAGGCTTTCATCCAGCAGCGGATTGAGAAAGGCCTGGAAATAAACATTACATTAATCAGCCAATCAGCCGAGCAATGGCTATGTTTTGCAATTATAGAAACAAGCGCTTTAATTCTCGTAGAATTAAGCTTATATTTACAGGCTTTGTAAAACTGTAAAAACATTTTTACGCCTCGTCTTATCGCAACACCTGTGGCAAAAAAAAAACAGAATAACGGCCTCTCCGCTGTGCAGTGGCACAAATAGCAAATCTTCTAAATTATTATTATTATTATTGGGCTTTGGATTAATTGTTTTAGCTAGGGAATGTTCTTCTGTTCACACCTACCCTGGCATAGCAGGCACCCGCACGCGTTCCCACAGCTCACGCCTGACGTAAAGGAACCACTCTTAAAATAGACGTCAGGAACGGCCTTCCGATCGGCACGCCACGGCACGCCACGGCAATGGCACAGGCACACAGGGCCCTTTCCCCCACACTCCGTTGAAGCCAGCCAGCTCCCAGTTAAGTGGACCCTCTGTCAGCTGCGGCAGCTGTCGAGCCGTGGCATCAAAAACACAAAATGTGACCTGCCCCTACTGGACATCGGTGAAAAACAACTTTATAGCTCATCTAATTCCTCCAGTACAAATATTGATTCTGATTCTGTAATGTAACATGCAGTCGTTTTGTCAATCTACTGCTGGATGACAGCGTCCCCGTGTGTGTATGATTGATTATAATTCACCACATCAGCCAATCTTCTTCATATGGCTGATATTGGTGCATAGCAGCAACGACTATAACTTTATATTGAGGTCGTTGAGCAGGATAATTGTCACAGAAGTAGCGGAGCGGTGTATGGCCGTAACGATGCCCTGAGTCGTTATATGTCCCGTGGTTCTATTCTGGGTGACCACAGGCATACACCGGAGAGTTTTTCATTTTACATTTGTGCATCAAGCATCCGCATCTGATGCCTGCAATGGTTTGTGTGCGAATGCAGATCAGGGGTTGGGAACCCATGAGCTTCGTGGGAGATCAAAGCCAGGGATATTCTGACTTCTTCCTTACAGTGCCTTTTGGCTAACCATCGAACAAAGACGGCCACTGGATCGCGTGCTTTAAGATGCACTTCTGCGGCCGTCTGGAACGCTCTTCCTTATGATGTTAGGAAGCCACTTGAGCAATGCACTTTTAAATCAGATTTGAAAACTTTTTTTTACAACTGCTTTTTGCGTTTAGTTTGTTGTCCTTCCCTCGCACCTCCGATTAGCACGGTTAGCTAAGTACGGTGCGAAAGACGTTCAACTTACATAAATAGGTTCTGCATCGTCGGGTCTTTCCAGAGGAGTTTGTGACTTCTAGTGAACTCCATTCAGCTTTCCAAGTTTTACCATCAGGGTTGAAAATTAGAATGGAGTTCACAAGGTCAGTGCGGGTTGGTGACGTGGGTGCTCGGGACCGGTTGTGATACCACTCATCACTCACGTCAGCCCTAGTTTAGCACTGAACTCAGTTCAATGGGTTCATAGCGCAGTGCGCAAGCCACTGTGCCATCTACGTGGAAGCATTTGAAATAGTTTTGATTATTTTGTTTTTGTTATTTACAATCCTCTCCACAATTACATTATTTGGCCACAAGAGATTTTTTTTTGGGTTAGATCACGTAAATATAAAAGTCTCATTTGGGTTCACCGCAACATGTATGTTTAACTTATTTCGCACCAAACGTAGCCAACCGTGCTAATCGAAGATGCGATCATTTCGATCAAGGACATTTCCCTTCAGAACTCGGGGTAGCTAGCAGTGTACCACCTTTAATCACAGATCGTATCACAATATTGCCACTGCAATCTTCAACAAGACTCCTTATCTCACGCGAGCACACGTCTCAGATATGACCGCACAGGGTGTTCATCGAACGTCAAACCATCATTCAATTCTCACAGCTGGAATAAGCTGATCTAAGTAACAAACTAAATTAATATGAATGGGGTTTTTTTTGTGCCACCGTTGCCAACCGAGTTAAGACTATCAGCTCATTACATTTGAAACCCAATTTAATCACGGGTGGCCGAAAGCCACATTCAAACCGAGGGTCTCAGCAGTGCTTGCACAGTGCTCTGGCCTGGCATTAACTTGCCAACCCACATGACCATATTCAGATCACAGCATTATCAACATTGGTCACCATTATCCAACGCCGGATGATGACGGTCGCCGTTACCCACGGTCTTGCGGCGAAACAATCCATCAGGCTACTGCACACGAGCCGACTTCACGGCTCCATCTCCACAGTGGACGCTCCCTCGGGACACGTTTTCTCCTTCGGCTGCTACTGCGTCGTGAGTCTCGACAATCGCCCATCGCCCCTTCCAGCAACACGTCCTGCCCAAGCTCACTTGCTTTCCAAACAGTCAAGATGATGTTTCGAACACATATGCATTTTCTAAACTACGTGTTGCTTCTATTGGCTCCCCTTTCAGCTCACATTCAGAGTATTCTCCGTCAATGCCAAAACTCGGAGCACGAAGTTACTCCGAGTAATTGCGAAAGTATCTCTGGCGCTGGCACAGCGACAGAACCATGCTTCCACCAACGTCAGCGGGCGACTTGAGATTGGCATCGGGGAATGCGGGGCAACTTGCTTAGCTCTGTGTTCAGGTTCCAACGATGAAACACAATCTTTGCCACTTTTGGCATTCTCTGGTCTGACATTGGTCAGACTAGGCAATAAAGAAAGCTGTTTCTGTGTGTAGGCCCAATCAGTTTCAAAAACAATGCATGCGTTATTATCAAAGAATGTTTGTGTGCATGTTCACCACAAGTACGTGTGGTTAATGCAGACTTGATTCCTTGCAAAAGCTTTCTATTTGGTGTATGAAGATCTTAACAACTCCTGTTGTATTTTCCAAAAAGGGGTAAACACCTATTATTATTTTTCAAACCGAGAACAGGCTCCACTGCCTTGACAGCATTCGTATGTACACATCGCCCTGCACAATGGACCTCGGCTGAAATTTCAGACTAGAAAAATTGGGACGCATTGTGGCGGTCATGGCGGGGGCACGCCCTGTGGCCCCAGGTTCGAAGGCAAGGGGTGGGTGGAATGCCGTTGACTTGCGAAACTCACAAACCCACAAACCTGCAGGGCTGACAGGTGGCTGGGTAACCGTAGCCCAACAAAGTGGGCCTCTATCGTTTCTGTGCACACATTTGAGTGATATCCCCCCCTTCTTACACACGGGGGTTATCAAAGTAATCCAGTTTCCTCGCACACACAAACTGGCCAAACATGTCAGAGCAGGAACCCTGCCAGGTTAAGTCTTGAGGCTCATTGAGGCTTTACTGGATAAATATAATCAATGAAATCATAAAATACTCGTTTAAATGCTTTCCCTGTCAAGTTGAAAGTGTTAATATACACATTTTGTCTGTTTGTGTGTCTGTTTGTATCAGAGGGGCAGGTGCACAATACATCTCATGAAGATGATCCGATTCAAACTAACTCGTCATGTAACGTTGTGTTGCTAGTAGTGACTCACCCTATTGCAAACCAACCAAAGTGATCAAAGGGTTTACCAAAAATGACATGACAACTACTGTTACTGCTGCTAACCACAAACCTCCACAGACAATCACCATGTTGGAAAGCATTACACAATCCTTGCACGGGCACAATTTTTTCGAACTTGTTTCACTACGACGAAGACAATCGGAGACTGGCTACGGCGGCGTGAAAGATCCGACGTACCGATCTGCAGGAGGACGGGCGTCACGAGGGCCGTCTCCATGGCGTAGCAAAACTCGCGGCCGAACATGATGGCGCCGTGCATCACCCACTGCTTGATCGTCACGGCGCCGTCCTCGCTCTGCTCGTCGGCCTCCTCCTCCTCCTCCTGATCCTCTTCGTCATCGTCGGTGGTGGCAGCAACTTTAGCCTGCAGCGCGACTTCTCCGCCGCCTCCTCCACCATCACGGCCACCACAGCCACAGCCACCTCCTCCACCATCACGGACGCCGCCGCCACCTCCGTCGCCTCCTCCACCATCACGGCCACCGCCGCCACCTCCGTCGCCTCCTCCACCATCACGACCGCCGTCACCACCACCGCCGCCTCCCCCATCACGACCGCCGTCACCACCGCCGCCGTTCTCCTTCACGTTTTTGAACGAGACGGTGGCCGCGCGCCGTTCCTTCCGCGCCAGCCCCTCGCGCGGAGATTTTTCCGAACGCTCGTCGTTGTTGTCGTTGTTGTCGTCGTCATCGTTGTCGTTGGAGGAGGAGGCGCCGCATGGCTCCCCCGGCGCCCCCCCGGGACCGGCTGGCGCCCCGTCGGCAACGCGCGCTGGCTCGTGTTGGCTCGGCGGCTCGGGAGCCACCGCTCCGACGTGCAGAGCTTTGATGTAAGCGACGAACTTCCAAGCGTTCGGTTCCTTTAAATCCGTCATGGAACACACCCCTGCCCCGGCGTCTGTCCCTCTCTCTGGCTCTCCGGGTTGTTGTTGCTCGCAACGGTCAGCTTGGTGGTTGGCGGTGGGGGTGCTGTATGCAACTTATATACAGAGCATTCCTGTTTCGAGACTTCCCCCTCCCCAAGCCTCTAATATGTTTTAGACAAAGTTAATAAATTAAAAATCCATTCACTTAATTCCAGCTTCATTGCCTTGATGGTGATCGTGCTGTGCGGCTCAGTTCTCGTCGCAGCAAAGACCTCCGCTCCGGGTCCCACCCCCATCGATTGTCCGAGGCTCTCGGGGCTGAATCTGCATCACACAAGGGCAGACACTGATGAGCGCACACGCGCGCTTGCGCTCACACGCGAGCCCTCGCGCTCATTATCGGGCGGTGTATTTACAGAGCCGTTAGCCCCGACTCTTCGTTGGCGTGCTAAGGGTGGGGGGAGCAGCAGGGGCCAATCGCAGCGATGTAACCCAACATTTGTTTAGGTATCGCAATCTCCAGCGATGAGCAATTAACATGTTCATATTTACATAACGAACACTTCACAAAAGGATTTCTCGGATAACAAGGGATGCAACCAAACAACAAGTAGTTCCTTCTTCCTGGATTTACATAACAAGGCTCTGACCTCAGCTGTCTGTCACAATGAGTAATCGTCATCATCCGCCAGGATTAATCCACTGCTGGATGAAGGCCTCCTCCCAAGCCATCACTAACATTCATAGTCACGTAACTAGCTTCCTGTGCACGAACTAATCTCATTGCTCCGTCTCCACAGAGATGGCATCCCCTCTTGGGGGTGCCACCTCCCCTTGGCCTTCCTCGGAAATTTTGGGTGTAATAATCTATATTAATCGCGGAATCTCCGTGTCGTCACATGCCCAGTCGGAGGATATTCTGGCGAGATGTCCTCCAGGCTGTCAGACCGCAAGTTTGACATTGAATTTATTGAAAGGAAAACGCATTTAAATGCATTATCCAGCAGAACTCTAGGACAAAGCAAACGTTAAGCAGAGTGCCTTTCTGTGTCTCCGCAAAGAAATAATAATAGTTTTAGTCCAAAAGCATAAAGTATCGGCTTTTCAGATCAACATAACTGGTAACGTGTGTTTAAACAACAGCCTCTGGAACAGTTTCGACCTTCTGGGTTTCATCAGCACAGTTAGGCATGTGAAACAATGCCGCTGGATTTCTATATGTTACTGGTAAGAGTACTGCATGGGATGATGGCGCTCTGTTCACCGAGTTTGTGTACACGACTTGGATGTTGCATTAGGAAGCATGAGGATGATACCACCGTAACGTCACTAGGAAAGCACATTTTTACGATTTTGTTCTGTCTTCTTGGTTCTTTCGGTAAAGTCACGTAGAAGGGAAATAATAAAATTATAAAAATAAAAAAACGCAAGCAGCCGTCCTCAAGTGACAGACCTGTTCTTCACCTGAGGATGGCTGCTTGCGTTGTGGCCGAAACGTCGTGAGAATTATTTTATTATGTTTTATTTTTTGTATTTTATTATTTCCCTTCTACGTGACTTTACCGAAAGAACCAAGAAGATTAATCCCTGCAGTCACAAAAGCTTTAAATCGAGATTTTTTTCTGGTTAACAAAACTTCTAACTCGTATCAGGCAGCCTACACAGCCGCGTTACGTGTTTACAAGGCAAAGTTGCAGCCCTGCAATTGCCTGCTCACACCACTGCTGCTGGCATGAGGTCCTCCAAATAGAGGAAGCTCAACAAAGCCCCTCTGGAGGGTAATGGGCCTCCTCTCTCACACGCTGGCCACGTGTCTCAGAAGAGGCGTGAGGACCCACACACTGAACACCACGACCCACGACCCGCTGATCGACTAATCATAGTGTACCGATTTATTATCATCACATCACAACCCACGGAGCAGATCGTCCGTGGGTGTCCACTGCACATTTCGTCATTTGTTTCCACTTTCCTCTGTAGTGTGCCAACATGCTCAAGTGGTGCCACATCTTTCTGGCACCAATCACTTTATGTCATCGTCAAGCCATGCTCCGTTAGGTCTCCCTCTCTTTCCTGTTCCTTTCATTTTTCCCGAACAACACACTTTTAATGTTGCTGTTGTTGTCCATCCTACATGTGTGTCCAAATAGTGCCAGTTTCCTTCTCGTCACTGCCTGCATCAGATATTCCTCTCTATGCAACCTTTCTTAGTTCGACGTTAGTCACTCTTTGGGTTACAGCTTAGATGAAGGATCCTTCTGTAGCAATACATTTCGAGTGCCAATATATTATCTCTGTCAATTTACCCTCGCCCATTATTTTAACTGCCGGGGTGTGAGTTCAAACCGGCGACGTCTGGATTGCAAGTCCGACGCACGAGCTATTAAATCTTGGCATCCCCTTGGAAGATCGGGGGACTCGTCAAACTGCGAATGCAGTGGAGTGCAAACCATCAGGTGTATATCACTGATGATTGCCCAATGCAACACGAGTATCTGGTGGAACGAGTGGACTCCACTCAGCCACCACCCCGGACGCCGTGGAATGGCTCACAACGTTATCAAGGACAATTGTAGCCTTGTTGATTTATTTTCTCAAACGTCATACGAAGAAAGAAGTGCCCTCGTAAACCGAGCTCACTTGTTAAGGGATCGTTATTCAGAACTCAAGAGTGCCCTTACATATTGAAAATGCTCGTGTGGGATAAACAATCTGCTAGTCTGGAGGCAAATAAGCTCCGGGTGGGGGCGGGGGGAACCCCTGCAGACACAGAGTACCACGTATCCATGGCTTAACTAAATAATTCAAACGGGCATTAATATTCAGCGGTGCCCATCGACCATCCGTTGTGCAGGCACGCGCACGTATTTGGGTGGGTGGTCGTCATCGTGTCGTCATCGTGTCCCCCCCACCTACCCCCCCGGAGGATCATAGCAAACGCGGAGGGATAAAGGCACCCGTGGTATCTGTGCAGGTCAGCAAACGCAAGCCATTCAGCAACTCCTATAGCGGTGGAATGTACTCGGGAGCATTTTGAACGAGCAGGCGGACCCATGCGTACGAGCACGAATCGATACAAACTCGTAAAAATTCCGTCACTTAACAGTGGCACTCGAAGCGCATGACCACATCAGCTGGATATGTGACCAATCCCGTCAGATCTCAGCAGCTTTCACAGGGTCGAACCTGGTGATTTTTATGAATGGGAGACTGACTGTCCTGGAATACCAGGCTTGTGCTGCAAGATGACTGGGAGTTTGGCAGTAGAGCCATGAATCATCGAATACAACTGAGCGGAGATTTGAATGTTACCTCCTCGTCCGGTCGGTTTTCTCCAGGTGCTCTCTTTTCCTCGCAACAATTGTGGGCACGTGATAACGTACCCCCACTCTCATGGATAGCGCGATGAACTTGCAATCCAAAGGGCGCCAATTCGGTTTGATCTCCCGGCGCGGGAATTGAAACAAAAGGGCACGTTTCTTAGATCCCCCCAACTCTGCCTCTGTCCACCTAGCAGGGTCAATGGGTTCACACCGCAGTTCATCAACTGGCAGGACACGTGTTTTTTTGGAGTAAAGTGTCGGTACTCCCAGCTCCGCCATGATTTATAACCAGCATGGAAAGAGGAGAATAAATATTATCTGGAGGGGCCTCTTTCTAGAGCAGTGGCTCATAACCTCGGGTGCATGCACCCCCCCCCAGGGGGTGCAAGATGCCCTTTCTGTTGGGTGTGAGACATACCATACTTTCTTAGAAAGTAAATATCGAAACACAAATGAAGCACGGGCACGCGAGTACAACTACTTTGTGTCATCAAACCTATGTATTTATTAACACTGTACTTTTTTTACGATCGAGAACCAAAAGGGTGCAAGGCTGCAGGAAATGTTAAGAATCACTGCTCTAGAGCTTTCTCCAGTGGAGGCTGTTGGCTTTCGCCAACAGTGGAAAGTGCAAGCAGCTGCAGGGCTTCACCTTTACCTTTTTACCCCGTGGGGACTAACCTATCCCGGTGGTGATCTCACACTTGTCACGATCACCGATGTCTCATTACCCATCACAAGCAGCTGCCGCCGAGAGTGCCGAGGTTGCAACACAAATGTGCTGATGGCGGAATAATCGGGCAATCGCATCCCGATCGTTATTTAAATCAAACATTACAAGATTTAAGTTCTGCCAACAGGAATAAAGTAAGAATAGCAAGCAACGCCGAAGAGGCACTATATTGTTTAGCGACACATTACAGAGTGAGAGAGATATATTTAACCATGAGCGTGGCAGCACAGGAAATTGGGTGATAATTACCGCCCAACAACTTTTGACAATCCCAATGCTCCTGCTCCCTCAATTATCAGCCTCCATGGGCCTACTTGGCGATTCAAAATGTGACCCCCATGGACACCTGCACCGCCACACCTCCATCTATAAATGCGTTCCCACACACCCTGCATCTCATTCCTACAATGCAAAAAAATCATCTCTTCGGATGCGTTTTTGGGCCTATACCGTGTGCGCCGTTAGGCATGGCGTCCGACGTTTCGCACCACTTCCTTGGGAACTTCTTCAGGAACCGATGTTTGCATCGGAGAGCTAGATAGCACAACCGCGGATAAAACCTCCGCGGAAGAGAAATCCAATTGTGCCAAATGACGGGTCTAGTCGCTGCACCTCCAGCCAATCGGCATTGGAGAGTGGAACTATTTTCTATTTCTTGATTTAAAGCTTTCGTGACTGCAGGGATTCATCTTCTTGGTTCTTTCGGTAAAGTCACCACGTAGAAGGGAAATAACAAACTAATACAAATATAAAACAATAAAAATTCTCACGACGTTTCGACTGCAACACAAGCAATCGTCATCAGGTGTGAAATCCACAGAAAGAAATGTTTTTCAAATTTTCTTTCTGTAGATTTTCAAATTTTCTTTCTGTGGATTTCACACCTGATGATGATTGCTTGTGTTGCAGTCGAAACGTCGTGAGAATTTTTATTGTTTTATATCAATATTAATTCATTATTTCCCTTCTACGTGACTTTACCGAAAGAACCAAGAATATTTTCTATTTATAATGCCCGAGTCCCTATCAAAAAGCAAAGGCGTCCATCCATCCAGACCATTTATTCATCGCACAGTCGACCTCGCGTGCCCGATGCCCCGGCGATTGCACAGGCGACGCACGGCTACCGTTCGAGCCCGCGGGATTTTTCTTTCTCAAGACAATAAATAATTGCGCCGGAGGTCAGACGACAAAATGCCTCGGCGCTGCCGGTGCACATTTACAATGGAGAAGGGGAAATAAAAACTTTCCCAATGTCCTTCAGCAAA